TTATAATTTTCCTTCTTCATCCTCCCTACTGTACTCGACGCCTACCCTTATTCAGTACACATATACCAACTCACCCATATACCATACGCGATACATTCCATCTCTCTCCTCCCGATCCCGCCTCTACAGCGAGGAGGAGTGTTAGATTTCACGCTCAACGCACTAGGCGCTGTAGATCGGCATCTCCCGTAGACACTAAACATCACTCGTCACATTCCAACGTCCCTCACTCGTTCTACCATCTATCCGAGTGAGGGTACGTCGTCCCCAGCATTATCAGCACATACTACATACTTACAGTACCCTGTAGCTTCTCATACACGGGCTACAGGTATAATACACTCGTTCTACCATCTATCCGAGTGAGGCTTCTCATACACGGGCTACAGATTTTAACAGGGAATGCCCGCGCCTTTCAAAGCTCGCCCAGCCTCCAGGCTGTCGTGCAAGGTTTGGGATCGTATGCCGCCGCGAGGACGTCAGAGCGGCCTTTTGGCATATCAGAAGGGTCTCAGCAGACCTAGCAGCAGAACCGCAAGCTGCAGTGCCAGTCTGCTGGCTGATTGAGCCCGAAGGGTTCCGCAAACCTAGAGTAGACTACTGCATCCGCTTCGGCGATGGCGGTTCGTGTCCTTGATACCGCGCCGAGCGTAGGTGGGCGGATGCAGGCCTCCAGAAACCTTGCGAACCGTCGATTGGGAGGGCAATCGAGCGGCGCAGAAACCTAGACTGACAAGAGGACATGACGAAGTCGTATGCCGGTGCCGGGATGAGAACGCACACGAGCAGCAGACGCGGACGAGCTTCCGTACGGGGAACAGCGAGAACACGCACCCGGCTCTCTGTACAGACATCCGCCCAACTGCTTGGATATAGGATGTGCGATATATACATGGAACGGGCACCGGTCGCCCAGAAGTCAGCGGTTCGCGGTGGGCGGCGACGTCGAGAAGAGAGGGAGGCCCTGGATGCGAGGTCCCAATTCTGTCCTCGTCTTCTCCAAATCTTTCAGCGGAAGATCTACCCGCCGCTAGAGGGAACCCAGCGCTGTTATGGATGCCGCAGGCGGCAGCCCGTGGTATACAGGCCAGGGAACTTCATTATGAAGACCGCGCTCGGATCGCCCCGCATCCATTCTGTGCATTTATGTGGGCGATGGGTCACCACTGCAATAAGCGAGGAGTCTAACTGCGGATCTGGCAGCGTGAGAACCGTGACCGCGTCTTGCGAAAGTCGCACAAGGCGGATCTCACCAGGAAGAAGAGGACGCGATGTTACGCGAAGGCTGGATGCGATGTCCAAGTCTCATAACACTTGTGGCTGTGTTATTTAGATGAACACTAACGACATAGGAGAATAGGCTTCTCGAGTAACAACAGTCGCGACGCGAATAAGACTAGAAGTGGCTCCTGCACTATGTACTGGCACGCGGCGAGCATTGTGCAGGTCCTCGTGGCGCGGACCGCAAAGCAGTACGTATGTCGCGCCTCGTTTGTGCCATGACATGAATCCTGCTTGACATATCGTGGCCGACATTCATTCATTGTCATTGTTCACGCACACGGGGAACGGACCGCGATAACAAGAATACAGAGGTCCGCGGCGGGTGTCCCGGCCGCGAACACAGCGGAGCAAATAACCGCGATCGATCGGGGACACGATGCACGTTGTCGCTTACACGCTGACATCCAGGGGGCTTCTGTTTTCCTTGCGCACATCGCGTGACGAAGGCTGGTGGGTTGTGCCGAGCCTTGACGCGTAACAAAGCAATGCAATTGCAAGGTACGGATACAGCGTCGAACGGCTGGAAATCTGAAGAACAGGAACATGACAAGTCAAGGAAGTGGAAGAGCACAAAAGATGGAGCAGCCTTGTGAGACAGAGAGACCGCACAGCCCCGTTGCATGTAAGGCCACCAAACAAGAAGGCTTCATATGCCAAGCTAATTTGGACACTACACATCCAGCTGATGACTTGGAATCCAAAGAAAGGGTCAATGCATAGCATGGATCAATGTAGCCAGTAAGAGATCGTGGCGGTGGAAGTGGTCGCGAAACCACACAAGCGCCCTAGGGTTTCAGCCACACTGACTGTCTACCGACACGGCTACGTACTCTCCGTAGGGCGGTGAGTGCGACGTTGGCCGGGCAATCAGACCGGTCAAGCCTCGCGCAGCGGGGACCCCTGACTTAGACCGCCGGTGCAACACGCTGGCTATTGAAGAACATGGTGCAGTCAGCAGCTTATAGCTCCGGAGCCCAGTGGGGGAGTTGCTCGGACATGCTCCGTCGCGGCCCCGCTAGACTATGTCCAGCAAGATAGGAGGGTCGTATACGCAACGCTGAAGAACTGCCACTTTTAATCGACGGAGGAAGGCGATCACAGATGCGCCGGGGCGAAGCCAGCAGAGGCCATACCGTAATGGCTCCGCATCGCAGCCTACCACTTTGTGACGCACGTCTCTGTGGCAGCACCGCTGTGTCCACTGGCGGCCAGCGCCGCTGTTGAATAGATACCGCTGTCAGGCAGTGGACACAGGTGGCTGCTAGCAGACTGACTCCTTCGCGAGGCGTGAGGTGGATAACGCCTTGTGGTGTAGTACCACCGAGCAATGCTACTACACCAATTCTGACGACTCACCATATACAGCAGCGTTCCGAGAGTTGGGTGAGGCAGTGAATATAGATACCAGTACGCTCGTCCTCATCTGTCCGCTTAAGAGCTCGAAGATGGCACAGCAGACATACTACAGGACAAGGCGCTCAGCGCCACCGCGCGATTGCGGCCGGGGCGTAGGATCTCAGATGTTAGAGGCGATACTGGGTGGGCTAATGTAGAGAGCAGGCTGCACATGGGGCAAGAAGCACGGTCGTCGGGAGCGGAGGCAGAATGTCTGCGAACTAGGCACAGATTGATTTGATGTCCGGAAGGGCGAAGCGGCTGGAGCGACTCACTACTCAATGACAGGTGTTGTTGATTTTGACGAATGTGTGTGTAGGGCGGTATGATGCGCCCTCTGAAATTGTAAGTAGAGAGACGACAAGGCACCGGGCGCGCCAAGCAGCGATGGAGCTTAGGCTTTTGAAGGCGTGGCGGGCCTGATCGCTGAGTGGGTCGCGAGAGGAATTAGCAGGCGGCGCGGGAGGAGACAGGAGCAGAGGACGAGAAGCAGCCAAACACGAAGACAGGCCGTGAGAACGTGCTTGGTTAGACGCCATCTGCCATATATGGGGGGCTGGGGCGTGGGCTGCGATTGGACGGGAGGTACGAACGTGCAAGGAACACACCGTGGCCATGGACGGTGCGTCCTCGCGAGAAAGAAAGTTGCGTCCGGCCAGGCTTAGCTCTATCCAACAAGATTTGATTGGGACCGGAACAGCCTCTGCCGATGGTCCACCTCGTATCGTCTTAAAAACAGCGCTCCTTGTCAGGGCCCCTCTCTAGCCATTCCCCACGGGCCTCCTCGCTCACAAGCCCCCCTCCCTTGTCACTCCTTCGAGATGGCCTCGTACGCCGGTGACAAGACCTCCACAAGCTCTGCGGATGAGGGTGTCCCCAAGCTCGGTAAGGTTCCCGCGTCGAACGATGCCTACGCCCTCGATGAGAAGCGCCGTGCCGCGCTCGCTGAAATCGACGAGGCCCCGTTCTCGTGAGTACCCCACTCTACCCAGTAACCACCCAGACTCGTCACACGCAAACTTGCAGTTGGTTTCACGTAAAAGTTTGCATGGTCGCTGGTGTTGGTTTCTTCACCGATGCCTACGACATCTTCGCGATCAACATCGCGTCTACGATGCTTGGCTATGTCTACGGCAAGGGTGCGTGACTGAACGTAGCACTTGAACGGTCTCAACTCTTGACATTCGCGATCCCGCCTACAGGTCAGAAGCTCTCGGCAAATCAAGATCTCGGCGTCAAGGTTGCTACCCCTGTCGGTACGCTCTGCGGCCAGCTTCTCTTCGGTTGGCTTGCAGATGTTGTCGGTCGTAAGCGGATGTGTAAGTGCAGATATCGCTGCATCGGCGAGGACGCGCACTCATGTGAAGCAACAGACGGTGTCGAGTTGATGCTTATCATCATCGCAACCTTCGGTCAGACGGTCTCTGGCCAGGCTCACGCTGCGAACATCATTGGTGTCCTGTGTGCTTGGCGGTTCATCATGGGTATCGGAATCGGCGGTGACTATCCTCTTTCCGCGGTTATTTCTTCCGAGTTCGCGACAACACGTACGAGGGGTCGTCTTATGACGGCAGTTTTTGCGAATCAAGGCTGGGGACAGTTCAGTATGTAGAATCCTACTGTGTGCCTTTCTAGAGATGAGACACTCACCTATAATATCTTCCAGCCGCTGCTCTTGTTGCGTTCATCATCGTCTCTGCGTACAAGGGTTCCATCCTGCACGAGGACCCCATTGAAAACGCGAAGATCGACCAGATGTGGCGTATCCTCATCGGACTCGGTTGTGTCCCCGGCGCCATCGCTCTTTACTTCCGTCTCACCATTCCCGAGACGCCCCGCTTCACCATGGACGTTGAGCGCAATGTAAAGCAGGCCTCGCAGGATGTAGAGCAATTCCTCACTACCGGCAGCTACTACGTCGACCCCGACGCGGTCGTCGAGCGTGTACAAGCGCCCAAGGCGTCCCGCCGTGACTTCGTCGCGTACTTCTCCAAGTGGGAGAACCTTAAGCTGCTCATCGGTACCTCCTACTCGTGGTTCGCCTTGGATATCGCGTTCTACGGTCTCGGCCTCAACTCGTCGGTCATCCTCAACGCCATCGGGTTCGGTTCGCCTAGCCCGACGCTCAAGGGCGGCGAGAAGATATACACGAACCTGAAGAACATCACCATCGGCAACATGGTCCTTTCCGCCGCCGGGCTCATCCCTGGCTACTGGGCGACGTTCCTCGTGATCGACAAGTGGGGCCGCAAGCCGATCCAGCTGATGGGCTTCACCATGCTCACCATTCTGTTCATCATCATGGGCTTCGGGTACGACAAGCTCATCGCGACCAAGAGCGGCAAGGATGCGTTCATCTTCCTCTACTGCCTCACGAACTTCTTCCAGAACTTCGGCCCCAACACTACGACCTTCATCGTCCCCGGCGAGGCTTTCCCCACCCGCTACCGCTCGACCGCGCACGGCATCTCGGCCGCGTCCGGCAAGCTCGGGGCCATCGTCGCGCAGGTCGGGTTCGGAAAGATGGTGAACATCGGCGGCACGAGCAAGTTCGTCAACCACCTGTGAGTATCTCTTGTGCCATCTCTGCGCAGTCCGGACAGCTCGCTGACGACACACGTGGCAGGCTCGAGATCTTCGCGTTCTGGATGCTCACGGGCATCTTCTCGACGCTGCTGATCAAGGAGACGAAGCTGCAGACGCTCGAGGAGCTCTCGAACGAGAACCAGGAGGGCTTCATCGAGGGCGGCCCCGCGACGAACAGCAGTCGCGTATGAGGCCGCGCTTCGTCGTATTCTTTTTTCTTTTACCCCTCATCTGCTCTATCGCATCCGCCTGCCCGCATGACGACTATATTATATCCCATCACACCTCCGTCTTCTTCGGCTCGTCACTGCCGCTCTCCCGCTCTTCATTGGGTCGTACTTTCTAGCCTCTCTCTATCCTTACGCTGCACTCGCGCGACGAGTAACCCCTGTACCTGCTGCTGCTGCTGCCGAGCGCAATGCTACTGTACTCGAAAACTACACGTGTGTGTCTGGGGCCCCGGGGTGTTGCTGCTGCCGAGAAGGTTCGTTCGGTTCTGATGGGATACCTAGTATCGTGTTCCGTGTATCCGTAGAGAGCCCACTGTGACGTACATTATGCATTCTTTTTCTCTCTTGCACAGCGTGATGGGCGTCCGGACGGGCGGCATGTGTCCAGCTTGCGTCGAGTGTATAGATCTCGCAGCTGACGGAGTATGCGCCGCCTTCCAGTGTCGGTAGTTGCTAGTGCCAGTGGGCGGCGGCGCGCAGAGAAGGTACAGACACGGTTGAATTTCCCGTCCCCCCTGGACAAGGGGAGTGACGGGGATCATCCCAGAGATTCACGGCGGTCTGTACTCCGGCTACTTGCACGTTACCACTGGGAGTGATTGATGATTGCCCAGAGCGGAAAAACGCCGGGCGTTCAGTACAGATTGATGGGGAGCTGCCTGTTATGGCAGGGGCTGAAGATCACCGATCCTGCGCCGAATGGGAGACAGGCGCGGGGACGGCCGCTGTCACTCCGTTCCCCATCGACGCTCTCTCGATGTGATGCAATGGGATCACGTCATTGATGTTGCGGCGGACAGGAAAGACAGCAGCGCTTCGGCCTGAGCTCAGGCAGGTACATGAGTACTTTCAATCCCAACCACTCACACCTCACCGGTACCCGCCATACAAGCCGAGACAGCGTGAGTGTGCCCGTTGACGTACATGAGTTCTGGCGTTGAAAGCGTATTGACGGGCCGAGGCAGGAACGTCCCCCATCTTTGAGCACACGATCACGGACACGGACACGTAATATTCCCCGCCTTGCAGCCAAGCATGGTCCACACGCGTAAAGCAGAGCTCGTCCCCGCGTCCTCGTTCTCGGAGCCCTCTGAGCCGTCGCAGCTCCGCCCGGACGATAAGCCGAAGGAGGCCCTCGCGGGGGAGCAGGAGGAGAACCCACAGCTCGTCGCGCACAAGGAGGGCCGGCAGTCTGGCGACGCCAAGGGGGTGAACGCGGGCTCTCGCGCCCGGGGTGGTACGGGCGTGGGGGATGCAAAGGACGTGGACGAGAGGAAGCGGAAGGACGTCGCGGGTGGGTTTGGGGTGGCGAAGGAGGGTCAGAGTAAGCTCTAGCCTCAGGGCAGTCGCCACTATTCGGGGGGAAGGGGCGCAGAGGACGTTCGAATTCGGGGGCTCGGGCACACACGGCGTTCGTTATCAAACTCAGTCGTAGCGGTTCCTATGTTGGAGGAGACGATTGCGGAAATATGGTCCTCGGCACGATGAACCTAGCCCGCCTGCGAGGCAGAACGGAATCTCATGGTCTTGTCCAGGTAGTGCCCCAGAAGAAGCCTTGAGTCCCCAGCTGGCTGCTCAGCTGTGCATTTGACGTCGGCCAGAGCCAAACCATACCGGGTCCCGGATGATCAGCCACGAATTGGCGGAGCCTGCCGACTGGGCGGAACACGTACGTTCCTCGTCAGGTACGTTGATAGCCTGTCGACAATATCAACGAGGTCATGATGCACTGACGGGACGGTACACATAGTATGTCTAGTACCTAGCTGGTTTAACACGGAACAGACCGATCTCGAGCCGTTAGCGACTGCAATCGAGAGGCACGCCCGCGAACATAGCCTTCACGGTGATTCCCAAAGAAGCACAAGTATATCCACGCCACGAAGCACGTTCGTCGAGGAGTCGAACACTAGTCATGAATATCGTGTCAGCATTCTATCGCAACTGTCCAGCTCAGCGGTTCTTCTACATAGTCAATCGCGAGCGGTTGCATCATTCGTTCGTCCGTCCACGGATGGTCGCAAGACAAGTGCACACCAGATGTGATGCCCACCATCAAATTCGTTGAAGCAAAAAATCTCAATCAGCCTTCTGCGTGCCTTGACAAAAACTGAACGGCCTCCGCCAGGGGTCGGCAGCTCTGAAGACATGCTGCGGGTATCATATGCAGGATGGCCTATTCCTTCGTCGTTCGGAGCCGTACATTGTCCTCGCCCGCGATCTAGGGTCTCGTGTGTATCTGCCAGCCCCTCGCCCATCTTTCTGCGTATCTGCGTATCCGGAAGCTCATAATATTCTGTAGGCGCCGGCAGCTTCTCTGTCTTCAATGTCGCGTCACCAATCGCCTTCGTTGACCGCCAATACTGCGGGCCTCAACCTGTGGAGATCTCATCCTAGGGAAACATGCCGCGGACGTGACCAGAGATGATCTGCCAATGTCTTGCGGCCGCCGTCGTCGCCGGTCAGTTACTGGTCGAAGTGCACGTCGGATAGAAGCTCCGCTGCGGTCGCATCGTACGTCTCTGGGGCTGTGAGGAAAGAGTCAGGGACAGTCTTGGTGGAGGAAGGAGAGCTGGAGAAAGTACCCAGGCTTCACCGCCATGGCACCCGATTCTGACGAGCCCACAAACACGGCGGTATTGTAGCAGCTGTTGGGACTAAGTTCGGACGCGGTGAGTGATGCAGGTCTTCAGGGAACTTCTCGCTGTTGATATCGGCGTGTATAGCTAACACTGAGCTCAATTGCGACTTGATGTGGCACGTCTGCTCGGCTTCGCTTCTTCCAGGACATTGAGCTTGAATGACGCTGTGCCGCCTCAACAGCCATCGCTTTTGTGCACCCAGGAACTGTACCTCCCGCGATGGTCGTCGTTCGTCTTACGTCCCGCATCGACGAACGAAACGATCTCGGATGGCCTGTTAGCTGTCTTTTACATTATTGATATGCGCCCCTTCCGATAGTTCGACCCTGGCTACTGAACACCATTGAGGATGCCGGCTGGGGTCAAGTTCTCCTGTCCGACCGTGGTCTGAGGGCGGCTCAAGAGGTGTCCTCACTGGAACAAATGCTTCTGGTTCAATCCCAACGGCGAGTGGTTGACGTCCGCACGATGTGAACATTTGGGGTCTGCGGTGTATATTGCCATACCCTGAGAAGGTCGTCAACGTGACGCCAGCTGACAGCGTTAGTGAAGTTATCCTCGAGGTTATATGCATCATGCCACTATATCCTCTTCTTCGGCTTTCGGCTCACATCCGTCTGGGCGTGCCGGGATGGAGCAGAGCGGCTTGACTAGGCTGCTTGTGGTGACGCTGGTATCTTCTACGCTCTTCAAAGTCTTTGGCTGAGAAATGGCGAGCGGCTCGCACCGCTCGAAGGTAATGTCGACCGTCAACAGGACGCGAGGTTAAGTCACGACCCGGCACGTGCGGACCGGCCTACGGCGAGAATATCCTTACTCGGTCGGTTGGAAGAAATATGTATGTGGGAGAAGCAGTCTGGAGCAGATCTAGAGTCGAACGCTCAAGTCCGTTCCGCGTCCGCCGTCCCTTGCGCAGTCAATGATGCGCTCGATATCAGAGACCCAGTTCTCGACTGTCCCCCGACGAATCACTAACCATGCCGTATCTTCCCCTGAGGCACTGGCACTCCAGGAAGACAGAAGGCACGGATACGAGGATAACGCTGCAGCACCCACCCGGTGCACATTTACTGCGAGCGCAGTCAATTCACTGGATGACAGGACCCTCGTACCTGAGTCTGAGTCAGCACTCTCGACGCCAACGAGGCGGCCCTTCCAGAGCGTTGCTCCAGGGGCAGACGTCGAGAAGATCCATGGCTTGGGGTCATGCGCCTGAACGGCACGACAAATATGGGAGAGTACCATCGTGGGCGACCTGGCAGCGCCGATGAGCGCGGAGCCCATGTTTCAGACCCTAAGCCGGCGCATACACACAACTGGATCTGCGCGGGCCCCGAGCTCAAGTGGCCGAGAACATCGCTACCTTTGCGGCTGCTCGTCCTGTCAAATAGGGATGCCGGGACGGGGGTGTGGACACCGCACAGATAACAGGGTCTGAGTGTGGGGTGTTGGCTGCGTTCTCCGGGCTGCGTGACATGAGAAGGTATGTGTAAGAGGCGGAGCGCCAAAAGAAAGAACACCGCAGAGCACCACAAGCAACGTTCATGATTTTACCCGTACTGCACAGTATAGAACCTAGGAGTGCCGACCACACCTCCGGGTCGTATCTGGCCGCTACGCTTCGGTGGGTTTCGGCTTCTTTTTCTGTGGACAGAGTAAGCGGCGCGTTCAGATTGGAACTGCCCTGGCAAGTGGCGCGGCGAGCGAGGAGACTGTTGGACAGGACTCACGTATGCGACAGCCTCGAAGTCGTACTTGATCCCCGCCTCCTCGAGCTTGCGTTTCCGCTGTTCCTGACGCTTGAGGAGACGTGCCTCCGCCTTCTCCAGCTCATCCTCCGTCCTAGACTATACGTCATGCTTGAGTTAGCAGTCATTCACTGGATATACACAACAGGAGCAGAGAGAGCCGCGACAAGGAGAGGGAGGGAGAGCGATGTCACTGGGCGCCGAACGTACCCTGTTATGCGCAACGCGCGCGACGCGAGCGCGGGGAACTGGCCTCCACTTCCTATTCGCACCAACCCAGAGCTCGGGGTGCACCTGGTCCTTGGGGATGAGCTTGCATGTGAGGATGTGGCCCATGAGCAGGTAGTTATCCATGGTCTCGGCGACGATGCGGGCGACGGAGGACGAGTCGAACTCGATGAACGCGTAGTGCTTCGGCTTGCCCGTCTAGTGGATATCAGGATTTAGTCTTTGTGCCACGCAATTCATGGTCATATGGACGATGGATGCACACCTTTTTGTTGCGGGACAGTCTAAGACGGGTGACATCGCCAAATTGTGAAAAGTAGGCCTTCATCTGATCCTCGTAGAATCCATGCGGTATACGTCCCAGGTAGATCACGCCTCGGTCTTCTGTCTGTAGCACCAGATGTGAGCGAGCGTCGATAGGATATTCAGTCAACGGAACATCGGTGAAACGCACTGGCTTTCGTTTTGCCTTCTCCAACTTTCGCTTCACTGTCGCGTCGTCCTTCGCGATGGTCGGTAGCTTGCCGATGTCAATGCCAGGGATATCATCCGTGATTTCCTCGTCTGATGAATCGGCGTCGTCCGACTCGAAGCCGTACAACTCCTGCTCCTGCTCCTCAGCTTCGCTCTCCTCCGCGGCCTCGAGCTCGGATTCCGACTCAGGCTCGGAGATCTTGACGCTCTTCGTCTTCACCTTCCTCTCCTCCTTGAGCGTGGGCTTCGCAAGGGATGATGTGGGCTCTTCAGCGGAGGCCGCAATTTTCGACTTCTTGGTCTTGGGGACAACTACGTCCTCCTCGACCTCCTTCGCCGGCGCATCCTTCCGCTTCTTCTTCGTCTCCTTCGCAGGCACCGTGCTCTTGTCTTCTGGTTTCGTGACCTTCCTCTTCCCTTTCTTCCCCACTGTCTCCTCGCCTTCGACCTCCAGAGCCATGTCGTCAAGTGCAGCAGCCTTCTCCGTCTCCTTCCTCTTCTTGTCCTTCTTCGCAACAGCAGCGGGAGCCTCGACCTCCTTCGACACTTTAAGTGTGTCCTTCCCCTTTTTCTCCTCTGTGGGCATGGAGGACGAAGGATCTACAGGGGCGGGAGCGGACTCGTCCTTGACCTGCTTTGCCTTCTTGGCCTTCGTAGACGCATCGGCCTTGAGGTCCTGCTGGGACTTCTTCTTGGCAATCTTCACTGGCTTTTCGGTTGCAGCTTTGGCCATTATAAGGGGCGCGGAATGTGTAGAGTGTAACGCGAGGGAGGTAGGGAGCGAGACAAGTGAGTAGCCCGGCAAACGCACCGACCAAAAATTGGAGGCAGCGCGATCGAGCGGTAAGCGCCCAAGATTGGCTCACCACGTGGCCAAGAGATCGCGAACGCGTCCACGCGCGTCGGGAGTGCCTCTCTCCTCGTCCTCAACTTCCAACCACTCTGCTCCTTCCCTTGTCCTCATCGTGCTACTCAACCTCTACCGCACACGGGCACCCGGCACCCGCACAGTATACTGCGCTATGGAAGCAACGCCCCCGACGGGCTTCGCCATCCCCCGAGCACCTTCTCCCTCTGGCTCACGCAACCATCCCCGCCACTCCGTCAACTCGTCTTTCTCGTTTGGGCCCCAACCACTGGTCAACTCTCTCGCAGATGCGAACACGAGCGCAGTGACGTCTAATAGGGCCTCATTCTCTTACCTCGATCCAAGCCGCTCGATTCTCCAGACGTCTCCGCTACGGACGTCCCCGCGCATGCCGCGGCGGACCCCGAAGAAAATGGGAGGCAGCAGCCGGCACCCGCTCGCGAACGATACCACGGACGTCTTTCAAGACGATGCGGATGACGAGGGCGACGACGAAGACGCGCACGAGTGGGGAATCGTAGATCGAATGCGGCTGTGGAGGCACGACGCGCTCATGCAGCATCTCTACGACTCTGCGGCGTTCTGGGGAGACAAGATCGTCAGCTGGACGAGTGCGTGATCCGCGTTCTCTTTCACTGCTCTATATGCTCACGCTAATCGCTGGCTTCTAGATGACCCGAACGACGCGTTCTGGCTTGCCCAGACGTATTTCTTGAAGCACGAATACTCGCGCGCCGAGAGGCTCCTCACGCGCCCATTCCCCACTACCCCTCCACCAAAGGGGCCTCTTGTATCCAAGACAAACGGCACTTTCCAACCACCGTTCGCGCCCGCCGCGGCAAACGCGAAAGGCAAAGGGCGGGAAATGCCCCCTCCATCCACTACTCTCGGTGGGGAAGGAGAAACGCTCGCTCCAGGAGTACAACGCCTGCCTATGGGACCTGGGGAGACAATCGACGTCGCGATTCAGTACGAAGAGGGGGTCTCACGACTAGTTGACATGAGTGTCGCGTGCCGGTATCTTGCCGCACAGTGTCAGATGCGTCAAGGCAAGTGGAACGACGCGCTGGAGATGCTGGGGGAGTCCAACCCCTTCCGCAGCGACGGCGAGGGTCCACACGTGCCCAACATGGATGGAGGTATCAAGGTGCGTTGTTCTATGTTACTTCCGTTCGCGACATGTCAATACTAAAGGCGAGCGCAGATCGAAGCGTCAATGTGCAACTTGCGAGGTCTGCTCATGCTCAAGCTCAATCGAGGCGATCAAGCGAAACATTGCTTTATGGAGGCTCTCGCGCTTGATGTGAAGTGTTATGAGGCATTCGAGCAGCTCGTGAGTGGTGAGATGATGACGCCTGACGAAGGTATGCATCTGGCCTTCCCATTGGATCCTCTGTTTAGTTCTTCTGCGTTGCAGAATGGGAATTTGTCGCCCATTTAGCGTATCGCGAACAAACACCCGCGGATGCGGACTTCGTCCGACTCATATACCAATCACGACTACGGAAATACAAGCATGGAGAGGAACACGCGCTCATCCGGAAACGTCTGGTGGACGAGTATGGGCTTGGGGACAACCCAGACGTACTGTTCAGCTTCGCGGACGCATTATACACACAACTTCGCTGGGCAGACTGTTTTGCAGTCACCTCGCGGTATGCGCCCCTGCCCTCCACATCATGCTGAGCACTCACTGATGGACTAACACAACAGAATCCTCAGCCTAGTGAACGTCCACAAGAACACTATGCCCCTCCACATCGCCTGCATGTACCACCTCACGCACCTCAACCCGAAGCTCTTTCTCCTCGCGCACGAGCTTGTCGAGCGTGAGCCTGAGAACGCCATTTCCTGGTACGCCGTGGGCATCTGGTACATGTGTGTGCGCAAGTACCAAGAGGCCCGGACGTACTTCTCCAAGACGTCGCTCATGGACCCACGCTTCGCCCCCGCGTGGGTCGCGTTCGCGCATGCGTTCTCGTTCGAGGGTGAGCACGAGCACGCTGTGACGGCTTACTCGACGTGTGCGCGGCTGTATACGGGCTCGCATCTGCCGCTTATGTTCGTGGGCATGGAGCACATCATCTTGTCGAATCGAAACCAGGCGTCGGAGGCGCTGACGGCGGCACAACATATGTGCGACGCGGACCCGCTGTTGTTCAATGAGCGGGGAGTGATGGCATTCACGAACGAGGAGTGCGTACATTTGGCCCACGTCGTCTTGCCTTGACTGATGCATGTGCATGCAGCTACGAGACAGCTGCGAAATTGTTCGCGGGCGCGCTCGACCTCGCGCGGGTCGTGCAATCATCTCAAACGACTTGGATACCGACGTACCTCAACCTCGGCACCGCGCTGAGGAGATTAGGGTGAGAGGATACCGCATACGCATCGAACACCTGTTGGCTGACGCGCACCGTGCGCCACCACAGTCGACTAGCGGAGGCGAAAGCTGCGTACCAACGAGTTCTCGAGATCGACTACAGAAACGTCACTGCGCTATGCTTTATGGGTGTGACATACCATCTACTCGGCCTAGCCAGCAAGCCCGAGCTGGCTGGCCGCCATATCGAGGCCGCCATCGTGAAGTACCACGAGGTACGGTCCCTCTTTCAACAACTCTCGCTCCTCCTTGTTTCGCGCCTCTCCTCGTGATCTCCTGTTAACATCCCCGCGCATGCAGGCCCTCAGTATCGAGCCGATCAACGGCTACGTCCTCGAGCTGCTCGAAATGGCACTTGAAGCGAGCGCGGACATGGGCCCCTTCGGTGTAAAGGGTCCACCTGGCGGAGAGGAGAATTGGGAAAGACAGATGCGCGAGCATCGCGATAAGGGAAAGCAGGTCGCCAAGGCCATGTCGCCTGGTGAGGACTTTGAGGATACGAGCTTGTAACCTGTAGCCTGTAACTGCGAGGCAAAGAATGCTCGAACAACGAGACGCGGACCCTCGAGATGGTGAAGAAGTGATTATGCTCCTTCATACTCGGCCTTCTTCATACAGTCGCGTGTGTAGTGCGGGCTCTCGCCTGGTTGGAGTGGATGGCTGCCGGCGTAGCCCCAAGCGTATCCCAGAGCCTTCCCGCCCAACCCAGGTGGAGGCCTCCAAAATCTCGCATGGATCATCGGCTTCTGGCGAGGCTTTCTTCTGCGACGTTTCACCTTGTCTACGAGTCCCGTATCTGCTGTATAAGACCTGACTTGAACAACGGGACAGCGGGACTCGGAGATGTCGTGCGCATGGGGGGACGGCTCGACTTCAGCATCAGGGTTCGACTGGACGATGCGGGGAGGTTTCGGAGGAGTGAGCTTGGTCTTCTCCAGAAGCAGAAGGGGTGCCTTGAGGTCCACAACGTCTGCCTGAAAATGTAACATCTCTTTCGCCCGCCCAGGGGGAAGCTGATGTCGAGATGAGGGGATGGCCAACACTTGTACATGTAGACGGGGCTCACAAGTTCAGGCTTGGTCGACTCGTTCATTACCCACGCAAAGTCCACAGCGACTGCACGTGCACGGGACGCCCTCCGCTCTGCCTCCTCTTGTGTATCCTCTGGTGCAGGACCTTCTGAACTGAGCTGCGCCTCAGCTTCACGTAACCTCAAGCGGTCAGGATAGACGTACACAATCTTGGGCTTAGCCTTCGGAGTCAACACTATGGCCTTCGGCTGCACGGTCCTAGAGAGAAGACGGAAAGCTGGTGCAGAACATATCCATGAGCGAGAGCGTGCGTTAGACCTCAACTTCCGACGTACGGACTGCTATGACTACTTCCTCTTCGTCTTTCTTTTCCTCCGTATCTACGTGGTCCTTCTCTACCTTCCGCTTTTTCTTCTTTCTGGGCGAATCGATATCGGGAGAGCCATCCAACTGGGAAGTCAGAGGAAGTGTATCCTCGATAGTTCTCTTGAGAATGCTTTCTAGCCGCGCAAGCATGTGCGCGTGTTGCGGGTCGGCTTGTGTAGGCTCGCCATCGTCGTCAGAGTCATGTAGGGCGGCCCGCGAGACGATTGTGAGAGAGCTCAGCAGCACGGATGGATTGGTGTGTTTGGGTATCATGGCAGCAGACGATGAACACTTTCATCGCGCAGAGCCTTCAGCGACGGGAAGTTAATCTGAGATCTCTGAGCGTTTGCAAGTCACGTGCTTGCGCGCCATCCATCAGCAAATATTCTGTGGATGATAGCAAGTTGCCCTGTTCTTCCTTTCTCCTACAGTTTCTTCATGCTACACTTCGTTGGACGACTCGGTCAACCGACTTTGCACCAACAACATAGCGTCTTCTGTGTTCAAGGGAAACGCCTCCGATTTCGCTCCTCCTCCAAGACGTGCTTCGAGGCAGCTGGCAATCCGAGTCCTGTGTTGGCTGCTAGTCGCCTAGGAGCCCTTCTCTCAATCTTCGCGCCCTATCGCTCGATCTCCTGCAAGGGGAATAACAAGGTTGTTTTTGGAACCACTCTAGGTTGGTCCGCTTGCTGCGCAGGTCATATTCCCCAGCTGAAAGTCGGTATATGTCGTACGGCGTCAGTCTTTTACAGGCTTGTCACTTGCGTTCTGCTTGTTGTCTTCGGTTGCGCAGGTTCATTCCGATTCGATCACAGATCTCGACGACGACGTCATATCGTAGGGATCGCTCAACGCTCGTATTATGTGCGGTATAGACATGTCACTTTTGGAGGGCCGAATATATGCAGTGTCGTTTCACCATTCTAGCCTCCGCTCCGCGTGCTTTCACCATGCGTTGGGCTTGGTGATTGTTTGCCTCAATCTGGTCCCATCGCGACGCTTCACATGTCCGCATCAATCGTCCCAATGATATTCATAACAGGCTGAATCAAGAGCCTAGGTGTGTACGTACTGTTCTCTGGCTCAGTCATGCTATATACTCAAAGATTCTACAGGCACAGGCGATGATACCGTTGATACGTGACTACGTCAAGTTACATGGCGAAAACGAGCTGACAAAACCCTACCGCATGGGTACCAGAGGAAAGCGAACCCCAAACCGAACGTGAACCACCGAGAAATTGGCCATCCGAGGCCCTGCCCGGAACACCGTCATCAACGGGGCGCAGCTCCTTCGTCTCTGCCGTCGGCCTAATCAACCCCATCGGTCCCGCATTCACATGTCTCCCCACATTGCGTTTCTGGCTGACTCGCGATTCGTCCGAGTCGGGTACGTCAGGGTGCGCATTGTCGTCGGCCCTCAGGTCTACGACGACTGAGGTTTCGGCAGCCCGACCACGTCGCCCTGCACGTCTGCGTCGCCGTTGGTCCCGAATTTACCGACGGTCTTCGTCCGCTTCCCACTCGAGCGACACGGCCGGTGTGATCTCCTCCGTCTCGACAACCTCAACAAGTTCAACGTGTAGGAAGTAGTGTGACTGCGCTACGAGGTCCAAGCCGAGCTTCAAGATGAGCTTCTTTCCTGCGAGGGTGAAGGCGACCTCTTCTGTGCGTAGCGATGAGTACCACGGCCCAGAATCCTCCCACTCCACAAAACTCGGATCTGCCTCAACCAAGTCAAGAGCGCATCGCGACATCTTCACATCGGCCTTGACCTTGAACCGCCAACCTTCATCCTCTAAGGTATGTAGGTACTCGACAGCGATCATGTGGTCGTCGTTGAGAAGCGTGAGCCAGTGAGGGCCTGGGTGGCGCTCATCTGGACCTTGGAGTTTAGCCGTGTACCCTTGTGCGCGTAGAGCATCGCGTGTCGCCTTCGGTAACAGGAGATTGATCTTCTCGTGTGGCTGATAGCGAGCGTTCCCTGATTGTGCGGTAGCACGCTCCGGGTGGGAGATATAAACGGTCTTGACCTGGATGTCATTGCGACAGCGGTCGATGGTTTCCGGCGACAGGGGGAAGAGGCAAGACCCTCCTAGGGTACCTCTGGTTGGCGCTGGGTCAATGAGCACCCGTCCACAGTGCAAGTATTCCACCTCAGCATCAGAGGGAGGGATGTAACAGACCCGACCGAGAAGAGCACCGGGATGATCGGGGTGTTCACAGCCCAGAATCACCAGATACCATTGGGACACAGGATTGTCCGATATCGACTGCTCTAGTATGTGATGAGGAAGACAACGTGAGAGCGGCACGACGGGCAATTGCGTGCGTATGCCATGCGGGGTGAAGGTATACTCCTGGGCCGGGAGTTTCTTGGAGAGCTTGAGCCGGGCCAATACGTCGTCGTGAGGGATGACTGTGATCATTCCGGAGTCGGTGAAGTTGTACAGGCCGCAATCAAAGAGAAATTGTGCCTCATACTGACGATGAGGTGGCACGCAAGTCAGCTCCCTGGCATTGCTCAGTGAGTCTGCAAGCACCTGGTCGCGCTCGAGGTCCATGTAGACACTGCCCCATGCAAAGACACTCTGGTCGGGGACGCGCCGCACGATCTCCTCTAGCAGGCGGCGGAACGCGCGCTCTCCCTCGCCGTAGAGTGTGGACATATTGATGTTGAAGATTCCCAATAGGGAATACGCACTGTCTTCCTTCCTCGAGGTCTTTCGCGATGCAGTCCACGAAAGTCGTTGAGCCACGCTAAAGTCGTCGAGCGACTTTGCATGGACGAGAGCGTCCTCGGCGATGCCCGTGATCTCCTCGACGAGGTCGGCCAGAGCAAGCTTCGTCCCGATCTCCGTCCAGTCCTCGGATAGGAACTTCACCGATAACGGGGCGATGAGCTCCTGGAGCGTCCATCCGCGCTCAAACCATCGGCTCTTGCGGAACGCGGACTCAGCCGCGCGAGGGTCGTCGCTGGAGGGGACATCGGCGAGGTGGGCGAAGCACACCTTCGCACGGCCGTACCACTGGAACATCGAGTTAATCGATTCGGACAACTCGGAGCTGCTTGCCTTATTGATGCAGCACGAGTCAATCCATAAGTACCGGTAGCCAGCCTTGCGTGCCACTCCGCAGGCCTCCCGGATTTTCCGCGAGAGCTTCACGTCATTCCAGATGAGATGATCACCCGGAACGAAGCTGGACGGAGAGTCGGGGGATGGGGAGTCGGGGGATGGAGAGGGTGGGCGTGAGGGACTAGGGGAGGAGTACTCAGCGTCGGACGGGCCTCCATGGCGCGCCTGGACGACCTTCAGCTCGTTGTACGTCTGCTCCTTCTTCCTCCAGGTGTGCGACAGAATTGCGAAGTTTGTCTTCTCCGGGTCCAGCTCCATGAACTGTCCAGTCCATGTATCCAGGACGCGCATGGTTATATCGTAAGCTCTCGAAAAGACTTTCCGTGAGTCGGAATAGGAGAATATATAAATCTCCACCCACCAGTAGATATGACCTCGTGATTGCTGGAACAGATTGGACGTAGATACGGCAGGGGTTGCAAATGGTGGGGGAGTCCTGAGATGACGAGCACGGCTGAAGACTCGCAGGCCTTAGGAACGGGAAAATCGCAGCGACAGAAGGCTCGCTGTGCGGTGCAGTCAAGTTCAAGTCCCTACAGAACAGGGGATGAGACGCACGCGGGGCCAATAGATGGAACCGGCGCTCGACATATAATTTCCATGCTTTCAGTCTACATGCATGGTGAACCATACCACCTCGTGTATAATTCATCGCATCGAAACCACGTATATGCCAGACCAACAAAAGCATTTAATGGCTCTTCGCCTTCAGGAAGGACGGCAGTACAACGCGTAAGACCTTCGAGATGCGTAACACCTCACGCCAGCATCTTCGTCAAGCTTCTGTCCATACGAGGTTCCTGAGACATACTGGATGAGCAGCGAGAAGTTAGAGGCCAGGGAAACGAAGTAACCCTATACAGAGAGAGGTGGTGGGGAGGAGGGATGGGACGAACGCGCAATGTCTAACCGGGGTCCGGCGCTAAGCTTTTTCGGCAAGCGCGTAACGTCCCTGGGCATCCGGGAGACTCAGCTCGTCCTCAGCTCGTCCTCAGCTCGTCCTCAGCTCGTCCCCCCAACCTACCACCCAGCCGACTCATCAGGCTGCCCGACGTACTGTCTCTTTCTGTCTCTCCGTGCCGCGGACACTCATATACTCTTTTACTTTGTCTCCCTGGGCTGTTCCATAGCTACTCAGGCGACTTGCGGTTGTTTCCCCGATGACTCCGCTACCTCTCGTGCTTTGGGTCGCCTCGCCTCCAGATACGTTGTCCTGATGCTTCCCCGCCCCATGTCTTTCGCGCATTGCAACCAGCGTGCGGTCCTCAACGATCCCTGAACCGGACAAGGGCATCGGGCTGCTCACCTCTATCACAGATTCGACGCCTCTCCTGCCTTCTCTTCTCATCGTCATCTTCCGTCCTTTCTGTGCTGGCATACCGTCTACAGCACAACGAACCATGGGATGACAGGTCGAAGTTTATCCCGGTTTCGCGTTCTCGCGGCGAATAGTGGAGTTTGGAATCCGAAATGGTGAGTCTTTTCTTGTCATCGCCACATGGGTAGCCTGCTGTGGAATGGTGTTCGGGAACATCCTGTCAGGGAAGCGGCTATAGAGCAGCCCAATATTACGGGCTCATCACCCGTGCAATGGTAGACGGCAAACTAGCAAATGGCAAACTTGCCATCGGGCCGTGTACGGTGCTACCATTCAGCTCACAGTTTTCATGAGTAAACCTGGCAATACTTGATGTCCTTCTGACACCCGTTCAAGGGCATTCATCCGTCAGATTAAGGTGCTGTGGTGGTGCAACATTTTGCATATTTGCTCGTCGTCTTGCTTCCCTCGCCGTCATATGTGCTATATCTCGCCATGCTTTGCTTCATCTCATGGCCAGGTCGCCTTGTACTGATGACGGCCGTGTGTTTGCGCATCGCTACAGCGGTTGACATCTTTACCACGTAGACGGTCCCTGCCGATGTCGAAAGGGGTTGTTTACCGCTGCCTGCTGGACACCCACAGAATCTTGAAAGTGAGCGTTGTCAGTTGCGTTAGGCGTCCTGGTATGTTGATGGCACTGACGTTTCGCAATTTCTGCGGCCCTCCATTGTACCATTATTTTCTGTTGTTGCATTGCTAGCGTCGCGTTTTGTGCTGATACCATGGATTATACCGCCGAGGTATCGGCAATAATCCGTCAATTGGCGGGCATAATCTCTCGTATGCAGCATGCCTCCTATAGTTGTTGACAGGGACTAGCGCCTCGACCGCAGGTGCTTGCTGTGGAAGCGGATGTTGCTCATTTACCCTATTCATGCATCTGGGGCCGCGGTGACGTGTCGATGTGGATTCACGTAGACCATGGGAGTAGTGGCGAAGATGCCCGCCACCGCCCACATTCCGGTTGTATTTGTTTTTCACTCCTTTCTATGCCAGACCGACACGACGCCAGCTTGGGCCGAGGTAGGAAATCGATGGCGTTCCGTGACCACCACCGCCCACACACTCCCCCGGAAAAGCCGCATCGCGGACGCGCTTGAGGATCATCGCCCGCTTTACTTTTCGGCGTCGTGGTCGCACTCATGGGCGCAGCAGCATGCGGCACGACGAGTCTCGACTGGGGTAGGGCATATCATGACGGTCCGGAGACGGTCGCCCACACTCCCACCAGTTCCGTGACTCGTTCGTGGACGCGCTTGAGGATCGTCGCCCGGTTGGGGCCTTACTCTTCAGCGTCGCGCAAAGCGAACGTGCACGTGAGCGTGTAACGCGCGCCCGTGTGTTCGTTGGCTCGGTCACCCTGTGGATCACTCGGGGATGATGACTGCAGAAATGGCGGACGTACTGGGCGGATACAACATCGACTTTCCCTTTCACCCCTCGTTGGTTTGTGTGCTGTGGTTCGAGTGGCGGTGGTTAGGGCGATGCGGCGGCTATCCACAGACGCGTACCGGACTGTGGCGGGAGGCGTTATGGAGCGCGTTGAGTGTGGCGAAAGCGTACTCTGAGGCATAGAGGACTGAATGTGAGTGTTTGAGGGGGCCCGACAGTTCAGGACAGTGGTAATTGACGTCGTCGGGGGGCGGAGGTCCACCGTCAGCCACCGCCAATGACAGTGGCGTCCAGAAATTGATCATGGAAGGGATAGGCGCCACTGTTCAGGTTGAAGTGAGAGGATGAGCGAGCGTGGCTCAGAGATGGGGGACGGAGGATGGGGGATGGAAGTAACGACCATTGGCAAGCGCGGCCTTTTATGTTCGGTGGCGGTTCAGACTCCGAACGTGGTGACCTTCCCAAACGGGTGCATCGTCCTTGTTCTCCTTACGGCTCAGTCCACCGTGCAGCTTGCTCACTCCGATCACAAACACGACTAGAAGCTAGCTGGGTCTAGTCGGCATCCGAGGATATCCAGATAGACCGCTCATCGCCGGGCATCGCCTTCACGACACTTTGCCATTCAGCAGCGCGCCACTCTCACAGACCGTGCAGATGCACGCATTTCCAGAAGTGCTTGACATTAGTCGAAGCGGAGCGACGACGTCTACGTTCATAGGCCGTAGGAAGTGACCAACGCCACAATACCCGGTAGCCACCAGTCGCGACTCGCGAGCGTCAATGCGCTATCCTCCGCGACGCGTCTTGCACGTGACCAAGTCACGAATCCTCGTCTCCGCCTTTGTTCGGATGCGGGGAGAGCCTTTTGCGCGCTGCATCTAGTAATAGATTATGGAGTGCTTGGTCAGCCAATTCCTATGCACGAGGACTACCGTCGAGAACGACATTACAAATACTCGGTGCGCTCTCGATCGGATGGCATGGGTGTGGGATTTGGAGGAACAGCTGCATTCCATAGTTGCTGCAGTACTTCAGATTAGCGACGAATCGCACGGGTTACAGAGGCTCCCGCCGATACGCTTCGTGAGTCTAGCGCTCCGGATGTCTCTTCGATAAACGTTCTATGGCACTTGCTCTCTTCCCATCGGAGGCAATAGTCGGGCAGAAGGAAACTGCGGTAGGCACCTGACGGGTTTCTTCCAGGCTCGAAGTGCACTGGTCGAGTCTCAAATTGTACATAACTGGAGGGCGGTTAGCAAGTTCTAGGTTTATAGTTAGTACTACAGCCGGCGCCACAGCCGACGGGCGTTTGGTATCCGGCTTATGGCAAGCTGAGTGAACTCCGTGGCAGAAAGCATGGAAGGATCGGCGGTAGTGGGTTTTACGATTGGCTGAGGGGCAGCGGGAGTGGCAGGAGGGACATGGAACGTGCGATAGGCGTTGGGGAAGAAACGGGCGTGGCGATCGGAGGCAGCCAAACCAAGGCCAAACCAAGGCCAAACATGTGCATGACATGAAGTCCGGCGGTTCGCATCCGCACGGCGCTCTTAGCACGCCTCTCCCACCCCGCCTCCTCCCCCGACGACACCTCCCTCCCGTCCAGGCTTCCCCCCAGCCTCGATCGCTACTGTCCCCCACACCTGCAGGCCTTCGACTTGTCACCAACCGACCGGGCGCTCTTAGTTCGCGTCACTCCGTTTGCCTTTCGTCGCCTTTGTCTATTCCCGCAACGGACCGACGATAGCCAAGTACCTTACCTCCCGCAGCACACTTAAGCACTTCTCGTGAGCACGTAGCAAGCCCATAATCCACGAACGCCGTCCCCGGTACACCCCCACGACACGATGAAGTTCATCGAACGCAACGAGCTCTCCACCCTCGCCCGCGCACTCACCCACGAAGGGCCCGAGTGCTCGGTCCACACCCGCATCGAGCTTTACAGCTGCAAGAACATCAAGCGCGACAAGAAGCTCTTCCGCGACCTCGAGCACGCCTACGCCGACGAGGTCTCCCACTCCCCGCCCCTCCCCTCCGACATGGCCGTCGACCCCCAGGGCGAGATGACGCCGTTCGGGCCCATGACCGAGCCCCACTCCCGCAAGACCCTCTACCTCCTCATCGCCACCCTCAACGTCGCCTTCCCCGACCACGAGTTCTCCGACGTCCGCCCCTACCACTTCAACCGCGAGGAGTCCGGCGCCGCCGTCCTCAACGCCCTCTCCACCACCCTCGTCTCCCCGCACCGCTCCGGCCTCCCCTCGTCCCGTACGTACTCCTCCTACCCGCCCTCCTCCGCCGACTTCTTCCCCCGCTCCGTCCCCACCTCCTCCTCCCCGCTCGACTTCTACGTCAAGCCGAGCCCCCGCGCGCCCTCGCGCGCCCAGTCCGGCACCCACCCCACCGTCTACAACACGCTCAACAAGGAGATCAGCCTCGCCGAGTGCGAGGTCTACTCGTACACGCCCGACCCAGAGTTCGACCCGCACGCGAACGACACCGACGACGAGGACGAGCTCGCGTCCGCCGACGACGACGGCGCGCCCTCGAGCGACGACGACATCCACTTTCAGTTCGACGACTACGACGTCGACGAGGCACCGGCGCGCCGGCGCAGCACCGGCAGCACCGACGAGTCGGAGCGCGACCTGCCGCCGGGGGCCGCTTCCGCCGCCGCGGCGCGCTCCTCTGGAGCTCGCACTGGTTCTTCGTTAACCGCAAGCTGAAGCGGATATTGTTCATCTCCATCTGGGCGCGCTCGCGGGGGATCGCTGCGTGGATGGACCACGGCTCGGATGTGCACGTTGCATATGGGTCGCCGGACAAGGTGTCCAACGAGCGGTTCCTTGGGTGGGAGGGCGCGGTGGGCGCTGGCGCGCGAGCGATGGGTCTGAGCGTGAGTGCGAATTTGTGAATACTGGATCGCGGTATGCGATACGCTGGCCCGAGAGATGCGCATGTCAAGGTATGAAGCCTCGTGTTGAGAGCATATATGCGGCTAAACGACGTGCGTAGCGGACGCGGTGGGTTTCGCCTGTGCACTCGGTATCACGGTGCCCTATATCCCGTCTTGCCTCTTGCCTCTCGATTTTACACAGATTATATGTCCCCCTGCCGCTTCACCTATGCGAGCTCCCGGCAGCCTTCTTCATGTGTACACTAGCCATATCTTGTCCTGTATGTGCTTACCTTATTATTGGGAACGATGTTGAGCGTCACGAGTTCCGTAGTAACCTGGATTCTCCGCCTCTATGATTGGTATTCGACGCTCCGATGTATAGCATGCCTTCGTCGAATCGGATTAAACCGTAAACGAAAAAGGGTGCACGGATGAGTGCATGATAAGAGGAAGACCGAGTAGATGGCCGCAGCAATCCCATGGATACTTATAGTGTGTGGGACTTTCGATCAGCTGTCCGTGACTCACCGCGCAGCGCCTTTCAGATCCAACTCAGACGGGGTTTGCCACAGATTCTACGTCGGTCGGCGTATATTGTCTAATCTCCATGTGGATGCAAGGGAGAGAAGCGAGCTGGGATGGAGATCCTGTTTCTACAAGGTCGCGGCGAAAGCCTAGAGAATCGATTGTTTAGCCGCGAAGGGATTTATGAGGCAGTCCGAACAGAATAAATGTTGGGCATAATGACTCGGTGCGCTGCACATTGTTTAGCATGTGTCAGGGACGAGAGAGAACGAAAGCAATGGCAGCTCACCGAGATAGAAACTTGTGCTTCGGAGGGAGCAGAGTCGCGTGTCCAAGCGGATGAACAGCCTGCGCGGAATTGAGGATGTATCCTCGTCATGTGAATGTGACAACTTGAACGAAGTAGACGGATGTGATGTCAAGCAGCAGGTAAATAGAGCTGACGAGAAGAGTTCGGCAACGTATACAGAGCAGGTGGGTAGTCTCTGTGAGGCTGTCGGAAGCGTCGAGGCTTGCTCAGGCTAGGTTGTCCCTGTACGGGGTAATGTCAGGCATCTAGCAATATAGACACATGCTAAATGTCTCAGCGTGCTCAGACAAGGCCGCAGATGAGATGCAAGAGTTTGAGAAGAAGGAAAATGGCATCGATATCGGATGGAGGAAAAATACTGTGATGTCGATGTGAAGGGTCCTGTTCCTTCTCCTGCCTTCCATATGCGGAGAGAGAGATGTAGCGTCTAGCTTTACGTAATTGTTTATCAAAAGCTTCTGAGCCAAACATCCATCCGGCGCTCCCTGGCAATCCGGCGACGTCTCCTATCACGACTTTACTACGACCTTGCTCGCCGTCCTCAGCAGCCTAAGATGAGCCAGAATGCTGCCAATCATGTATCTCAACAGGGCGACTCCGGACCCATCCCAGCAGCCATAGCTGCTTCGCCTCCGATTGTCGACATCATCCGCTTCCTGTCTAGTGCATCGACTGCATCATTTGGCGTTATTTCCCGGACGACACTCGCTGTCATATTCACACTCCTTGCACCAATATCTCTGCTCCTCACCCCAATCTCCTACCTGCTCTCTCCTGTCTTCGTCCTGGTCCAAGTCCTCTTGGACGTGTTTGTCTTCGCGCCTTACGCAGTTACCGCCGCCATCGCGCGAAACGTCTACCCTATCTACGTCCTCGTCGGCGTAGCTGTTATATGCGCTCTTGTTGTTGGTTTTACGGCGCGCATCATAACCTCCTCCATCCTACACGCGATATTCGCCCCTCGTGCTAAACCCAAGGCGGCGGTCAAGGAGCTTCAGCCGGAACGCGATGCGCCGCCTCCGCCAGAGCCGAGGGAGAAGAGCGCGTTCAGGACGGGTGTACCCAAGACACACATGCGCAAACGCGTCTCCATCAAGGAAGAGAGGGAAGCGTAGGGGCTGTAGGGGAACCGGGATGATCTTGTGAGTATGCACCCATCGGGACTTCTCTCGTTACAAGGTAGCTTGCAGAACTGCCAGTCGCGCATCTAATCCTGCATATATCAGAACAATGGATCAACGCGACATTCGTACCAGCAGTCTTCGCATCGGACTGCCCCTCCGCCGACCTGGCTAGTGAGATGAGCATTTTCCAAGTGCTGTGCCGCAGAACGAGGGAAGATAGTACTGGACAGACACTACGTCCCTCTACCGGCACCTATGGACACAACGACGCTCAGTTGATGGCATACAGCATACGACAGGCGTATGTATGGAACCTCCACCAGTGTCAGCATAGCCCGTTCTGCCGTGAGCTGTCTTCGCTGGTTGTCTACATGCTCAATCCGAGTTGATTTCTCCCCAGTCTCAGTGTGCATGTACTCGTATACGCGAATGTCTCGCAATACATAAACCTCGTCCCTGACACCTAGACATTGCCGCAGCCTTCCGGAGTTGTCTCGAGCAAACTCCCCACCTCCCATCACGTTGGCTAATCATTGTTAACATTTCTATGTCATCACGAGCGTTTCGGAGGCCACTCGACGAATGCAAATGATTGCCAACTCTTTCATGGCTTTTATGCGCCACTTAGAGTTTCGTGGCTTCTGCTGACTCTTCGGTTGCTGACTAGCGGCGGTATCATAGTATGTGGGCTTATACTCCCTGAACAGTGTCTCAAATTCCTGATTGCCATCTAAATGGACCCTCTATCAATTCTCTTATTGATGTAGGTGGCATACACATATCATCACACGATTTCGATCAGGCATTCTGAACCGAGTCAGCAATTACAGGTGCCCGAGGAGTTTCTGGATCCTCTCCTTGTTCGGCAAGACCGCCTTGTCATCCTCGGAGTTCTTGAGCAGCGCCGGGTTAGGAAGACCTTGGTAGTTCTTCGCCCTCATCCAGCTCTCGAGGGTGTATCCCTTCGGGTTCGTCTTCTTCAGCCACTCCCAGTCGCGCGTGATGACGTCGTCGCGCCACATGGACCAGAAACTCGTGAAGTTCTGCTGCCAGGTCGTCGTCCCATCGCCAGGCTTCTGCTCGTTGGCGACAGGCTTGTCCGTGCGGAGCAAGTTCCCGAACCAGCCCTCACTGTCGAGCGACTGGCGCAGGTACTCGGCCTTGTAGCCCGTGACCTTCGTGAACGTCTCAACGAGGTAGTCCCAGTTGACCCAGTCGGTCGCGATCTCGAGGTCTTGGGCTGATACCTCCGCGCGGTGGTCGAAGGAGTACCGCGCGAAGAACCCGAGGTCCTCGAGGGCGATCATGGGAACGTGACCGTCACCGACCGGCGACGCGAACACGAAGGTGCCATCTGGGCGCTGGCCGAGCGGGCCAAACATGGGCTATATGGAGGCGCGGTCAGCTCACGATTCTGGAGCAACAGGAGCACACCTACGATCGTCAGCATCTCCATGTAAGGGCCGGAAGTCACGACGCTCCAAGACATGTCGTTGTCGCTTACAATGGACGGCTGCGCCTTCATCCACTCGGCTACGCGGCCCTTGCCGTCGTAGTGCTCGCACTTGTAGGCTGGTTTGTATCCCCCTTTCTGTTGGCCGACGACCTTAGTCAACGTCTCGTCCCTGTGCGATTCACTCCTACACCGACTGACCTTGAAACTGTAGTCCAAGTTGCTCCAGATGTAGTGGCGAACCGTCCTGATCTGCTTCGCAAGTTCGAAGATGCGGATCCCAGCAAAGATCTCTTTAGTCTCTCCAACGGTGAAGCCATCCGTGTTGTTCCAGACGCCCCATACCCCCTCGAGCGCGGCGAACACCTTTGGGAAATCGTCGAAGGAGCCTATCAAGCAAGCACGTTAGCATGAATGCTACACCAAGGACCAACGTCAACAAGACATACCCTGAGCGAACTCAACGCCCTTCTTCGCCAGTTCCCTCGCGCGACGGCTGTTGGGGTCTCGCGAGAGTGCACGCACCGCGTACGGAGAGGGGGAGCCGTCTGTGGCCGGCGCGAGGAGGGCGTCGATGACAGCGATGCCTTGAGCACCGGTCGCGCCGATGACTAGGATGAGCTTTTTGGAGGACATATTGAAAGGCTGATTGTTCTGTACGAATTGCTGGGCCGGAAGGAGATGAACGAGACCCCTCAAATCCATGGGGGTTTTATACACGTCGTGTCAGCCTGAGGGCGCTGCTCAATCAACTCCCTCGGGCATATCCAAGCAGGAGTAAGTCAGAAGGTTTGTAAGTGGTGCCATAAATCTTGAAAACGACATGCGGATCCATTGCCAGGCTGGTGGAAGTGTCTTGGGCGGTTATCCTAAGCGCGCAAACCTCGGTCACCGAGGCATGCCCGATGCTGCCGATTCCAGACGTCAGTTCTCGTCTCAGGTCCAAATACACGCATCTGGTCAGTCGTGTTGTATTGCACATTGATATACAAAGATCTAGTATGTTAGGCGGCAGAATGTTTGGGAAGCGAAGAGCAGGTTGAGTAGTGGCTCGAACCCGCCCGTCGAAGCCATTACGCGAAAGGCAGTTTAATTGGAAGTTACGTTCGAATTAGCCATCGGTGGGTATATGCGCACATCACCGGGCTCAGTGATCGTGCTAAGGGTAACCGCCACCTCGTCATAGGACGGCTGTGTGTATGACCCCCCGCTAGAAACTAATACACCCTGCATTGGCGGTCTTATCGGCACTCGGAGCACCCAGGGCAGAATCACGTCACGACCATTGTTCCATTTGAGTGCTAATATACATGTTCAAAAGGGGCGCTCAATTAGCCGAGAGCCTTAGCTCTCCGCCCGTGTGTTTGAGGAACAAGCCATTGTCGGAAGGAGCGAGCGCATCGATGACCTTCAGCTGCGCTACGACCGATTCCTCGGGTGTAATCTTCTTGATATGAACGTCAGACGAGCTCGCCCTGCTTAGGAAGGCTGTAACGCCTTGAGCGGTAGTGCCTGAGAGAATACATCAGCTCACGCGAAACGAAATCGCCGTCGGCTCGAAAGTAAGTGACGCACTGTCATTGATGGCGGTGGCAGAGGTATCTACGAGCCCCGGGTTAAGGCTGATGACGACGAAGCCCTCGTCCTTGAGCTGGACTGCGTACTTCGTGGTCGCGAGGAGGCCCGAAGCCTTCGTCATCGAGTACGCCGCGATGTTCGCGACGCCGAGGTGCCGGACGACCCCTGTGCTGAGGACGATGATCTTCTTGGTCGAGGACGCGCGGAGGAGGGGTAGGAACGCCCTGATGCTATGGACAGGTCCGAGACTATCAATCTTGAACTACGAATCAAAGGTCGAGGTCAGACCGATATCAACATAACATTACAATGCCCGCCGTACCGCATCAATGAAATCGGCGTCAAGCTGTTCCACATCGGTGCTGTGCCGAGTATAAGCGTAAAAGATAAGGAACCACGGAGTCGAAAGAGCACGCACTAGTCGTCGAATCCTTTAAAGAAGGTAGATGGGTCCAAGTTGGCAGCGTTGTGGATCAGGTAGTCCAACCCTCCGCCAGTGATTTCTGCCACCTGCTTCGCGGCAAGCTGTACAAGACATGCAGCATGAGCAAAGAACGAAATAGCGGTAGATTATGGATGGCAGCCTGACCTCTAGCGTGCGATACTCGGTCACGTCACCTGCTACCACATGGACGTTCTTGAGACATGCAATGGCAGAAGTAAGATGGGTGGATTTAGCCGGGTTGCGGACGAGAGCGATGACCACTGCATCGGGGCGTTTGGCCTGGTAAATGCGAAATGGATCAGCTACAATCCGACAGGTTCGAGCCCAGTGAAATTGTACTTACAAGCTGGACGACGTACTCGAGGCCGATTCCGCGAGAAGCACCGACTATGAGGTATGGTGGCATGGTGACTTGGGGGAGCAAAGAAGAATGTGCTGGGATACTGTCCTACTATGTCGCTTGCCAGGCAAACATTATATAGCTTCCATAGAACCCGCAGACGTCATCTGTGCTATCCGTACACACAACGACCGACGATAAACCACAGACGTCGTCTGTGCCATCCGTACACGCAACGACGGCAGCGGCGCGGAGGATAGAAAGTCGGGGTGGATAGCCTCGATTTGGATGTAGGGAGGTTCAAAAACGTCAAACATCGAAGCCCCACCACCAGCGCGGAGCTCAAGCCTGACAGGCGCTCAGATCGTGGACGGGACGGAAAATCTTGCCGCCAAAACAAGCCAGTCAAGCCAAGCTTGTCTCGCCTACCGCCACGGTCTCCCAGACGTTTGGAGCATTTTGATAAGAGGAGGAATCTATCTCGTCAGAACGTTCGCGCAAATACTCCCTTCCCGCTTTTGAGTCGCTCAGCGCGCAGAGTGGGCCCCTATTTCAAGTGCACGAGTCCGCGTAGATGTGATAAATTGCGCGCTTACATATCACCGTCTCAAGAGGATTGACCGCGACACCCATGCGTGAGTAGTGCGACCCCAGAAGCGACTGATACGCCTCCAGTTCTCGCATTTCCCTGTGGATAAATGTGCAAGGCCTACACCCGAGATTATGTGCTTTTGCACTATCGATCGCAGAAAAAGCGAAGGAAATCGGAATGGATTTGCTCCCGACACAGGTCAATCAATCTAAGAGGGTTTTGGGGGTACCGGTTTGGTACTGACCTCGATTGATGCCTTTCCGTCTTTTTGCCTGCGCCCGCTGTCCTTCTGCAAAATTGCAGGAGGATGATATTTCATTAATTCCATTGCATTGAACAGTTCAGGTAACTCTGTGGGCGAACACCGTACATGCTGCTCCCCGGGTGGCCAACCAGGAGCAACGAGGCCCTCGCTCGCTTCGAGACTGCGATATAATTTGAAAAGCAGTCTACACTCGCAATGTTGTTCCTATGGTAGACGCATGACATAGGTCGCCTAGACGGCGGTGTTGGCGTGGTGCATCGAATCCTACAACATTGTACATGTTGCAAAGCATCGCCAGGGCGAGACGTCAGTCCAAGTTACACACATAGATTTTCGGGGAATCCCTGTCTTTCCATCTTCATCCCCAATCTTTCTATAAAATTTATACTACAAGTATACGCATCAGAGACTATCGCGCAAAAGCTGTACCACAAGGGCCGGATCGTGGCGTACCATCAATGAATTCATCTTGCTTCTCATTCGAGAGCTCCTCTAATGTCATTCCTTTCCCTTCCTTGAGCAGGAGAGTCGAAAAAGCCCCTGTCAGCATGAAGAATGCGAAGATTTCCAATCTGCAGCAACCCGGTCAGCGCCTGTTCCCCAACTAGCTCGCAGGTATGGACCAAGATCAGGACGTACAAATGCGGTACGAATGCGTTCGTTCCTCCGATGTTGACCAGCTTCCCGAAGCCGACTTGCGAAATAACAGCGCCGACCTTGCCGCTCGCCGCAGCGATCCCAAAGGCGGTGGAGCGATAGCGAGTGGGGAATGACTCGCCTGGGAAGATCGATACGGTAGAGTTTGGCCCGAAGTTGGAGAAGAAGTTCGTCAGACAATACAAGAACACGAAGGTTTTCCTCCCTGCGTCGGACGCTGTGAGCTTGCCGTACGCAAATCCTGTTCGTCGTCAGAACCAGCCCACAGACTGTCTGCAACATGACTTCGGAAACGTACCCATGATCACGTACAAGATCGTGAGCATAATGAACCCGAGCAGTTGTATGGGCTTTCTTCCCCACGTGTCGACAAAGAGGAATGTCGTCCAAGCGCCAGGTATGAGTCCTGCCACAGCGAGGATCATGTTTCCTACTGAGATATTCTTGAGGTTCTGGTACACCCTCATGTTACCCGTGACATCTGCACTTGGGGAACCGAAGCCTATTGCCTGGAGAATGACGGAAGTGTTCAAGCCAAGCCCGTAAAATGCGACCTGCGATCCTGCTTTGTGAGTGCCAGCATATTAATAGGACAGTCAAAGCGAGACTTACGTCGATAGCGAACCACGAGTAGCACATGCCGATCAGCGGGAATAAGTTCTCTCTCTTGCTGAAGAACCTGCAGAAATCGCGCCTCGATGCCTTGGGGGCCCTCACACGTTCGACCACTGCGTCCTGGTCAGCATAGTACATGCCCGTCATCAGGAGGTTCTCGACATCCTCGCTCGCCTGTCGGACGTTACGCTCGACGTCCATCGTGAACCGCGGGGTCTCTGGGATCGTCAAGCGGAAATAGAGGGTGATCGCGGCTGGAACGCAGCCGAGTCCGATGAGCAGGCGCCACATGAAGTCGACGTGCGGGAGGACGGCAGGGTCGTCGTGGAGGACGGCCGACTTGTATGCCGATACGATTATGAACCCGACGAGCGCGCCGGCTAGACAGGGCCAATGAGTGCGTCACAACTCAAGTCAAGCAAAACAAGTACGCGATGAAGTACGACGTACCCAGCTGGCCCCACCCCTGATTTGCCCCGACGGCCGTCATCATTCGCCCACGAGTTCTCGTCGATGCGAATTCGGAGGGGATGACGGATGATAAAGGGTAATCGCCTCCGATTCCAACCCCCATGATAAACCGCCATACGACCAGCACCCCGATAATGTTGACGGCATGCGCTTGGCCAGCCATTGCTTGCCCGAAGGAGGCAACGATCACGAGCACCATCTCAACGCCATCTTCCCAATGCGCATAGAATGAGGTTGGGGAAGTTCGCAGAAGCCAAGAAGTAAAGACTTACACATGCGTTTGCGACCGAAGACGTCTGCGAGCCAACCGAAGATGAGCTGCCCAAACACGGTGCCTACCGGGGTGGCAACCTTGATGCCAAGGTCTTGATTTGCAGTGAGCACTTGTCCTGCGCTGAAGGTAAGCGATGTTCCTCCAAGAGCATTGAGGGGGGAGGAAGGGACATACTGACCGTGACCATAGACATAGCCAAGCATGACTGAAGCGATATTGATGGCAAAGATGTCATACCTAGACACGTTCCGTATGAGCCCCAAACTCAAGACGTTCTCTAGGTCCAAGGTCTCACGAGTCGGTGAAGAAGCCCACTCCCGCGATTAAACAGACTCGGACATGGAACCATCTGTACCATATGCGCATCACGTTAGTGCGGGACCATTGATGCTAAGGACATTGCGCGTACGTGAATCCAGCCCGGTCCAGTTCCGCCAGTGTCGTCTTGCGCTTGTCATTGAGGACGTAGACTTCAGCGGCCTTCTTCAGCTCAGGTAGTTGCTCAAGAGGCATTTTCACGTCTGCGATATCCTCTACTGATGTGGGCATGGCTCGAGCGTCGACAGCAAGTGGGCTGAGAGGTCAGAAGCCCGCGCAATAAGTATAAGAAGCCGGGGAATTGCAGGATTGGTCCGCACCCATGAACCACTCACGAGACCTTGCGGTTCCTGATCCCTTGAACCAATGCCTCAGCCCATCGAAGTCAAATGGACAGCTTCACAGAGTCCAAGGCCGCGTTCGGGGCTATATCGCTGTTCCTAGCACGTTCGTACCAAAGGGTTACGCGCTTGACGTGCAGCACAAGCACAAAAGGCAATCGACCCCACGATGTCGCAGAATCGAAGAGAAGCCTGCGATAGGATACTGCGGAAACGGGCTCCAGGTCGTGGCAGTCTGCGAACCCTGGCTCGGTATAATATTGGCAGTACGAGATGAACAAGCAACTGAATAGAGAACGTCAAACCTTGCATTTTGACAAGAACATGAGAATGAACCTTCTTGGAGGGCGCCTGCCGTATTCTCACAACCAAAGGCGGAAGTATATCGAGTTCCGTCTCGGCCTGAGCAGAGATCGTCACGGTGGTATTCTCGAAAAGGGATACCGACAACCACGGATCGTCGCGAATAGCAGAGTCCAGCTAGTGTCTTTGGGGCTGGCAAACTGTATGCATATGGATTCTGAGCTTCGTGAAGCTAGAATGCGGGTGAATCTATTACTAGTATTGGTATTCGCTTACACGGGTTGATGATTTTGGACCGTCTTAAGGCCTAAGAATACGGCATCAGCTCTTTGTGTTGATTACTAGACCCTGTACTCAAAAGTTTCGCAAGTCGGTAGGAGATGGGAGCTTGTAAGACACAAGTGTGTATACCACTTGCGAGATAACTTACCACGACGTGGCAGTGCTTTCAGGGCTCGCCTGTCCCCAACTCAGCCGTCCTCCACTGAACGCGCGCAGTTTTCAGTAGAACGCAGTCGCTCGCTCGCCCGGCTATGCTGAACGGCTCCGGCTCGGAGTCTCAGACGGTCCAGTTGACAACCGCGAGTGGTCCAAGGGAGTCAACTCATGACCACCTCTCCAACTGTGTTCCCGAGCATCGAACACGGCTGCAATTTGTTGTCTTGATATATGCAATCACGCCGAGCCTAGCGCATTCCGCCGTGGCTATTACTGCACCCGAGCAGTTCATATTGGACAGTTGCTCCTGAAAATTCGCCGTCTAAGAGCGCTTCTACCAATCCGACTGCAAGCTCGTCAGCACTACATGCGATACATGGTGGTCAGGACGCACCTCAAAGTTCTCAGCGTGATGGAATCGGAGGTCAAGTAAATGGCTGCTAAGTAGACATGGAGGATTTCGAATCTCGATGAACGCGGACAGTCAGTCGTCGTTGGACGGCCGGTAGATATCACATGCAGTGAGATCAATCCCCATGATCGCATACATCATCGGTGGACGCCCACCGCCCGCGTTCCCCGCGTTCGTATATAACCTCCCCATCCCTCATCGCACACGTCTCGATAATCTCTGTCTCGAACACTACGCACACCTGCCTGTTCACCGTACACCATGTCTGACATCAAGGTCGAAGGTTTCAAGGTGCGTAACCCCCGCGTACCCAGTTGGAGACGGCCGGAGGCTCACACGCCCATCGCGCATACACGCGTAGTCCTCCGAGATCCTCGCCCAGCTGGCGCAGGTGTTCGAGAACTTCAGCGACGAGGAGAAGAAGCAGCAGATCAAGAAGGTGCGTCGCCTCTCCGTTCTCATGCCCCTGCCTAATCAGTGAGATGGCAATGCCAAACAGACGAACGGCATCTTCGAGCTGCAGGTGAAGAACGCGGAGGGCAAGGAGGGGGTCTGGACGATTGACCTCAAGCAGACCGGCACGGTGTACAAGGGCAAGCCCAAGTCCAAGGCTAACGTCACCCTTATCCTCTCGGACGAGACCTTCAGCCAGCTCGCGGAGGGCAAGCTCGACGGCCAGAAGGCGTTCATGAGCGGGAAGCTCAAGACGAAGGGCAACATGATGTTCGCGACCAAGCTTGACGGCGTCCTCAAGGTGCGTTCGTGCCTTCTTGCGCCCCAGACACGACAGTGCTCATGAGAGGTTGTGCAGACCGCCAAGTCGAAGGCAAAGCTGTAATACCATCTTGTCATCCTTGCTGTTGTTGTCGCATTTTACCCTATCGTAGAATTCACTGTATTCTGATCATACCCACCAAACACCCCCAAAATGCACGACTGCGAGAGCACGCACGCACGCACATACACAGATGCATTGCAGCACACATCATCGCCATGCGATACGAAACCAAGTTGGCTGAATCTCAGTTCATGTCTACAGCGACTTCTCTAGCGCGATCAACTCCTCTAGTTTCGTCGTCGCGCTCGGCCCGGCAGCCTCCAGGTCTCTCGGCGTAAGTGGCCCCCTCACATTCGTGTTCCCGTACCTAAAGTGCTTCGACACAATCGCCTTGATACCTGCGATGCTTCCAAGCTTCTGCAGCTCCCAGTCCGCATGGCCCAGCAGTGCCTGCAACTTCTGCGCTTCAGCCAGCTTGCCTTCCTTCCACAACCTGTACAGCTCCGCGTGCGCCTTGGGCGCGACGTTCGGCAGGGCCCCGATGACCCCTGCGCTCCCCGAGATCAGGCCCTGGAGGAACACAGCGGAAGACCCGGGGAAGGTTGCGAACTTCTCCGCGGGGAGGGTGGAGGCCAGGCGATGGAGCTTGCCGACGTCTGCGCACGAGAGCTTGGTGCCGACGATGTTGGGGTGCTGGCCGAGGGCGCCAATGGTGTCAGAATCGAGGTTGAGCCCGGCGGTGACGGTGGGGAAGTTGTAGATCATGGTCGGGATGGGAGACGCGTCGGCGACCTACAGATGCACGCGAGACGCGTCCGGCTTAAGCTCAGGTGCGCAACAATCATGGAAGAGAAGGGGAGACGCACATCGCGGTGGAACTTGAGGATCTTGTCCACGGTCATCTGGGGAGCCCAGACGGCGGGGGTGAGGACGAGGGCGTGAGTCGCTCCGGCTTCTTGAGCATCGCTACAGAGCTTCTTCGTCTCCCTGGTCGACTGCCCGCCTGTGCCGGCAATGACCAGGACGTCCTTGAAGCCGTTCTCGTTCAGAGTGTCTCGGGCGAGGCGGATCGTGGTCTTGCGCTCCTCATGTGAGAGGTGCTGGGCTTCGCCGTTGCTTCCCTGCACCAAGATACCAGTCACGCCTCCCTACGATCTGTGTTAGATTTGTGAACAGGACGATGGTTGATGGTGCTCACCTGCGCAAGTCGGAGGACATGAGCTTTGATAGATGAGAGGTCGAGGTCTTCGTTTTCGTCGAAGAACAGGACAGCGGGGACATATACTCCGGGAGGTGGAGGTGTGCTGTTCGCCATCACTGCAGGATGTGGATGCCCAGTACGACGCGGAGCAAGACTGCAGTGGACACAGATCCCAATGACTAGACAGCTATCAAACTCATCTCATCGCGATTCGCGATTATGTATACCTACGTAGTTCCTGGTTATGAGATGCCGTGCGGAGGAGTACGGGCTCCCGGGACATTCTTGGGTGAGAGTCAAGAAGGATTCAGAAGCATCCCGAGTGCACATCGCAATTGCCATTGTGTATAGTACCGTTCACACCGACGCCGTGGCAGGATCCGCCACCGTCAGCAAGGCAGAGCGACATATAGCTCTACTGAGACTCGACAGAAAAGTAGACAGGGCAGTCAAGTCTTGCAGCTCCGGTTCAGCTCAACGTTCCTCCGCCCACAGCGATTCTAGGCGGCGCTCGAACGTGCCATGCCGACCGCATATGTCATAGTCCAAGCGAAAGCTTTCTGTCCACGCTTCGACTGACTTCTCTACTCTCTTCTGCTTGCCACCGGCCGCGCGGACCCACGACTTGCAGACCATAGGCGGACTTCGCTGTTCAGCTTCTGAAGCGTCTGGTATCGTAACTATTGGACTGGACCAGGCGTTTTCGGCGGGCTACCTCTTGCAATCAAGGCCTCCGATCCGAGGACTTGACAAGAGTCCGCACCATGTACTCCTCCTTCCGCCGTCGCGTCTCTGCCATGCTGCCGACTCTCAAGGGCAAAGTATCGACGTATGGACCGTCCGCGGTAGCCGCTGCACGCCAGACATCCGCGCCTGCGACAGCTTCTCGTCCCGTCCATAGGCAGTTCGCAACATTCGTTACGAACACGCACCTCCGCACGCGCTCGCGGTATGGTGTCCAACCGTTGAACATCCGTCATGTACACGTTCGCGCGTTGTCGTATTCGTCGATCCCGAGGTTCGTGTTGAGGGCGTTCAGGGTGCCGGTCGGAGCTGCGACGGTCGGTGCTGGTGGGTTCACGTATGCTAATTACAAGTTCGAAGGTGAGTAGAATATCTTCACGACCTTGCACTCGCTGCTAAAATGTTGCGTTGTGGTGGTGCGCTGATGCGGTATGTGGGTAGAGTTCAAGAAGAAGTCGAACGAGGTCTTTTCGACTGTCCAAGATACCATCACCGACGCTTTCGACACGGCTTCGGACCTAGCGAAGACAGTTGGCTCGCGTGTGTCCGAGATCAAATTGCCCGAATTCGACACTCCGGACTTTCTCAAGAACCTCTTTTCTTCCTCCGAGAGTGGCAATGGCGGGGAACACGAGGGATCGGGATCTTCGTCTCAGCAGAAGCGTCCTAGTGGCGACGATGCAGCAGCACTAGCAGCGATTATGGCAGCGACCTCTCTTTCTGCTGTGGACTCGAAAGCTGGCGACGAGGATAGTCTCGGGGGCGACGCGCGACAGAACGGGTTGATGCACCTGACGAAGAAGCTCATCGAAATTCGTTCCATGCTCATCAGCATTGACCAGAGCGATGCGCTGAAGCTCCCGAGCATAGTTGTCATTGGTAGCCAGAGCTCGGGCAAGAGTTCGGTGCTGGAGGCTATTGTCGGACATGAGTTCCTACCCAAGTGAGTGTCACATTCTTCTCGCGTTAACCGTCTCGACAACTGAGCAGCCGTGTGTAGGGGTAACAATATGGTCACGCGCCGACCCATTGAGCTCACGCTCATCCATACACCTGCTCAGTCAGATGGCAAGACTCCACGAGAATACGGAGAGTTCCCTGCTCTTGGGCTTGGAAAGATCTCCGACTTTTCTAGCATCCAGCGCACGCTCACTGATCTGAACCTGGCTGTTCCTGCTTCCGAATGCGTCTCCAATGAGCCCATCGACCTTCGCATCTATTCCCCTCACGTTCCCGACCTGACCCTCATCGACTTGCCGGGCTACATCCAAATCACCTCAATGGACCAGCCGGAGACTCTCAAGGACAAGATTGCAAGCCTGTGCGAGAAATACATCCGGGAGCCCAACATTATTCTAGCCGTATGCGCTGCCGATGTTGATCTCGCCAATTCGCCAGCGCTCCGTGCTAGCAGGAAGGTCGACCCGCTTGGTCTTCGAACGATTGGTGTCATCACGAAGATGGATCTCGTTCCTCCGGAGCAGGGTGCAAGCATCTTGTCTGGCAACCGCTACCCTCTCCACCTTGGATATGTTGGTGTCGTCGCCAAGGGCTCCGGGAAGAAGGGGAACAGGGACTCGCTCGGCACACTCGCAAAGCGCTCCGAGGACGATTACTTCGGCTCGAATCGCGACTACTTTGGCAGCACGTCGAAACTTATGGTCGGCACCGGTACCCTCCGCCGCCGACTCATGGAGGTCCTCGAATCGTCAATGGCTTCCTCTCTGCACGGCATCACCAACGCGGTCCAGCTCGAGCTCGAGGAAGCGCAGTACCAGTTCAAGGTACAGTACAACGACCGCCGCATCTCCGCCGAGTCCTACGTCGCCGAGACGATGGACCTCCTGAAGGCGCGCTTCAAGGAGTACACCGCGCAGTTCCGTAAGCCGCATGTGCGCGAGAAGCTCAAGGCGATGCTCGAAGACCGCGTCATGGACGTCCTCGAGCAGCTCTACTGGACGGACAAGCGCGCCTCCGAGCTCACCCAGCTCGGCGCGGACCCGCGCGTTAAGGCCGAGGACGTCGAGCCGTACTGGCGCTACAAGCTCGAGGCCGCGTCGTCGCTGCTCACGAAGTCGGGGGTCGGGCGCGACTCGACGCTGCTCGTCGCGGACGGGCTGCGCGCGCTCATCGACTCGATCGCGCAGGGCGAGCCGTTCAACCACCACCCGCGCGCGACGGAGCGGCTGGTCCAGTTCTCGCACGCGATCCTGCGCGAGCGCATCGGGGTGACGTCGGACCAGGTCGAGAACTGCATCAAGCCGTACAAGTTCGAGGTCGAGGTCGAGCCGCGGGAGTGGGAGGTGGGGCGCGCGGGGGCGGTGGGGCTGTTCGAGAGGGAGCTGAAGTTACTGGAGGACAGGCTGAAGGAGCTCCGACAGCGCGTGGGCGGCAGCAGGCGGCTGAACAACCTCGTGAACTACGTGCGCGAGCTGGACGAGAAGGAGAGGGAGCGGAGGCAGAGGAGGTTGCAGGCCAGCGAGGAGGATGTGGGTGCGGCGGAGGTCGTGGATGACTACCGGTACCCGCCTGCGCAGCTCGTGGACGGTAAGTTCCCTACCAACGCGTTAGGGACATTATGCTGACAAATCGATGAAAGGCCGTCATGCAATGTTCTTCAACGACCGCATCGGCATCCTCAAGCTCAGGCTCGCCGCGCTTAAGTCTAAGAGGTGTAAGGCTGGACCGGAGAACGACGTCCTATGCCCAGAAGCGTTCCTCAACGTTGTGGCTGACAAGCTCGCATATACGTCTGCCATGTTCATCAACATCGAGCTACTTGACCACTTCTTCTACCAGGTTCGTTTACCTTTCTGTTACATTGCAAGTCCTTGCTGATGTGTTGTTGCAGTTCCCTCGCGAGATCGATTCAAGACTGCTGTATGATCTTGACCGCAAGGAGATTGTAGAATTTGCGCGGGAGAATCCCATCATCAGGAAGCACCTCGACCTGCAAGAGAGGAAAGATAAGCTCGAAGAGGTCAGTCTCGACGTCATGGAAGCGTTTAGCCGATGCTGAGCGATTATCCGCAGGTTATGAAGCAGCTCAACAGCTTGGCGACCCTCCGACCGGATGTGCAGCCAACACCCCGGCGACAGCGCGGGCTGTTCGGCGGCATGTTCTGAGCTCGAGTTCTCTCCACGGTGACGTTTGGGTTGGAAGGTCTGGAATTATGCATTACTGTATTTCTTCATGGTCGTACATTCGCACTTCGTATAATACACACTGCTCCAGCATACTTTAACCGCTACGTGCCTGCCGCCCTGGCATAATAGCCGGGCTAGAGCTTGATGATGCGCCGTGGCCTCGAGGCCATCAACTCTTGCGGATTCCGGCCGAAGAAGTTGCCGGTCCCGGACGTGCCCTTGTCAACTTGCCTCGTTCAGAGTCGTTCTGCAGGAACATCCTCCTTGAGGACAACAGTGAATCAGATGCAAGGACTGTGCTTACGACGACTCGAATGCTGATCCGGCATAAATATTGTTCAGTCTGGATTAGGCACAAGTCATAAGAAGCCGGCGGGAGTCCGCCAACATTCACAAGCCTCTACACATCATCATCGAGCGGCTTCGCAGAAATCTGGGCGGTTCCGTGGCGCATGATGGCTGGGACAAGGTTTCTCTACGTTTGTCTGCTAACCATCATGGCCGCTGGTCTCTCCATCGTCTCGCAGAAGTTCGGCGGCTTCAGGGGGGTAGGTGAGCATATCGTCCGCGTCCCAGGGCTTGTGATCAGAACGCTCAACTCACCAAGTCTCCCTGTGCGTACGCCACGCACGTCACCAGACCTAGCCCGCGTCCTCGCCTCCCGCTCCTTCGAGTATGCGCCCAAGGTCGTGAAGTACTTCGTGCTTCTACTCTTCTTGGTGAACGTTCGCTCGTGGCCGTTGGCTTGGCATTGTACGTGGACGTGCTCCATCATGTAGGACAATCGACCGACCGGCTGGCTCACCGTTTTCCCACAGTCTACGTCTGGCGACCCGTCTTCCAGCTTCGCGGAAGGTACTATCTTCATACGCTGAGGCACTCTCTTTCGCCCGCACGGATACGTCAGCAGAAGAAGCTGGAATGGTTGGAGAATTTGTCGCCGGTGGGCAGGAACCCGTTCGACCTGACGGTAACATACCACACCTGGGCCGGTAAGTTCACTATCTATGCATGGCGCGCAGCACCATTCCACTCCCCCACGTCCAGCAGACACAACGTTTACGCCCTTTGTTAACACGTGCTCCGCGTCCGTGCTACGAGAGTGCTGAACATCTGGCTTTGTAGGTCCGGATGACTGCGACTTCAATCTACACTTGAGCAACTCTTCGTATCCAAAGGTGCGCATACATGATGACATGTTACGCGTTGTAGACCTCTAGTGCTTATATCGTATCTTCTTAGCATCTTGACGGCGCGCGTTTCAAGCTTGCTTTGCAACTGAGCCCGACGTTCTTCCGTACTGGGGGTTGGATGGGGCTTGGAGGTCAGTATCATCAAGGCGGTCTGATGCGCTATGCTCATAGTATCATGCCATAGCTACGCACTTTACGTTCCTGCGTGAGATTCCCATGTTCTCTCGTTATGAGATGCGCGCGAGCATCCTGAGCTGGGACAGCAAATGGGTAGGCGTTCTCGACCTACGGGTTCATCCTCCTGATTTACAGCTCATGCGCCGCTAGATCTTCGTAGCGACTCGCTTCGTGACAAAGCCGAAGAAGGGTAAAGTGAAGGCGAAGAAAGCCGTCGCGCCTCCATCTTCGTCCGGCAGCCCGTCTGCTGATGGTGCCCCCAACGCCTCCCTCCACACCGCGACCGGCGTGGTCTCTGGCACAGCAACCCCGCAAGTCGTCAACGGCACCAACGGTAACCCGAACCTCGCCTCGCTCGCAGCGCAGATCGTTGACCGCCCCGAGCCCGACGGCGCGACGGTCCATTGCCTCGCCATTTCCGAGGTCGTCGGCAAAATCGGGCGCATCACCGTGCCCCCCGGACTCATCCTCGCCGTTGACGGCTTCTCGCGCGCGCCCGACGTCCCGGGCGCGCAGGCGTGGTCGCACGCGAACCCGCCGCCGCACTGGGAGACCGTGCGGAAGCTGCGGGGACATGCAAGCCCTGACGGTAGTGCGAAGAAGGGTTCGTTGACGGTCTTGCGCGACTTCTACACCGGTCGGTGGCGCGAGGTGCCTGAGGGCGAGCGGTGGTGGGAGGATGCGCTTGGCGGGGAGGTCGAGGAGCGCAGGTTGCGCGGCCTGGGGTGTATGCAGGCTTTGAGGAAGGGCGTTGAGGAGGCGAGGACCATATGAGGCTCTGCTCTTCGAGTCCTTCGCCCCGCCCGCCATAGTAGCTTGGCTACAAGTGTCTGAGGCGAGGTCTAACGTCACGGATATTCATAGATCATCATAGAGGTATCACATCATATAGAGGTATCGAATTAACTAGCATTGTCCTAATGTACTCGAGCTTTGCGTCCGTGTATGGAGCTAAGTTATATGTATCCACAGGTGTTCATCGGCGTCCATCCACGTTCCAAGGTCTTTTCCTGCGACTTCCCACGAATCAGTTCTCCATGGGGATGATGGGGCTCTGCACCGTGACAATCCTGCTCAGCGGGCTGTTGGATCCGGGGTGATTCGGGCACTGCTGCGCCACTATGTTGGTCAAGTTGCGCCCGCTCACGACAAGCGCAAGCGTCTCCATGTCGTCCTTCCCGACCCTTTCGTGGAAGCAGCACATGTCCTTCACCGAATACGCCACCCACACCCACACGAACCTGCCCGCGCAGAACGCCCAGACGATGATGCCCCAGGTGGGGCTGGCGAAGGCCAGCCCGATCAGCGCGACCGCGAAGATCATGGCGTACTCGTACGCGGTCTCGGAGAAGAACGAGAAGCGGCGGGCGCCTTCGGGCGATGGAGAGGGTATGTAGCCGGTGGAGAAGACGACGCGCTCGATGTGCGCGGGGAAGAGCGTGATCGTCGCTCCGACGGCGATGCACCACGGCATGAAGAGCAGGACGCGGAAGAGGGTCGGGAAGAATGCCTGTGGGGCGGTATCGCCGTCCTTGACTGGGGGGAGCACATCGAAGGACGCGTCGGGGAGGAGCGCCAAGGCGTCCTGCTCGTCACAGGGGTATGCGCAGAAGAAGTCCGCCAGGGAGTGGGAGGGCCCGACCTCGGGGGACGCCAAGGACGGATTGGGGCTGATGGGATAGTCGGGCGAGTAGACACCCGTGGTCGAGCTGTTGCTCGTCATGCGTGCACTGATGCTCGTGCGCAAGCTGTTGATGTCGTTCGAGGACGCAGAGGTGATGAGGATGGAGATGGACGGGCGGGTGGGAGCCCTTGCGCTCTCTCTCCAGCTGCTGGCAATAGCAGTCGCTGGAGTCTCGCTCCCAAGGCATTGGATCGCAGACGAGTCCAGAGACTGGGAAGACGACTTTGAGCACGAGCATAGGATCAAGGGGCGAGCGAGGAGCACTTACCTTGCGGTCAGATTTACGGAGCGCAAGCATCCGCACGAGACCCTTTGCTTTGCCCATGACTCGCGCAATTGGACTTGCCTTGGACGGAGACACGAAGCGCGCATTCAGTGAGCCCAGGGAGTCGCGCGCATTCGCAAACATCGATCCGCATTCCACCGAACCCGACGAGAAGTCCATTATGAGGGGGTGCGCTTCGATCTGCAGGGTTTCTTCCGCACCGAGATCGACGGAGTCTGTATGAAGCCCGTCGTGGGTCGAGCAGGCATTGCAGGGCCCGAACACAGGGCAATGCGGACAATGATATAATATGGGCTGTGATGTTGTCAAATGAGCTTGTTACTCGCGAGGATACCGTCTGCGCGGCAGACAGCTATTGGACTTACGGGTGGGACGCGTTGCGGACTAGCGCATACGGGCTGCGCAGTCTGTACAATGTCGTTCGCGCTGGAGCTAGGAGTCATGATGAAGCAGAACGAGGAGCAATGTGCAAGAGCTTAGTATGGTTGTGCGGACCTATGCAGAGGAACAGCAGCAGACGTGAAACATATCTGCAATGTCAGCCCACGGCGCCGCTGTGGTCAGCCTCAGAAGCTCAGAGGCTGCCGCAACGACGTCATATTCGAAAGGCGACTGAGGCCTGAGGTCGAGACGCAGCGTTTCATCGCGACCTACTCAATACCTATTGAAACATAAGGCCGAGTACGCCTCGCAGAGCGCTGGAGTAGGTGTAGAATAAAGGGCCCGAACTCATTGATCATGCCGAGAACGTTCGGCAGACCTAAATTGTCTTCGCGAAGGGGAGCGAAGGGCCAGTCCGAACAACAGAGTGCCATTCAGATATATGGAAGTCTTCTCGAGGTTCTTGAAGGCTGACTGACTACGGGCTAAGTCGAAGATGGAGTGGCAAGTCATCCAAAACACCAAAACAAGAATGGGAGCAGCGTGGATGTCATGTCACAACGTTACCGAGCGACTTCAGGGCTCCAAAGGTACATTGTACCGGCACCCACTAGGCTGAAGAGTTGAGCTTATGCACCCGGTATCACACGCCGATCGTGCTATGTTAGCTAGCTTGCTGAAGTTCAGAGACCTATAGAACCGATGTGAATGGCAAAGCAAGGCACGTCACGGAGAGGATGAGATTTCCAACTAATCCTGCTTCTTTGCAGGTATAGTCATCGATTTAGGTGTACCACTAGCGCTGCGGCAGTAGCACACGCGCATGTGCCTAGCGAGGATAAAATTACGATGTCAGAGGAGGTGCTACGGGGAAGGTGCTGCAGAGATCGAGGGGCAGGATGATCGTACTACTCACTATGATTAGGCTGATGTTGGAGAGACTTGTACACGAGCCGTCTCAACTGCACTGAGTTTACAGAAGTTGTACATTGCATGGACACTTGACAGCCACTCCTAAAAGATGGTTCCAATAAGTTGTGAATAGCGAGCGTAGCAGCCATTTGTTGAGCGGTCTCATCCGTTCGCACGGTTCCACGAAGCATGTTTAGACGCTCGACATCAACTGCCGCTGCGGCCTTCTAACCTCAACGGGACCTTGCTTCTCCTGCTTTCACGAGTCGACGCCATCCCGTCACTCCGATCCAAACCATACCACACATTCTATTGGCTCTTTAGGGATTCAGAATGATATATAAACCCATGGGCCACTGCTACGAAATCAAGGACCAACCGTCCCCCAGAACAATCTTCCACCCCCCTTGCAGATCCTATATTGCGTTTCACCCTGTCATCAGTTGGCCTGCTGCCAAAGATGGAAAGAAGGTGAGGACAGTTTCTACTCTGGATGGACGACTCTGTAGTTCTTCTCTTCGCAGGATCACAGCTACGGACTCCTGGGAGCTGTATATCTCCACCAATTCCTTTGAGATTACACGGATACCGTCGGCCACGTATTATCAGTATGATAGTGAGTGTTCTCGTGCTCCACTTAACATACTGTCGATCTCATCACTACTTCAGTTGGTATACCATTTGTGTTCCCGTAAAGGATATAGCCATCTCATCTGATTTGCGTAGACATCAGCCCCGTGGCAGTACGACTCGTACCGCCTCGTCCGATGTCTAAACGTCAAAACTACGAGGTCATGGATCGTCTCCAGAGAGATAATTCTGCGCTGTTCAACCCTCGCCCCGTCTTTGATGGGAGGAAGAACCTCTATTCTACTCGAGAAATACAGGGAGCAGAGGTATGTTCCGCTGTATCCCTCATTATGGGCAAGGTTACATTTCTCCCGTTGATAGTTCGACGTGTGCATGAGCCGCAGGCATAACAATCCCACCCACAAGGTCGCGATTAGAGGGGTGACCACAATCGATGCAGCGTGCGTCTCATTCTATCGAGACACCGTCCCTATAGGGTCTCGGATCGTTCAACAACCTTCTAGCGCGGTCAGATTGCTGATGCAACCGCGGAATGCAAGCGTCCCGCCCGATAACAATACGAAGTCACTCAGCCTCCTCCAGTTGATCGTTCGCCAAGCGCCCAACATTAGGCACCATTTCCCAGCTGATGCGCGAGCTTTCTATGACATCGCAACCGCTAAATATCTCGACGTCGGGCTCTCAGTGTGGCGGGGCTATTTCCAGTAGCTTTGTTTTCCTAGATACAATGTGTCGTATGCTGACTCCAGATGGTGTAGGAGCGTGCGGCCAACACTGGGTCGATTGCTCATCAATATCGACGTCTCACACGCGCTCTTGTACGTGGTGACGGATTAGTACTGAATACTTGAACATGCTTATATTTTTGACGTAGCTATGCTCACGGTCCGCTCATCAATCTCATGATGCAACACCTTGGCGTACATGATGTACGAGGGTTGCACAATCTCCAGCCCCACAGCTTTCGACAGCTCCGGTCGTTCCTTAAGGGCGTCGTCGTCTCATTCACTGTCGCGCGCGACATGCGTCCACGCCCCATATCTGATCTCGTGGATGCAGCTGGTCTTCAGGAATTTGACAAGGAGAACGAACGGTGTTCTGTTCAGGTATGAGGCCGAGATTGGAACATACGACTCTGGAGGCTCACTCAGCCCTTGAAGCGCCACTTCGAGACCAAGTATCAGGTGCCAGTGCAGTACCCTAGGGCGATGGGCGTGAAGATAGGGAAGACCGCGATTTTCCCCGCAGAGTTTTGTGAAGTTCAACCCGGTCAAATATACCGGAAGCAGATTCCCCCTCGTGTTCAGAAGGAGTTCCTGAATATTGCGACGCAGAGGCCAGACGTCCGCTTCCGCGCCATCACTGAGGCTGTCAGACACGATGATGTACGTGATCTATTTGCTCTATCATATCGTGCGGCCCCCGCATATTCACGATGCAACAGGTCTTCAAATATAGAAGTTCCGATTACGTGCGAGAAGCTGGGATGCAAGTCAACGATCGGCCAGTTGATCTGAAGGCCAAGGTCCTCGCTCCTCCTCTCATAAAGTATGGACATGGTCACGTTGTGGTAGGCCGTGCGCAGATCTATGGATCAGCAGGAGTGCTGACAGCGCACCATATAGCAATTGGGGCGGAAAGCTGGCCATTGGAACCTGAGAGGCTGTCAGCTCTACAAACCCGGCGTGCTGCAGTCTTGGATGGTTGTCTGTTACTACAACGTGGACCGGGACCAGGTTCAGCACTTTGTGAGGAGACTCAGCGACGCCTTGCGGGGCCTCGGTAAGCAGGTAACATCTTACAGGCAGTGTCACTTGCACTCACATAACTTCACAACTGTGAACAGGCATGTGTATGTCTTAAGATCTTCTGTTTTCCTTTTCGGCTTGCATTTTCATGAAATTCTCTCCAATAGCCATCCCAGATAAGATGCCTGAACTCTTACCTGGGAATGGGAGCAATCCTACTGCGGTGAGGAAGCTTAACACAATGACTTCCGGAGCACCATAGTCATGAATAAATCCATAACAGGTTCTTGAAGAATATGGGCGAAAGCTCAAGCCAACACTTGTTCTTTGTATCATGCCGGAAAATTCTGCGGAGACTCGCAGGGCGATCAAGTATTGGGGCGATTGCGCCAGAGGCGTGTCAACGCAATGCGTGGTATGTGTCAAGTCAACAATCCTAGTAAGAACTACGCGCTCATGCACGAGGTACAGCTGAAAGGGAAATGGGACCATGCCAGCGAACAGTATTATGCTAATGTCGCTCTGAAGCAAGCAGTTCCTTGCTACTGCTCGTGGATCAGTAATCAGTGCTAACGCTTGGAATTGAACAGGATCAACTCTCGCATGGGCGGTATTAACTCGGTGATCGAACACCCCGAGGTCGGCGATTTCCTTAGAACAGCGATGATTGTCGGTCAGTGGCTGAATCACCTTCTCAGCTGTAATCCATCACTTACAACCTACGTCAGGCGCTGACGTTGGGCACCCAGGTCCCGGCATCACCAATCGGCCCTCTGTCGCCGGAGTGGTTGCGTCCTTGAACCTAGAGGCGAGCATCATGACCTCATATAGTTCAGTGCAGCAGCCCCGTCAGGAGATGATTGAAGACTTGGAAGAGATGATCATTGTGCGTACATCTACTTGCATATCAGGATCTGGGTAGTTGCTCACTGCCCTCCGAGCTTAGTCTGCTCTGAATGACTGGCGCAAGTATCGCAGAGAGTCTCTGGGTTCAGAGTTCGACCGGCCACCGAGCGTCATCATCTTCTACAGAGACGGAGTGAGCGAGGGCGAATATGACCGAATTACTCAATATGAAATCCATAAGATTCACAGTGAGCTCTTCACCCTATGTCACATGTCGCTGGGAGATCAAGTCAACTCCGACAAATAGGCTTATTCACAAGAATGAAATTGCCTCGGCGCGTGTGGCCTAAAATTGTCTTCATCGTTGTAACGAAGAGGTATGCGGTCTTGCCTTGCAGTTTGACGATGTGGAAAGATTACACCCCCTAGGCATCACGTCCGGTTTTTTGCGAAGAAGTGCGTCCCGTCAGATCGACGGCATTTTCCCCACAATCTCACCGATATCCAGCTCAGAGGATGAGGACCGCTCCGGGAACTGCCCCGCAGGACTTCTCGTTGATGACAGCATTACCAATCCGCATGTCCCCAACTTCTATCTCCAGTCACACGCGGGTTTGCTGGGCAGTGCGTGCCTCCAGGCTTCCTGGTATTCTGTGTGGTACTGACTTTGCAATCCACGCATATAGCAAGCCGGCCCACTCATTACTCTGTGCTGGCCAACGAGGCACAGCTCGATATTGATTTGTACGTATATCATCCCCGATGGTGCCTGTCAAGTCAATCAACCCTTGCACACAGCATCCAAAGGCTCACGTTCCACTTGTGCCACACATATGCAAGTGCGACGCGGTCAGTTTCCATCCCCGCTCCTGTCTATTGTGAGTGTCGAAGCAACCCCTCCCCATAGTGCCAACATGGTTAACTGTGAGACCATTGTCCAGATGCCGATGTACGCTTTGCAATTCTTCCATTGCTTCTATCCGACACTGACCCGGACGCGCAGCGCTTGTGTCTGCGGCTTCCCTTCCTCTGTGGGAATGGTGCATCCCTGAGCGACACCGCGTCGGACACCACTTCCGGGGAAACCTTCGATCTCGAAACGTGGAAGCGTGCTGTGGCACTTAGCAAACCATTTCCCGGGTTCCAGTTGAGGATGCCCTTCATTTGAACTGCCTACTGTCTCTCGGTCTTCGTCGTCGAGAATGCCCGTCGATTGGGCGGAAGCATGTACTGGAGGCCCCGTGATCTGCCTCTGTACGAATACCTGGTAGATCTTGCATGTCTGTTTGGCGTCCACACCCTCACCGTGCGTAGGACGCTGCTACTTATGTGTCATGCTAGCGTCGAGTACAGTTGTCATCGCAGTTGTATATTTCATGATTTTGAATGGCATCCGTCCGTTTGCAGTGCCACTGGTGTGCGACACAGACGGAGTCACATGGATGGCAGGTGAGGCGGTCAGTGGATGAGGGCTTGTTGTAGTGGCAGCATGAGCGGTGCTGGACCTTGCTGACGTCACGCTGCTGCTCGACTGCGACAGTAGAGGGCTCCAAGGGCTCAACATCCAACACCCGGTGATCTCTAAGCAGCTGCTGGATAACAATTTCATTAGACTCAGTTGCGCCAACAGTTGATAGAGGAATCTGGGGACGCACTCGTCGTATCCTTGCTAGACGAAGCGGTTCATCGCTCGATCGAATGCGCCACATCTTGGCTATAGACTTGACGTTCACTTATTGGTCTCGTGGCAAAAGGGTTGCGATCGAAGAGAAGCGCCGATCGAGCAGCGGCGCCAAGCAAAAGGAGCCTACGCACTCTCGACTCCGATCCGCTAGGACGCTCGCTGCATGTGGATGAGCTGTCGAGCAGCTTCGGCGTGACCGTTCAGTAGCCTGCGAACGTGAGTCTGTTCCTGTCAGACGAGCGGGCGAAAGGACCGGATAGGATACGACGGCGTGAAAATGTGCGAATACATAGAGATTGTGTGGGATGAGAGCAGATGGAGATCCAACGATACAAAACGACGCACGCCCTCATTGCCTGCGCACCCGTGGCGCGGGAATGAGGCCCAGGAGGCCGAATGCGAGTGCATACAAGGCGGTGGCTGCGAACCGCGCGTGAGACCCCTAGTTGGACTGCGAAGCGGTACCGCGAGAGCAGAGGGGGGTGCCCGAGGACGTACCAGCTATGATACCTTCGAGGTATCCCAGACTCGACCATTGGCCTAGCGTGTACACCAGCAGAGACCAACCGGCGACTATAGATACGGTCATGACCTGCGAACCTACGTCAGAATGGGGGAGGACACGTGTCTTGGGAGCTTACAGGTATGACGGTAGAGAGGACGCCAGACTGCCTCCAGGACCGATACTGGGTTCAGGTACGGGTTGGTCATCGCTCGAGGACTGGGCACATTATACGGCGCTGCTTACGTTTGGCTGTTCTCCTCGCACTAAAGGCAAAGCCAAGACGTACAGAAACGAGGAGACCGTTATTGCGGCAGAGAATATCGACAGACGTGCAGACAGCCTGGATTTGGCTTAACCGTCAGCACGGCGCATCGACCCAGATTATAGCGAGTTGCGCACCTACTCCAACGCCCCTCTCCAGCCTGCCCATTCAGGATACGCAGCAGGACGTTCCAGCTGTCGAAATAGTATGTAAGGAGACCCCCGGGAAGCACGAATTTGAGTTGCTTGACAGTATGACGCGAAAAGGTCATGAGAGACATGTTGAGCGCGGGCGTGGAAGGATACAATTCAGAGTCGACAAAGGTCGCGTATATAGGGCGCGCTCTGAGGATGATGAGCTCCGAGCTCGTTGAGCTCGACGTTTGGGAGGCAGGTTTCCCTCGCTCGATCGTCGTCGGTGTCGGACCACATTCACATGCCATCATGGGCGCTAGATAACCGAAACGGACTTATCCTCCGCTAAGTTATCAGATAACTACTTACGGTCCGGGTTTGCGGGGGCGTCCCCATTCGGTCGCCTCGGTAGAGGCCCTCTCTCCTTCTCAGGATGCTCGGAACTCGTTCAAGATATTCAACTGTACTCGCAGGCCTGTCCGAGGAGAAGCTCGTACTCTCAAGTGCCGACCGAAGCCGTTTGGAGGATCGCAGAGAATGCACAAGCGCCTCATCAGGGTGAGAAATTAAATGACCAAACGCCGCGGCACCACTCACCGGATGAGGACATGCTCCCAGAGCGGCGTGTCCGCACGCATAGCATTTAGCAGGTCTCCTCCCGTCTATTAACTCTCGTCTCGCATGTCCTGAGCTCGCCCTGCCTGCGGTCGTCTCTCCTCATCGGCCATCATGTGGTCCGGTACACCCAAGCTCGCCTTTGTCGCCCTCATCGTCCTAAACTGCCTCCTCTGGTCGCAATCTCGGTATGCTCATGTCGGCGGCACGCGATCCGCCCTGGCTTCGGGCTTTGCCAAGCGCGGCTTCTCTGACGTCGATCAGCTCTCGCCCTTCCGCGTAACGGCGAGCGAGGTGAGCCTTATTCTTATTCCTCTTCTGTCATCGAATATCTGCAAGAACCCATGGCGAAGCTGCCGAGGGTCGCGGACGCTCCGAACGGGAGGCAGGGCGCGCGTGCAGAGCAGCCTTGGCCTGCTGCATTTCGGTGGATGTCCGAGATCAAGCACATGCGCTGCTGGAATGCCGCCAGTCGTATTGGGAGCGATTCCACCACAATGTGAGCTAGGAAAAGAGAGGCTACGGCCGAGCCCGATGCGTTTGGCGGGTATCTGAGAGACGAATGGAGGGCTCTCTCGCTCGCGCATCTCAGACCCTCGGAGGTTGCGTCATGCCCAGGAGCTTGCTCTGCTTCCTTGTGTGCACTACGGCCCAGCGGGCCCGTTCACGCCCTATGACTGGTCACGCGACTCGGCAGAAGCAAATTATACTGGCACGCACTGGAGCACATCTCGTACTGCACCAGACCCGACCGTTGCGACCGGGAGGACGTTGGCATCTGGTGTGGAGTCGGTACTCACCAAATGTATTGTCTCCATAGGCATGTCAACCGCTCTCCGTCCCGCCCGAAGAACAATGTACGCATGTCAAGGAAGTGTGCGACATGGACCGAACTTTCCTCGACATTGGTTACCTCGAGTCCTACTTCTGCGCAGATACCGCCGCCCGCCCGCCCCTCTTCGTCGGCTACGCCGTCTGGCTCCTTTTCCTCTTCTCGACCCTCGGCATCTCCGCCTCTGACTTCTTCTGTCCTAATCTCGGCACGATCGCGCACCTGTTAGGGCTTGACGAGAATGTTGCAGGCGTCACCTTCCTTGCCTTTGGGAACGGCTCTCCGGACATGTTCGCGACGTTCTCGGCCATGCGGAGTAACTCTGGAGGCCTCGCGATCGGCGAACTGCTGGGTGCCGCAGCGTTCATTACATCGTGCGTGGTCGGCTCCATGTGCATCATTAAGCCGTTCAAGGTTTCGCGCGGGCCGTTCCTGCGGGACGTCGGTTTCTTCACCGTCGCGGTCAGCCTGCTGCTTATCGTGCTCTGGGACAACAAGCTCGAGGCATGGGAGGCGGCTGCCATGATTGTGCTCTATGCCGTGTACGTGACCGCTGTCGTCATAGGCAGCTGGTGGAGAAGGCGAGAAGAGAAGCGCAGGCGCTTGGAGGCGCTCATGCGAGCCGAGTACGCAGACGAAGAGCACTATCACGACGAGGAGCCCTATATTGACGAGCGTAAGTACTCCTTTCGTCGTCCGTTTCGCTGCTCTTGCCAACTCTAACGCCACCATCCGTCCATTAGCCTCCTTCTCTCAATCACCGTCCACGCAGACCCTGCAGGTTCCCTCGCCCTACTCGCGCGCACGCTCCATCTCGCATCCTGACCCACCTCGGCTTGGAGTACAGACCAACCTGCCGCAACGTCCACGCACGCGCTCGGTCTCACCTTCATCTCCGCCGCTCAACCACATGCCCTCCTTCTCCCTTGTCGGCGCACTCGAGTTCAGGCGTGTGGTCTCCTCGCTGCAGCGCGATGCCGCGTCCGCCTCGCTATCGCCCTTCGAGAGCCCGCTCACGCCGTACTCGTATCGGCGATCCCGACATAGCCTGCGCTCGGGATCCCACACGCCGCTCCGCTCACCCAGCGGTCACGGCGAGCAGTACAACCCTTGGGATACAGCGCTGGGAGTGCCGCTGGACGAGCGCCCCGCGCCTCCCGTCGCGCAGCTCACTCCCGGGGAATCTCCGCTCGAGGGAGGAGAGCACACGCGCATCCCCTCCATCTCGCACACGCCCGCCTCCCCCACCTCCGTCGCCGACACGGACGCGGAGTCGCAGACGTGCGTCGAGGTCCCGCGCACGCGCAGGCAGCGCGTGTACAAAGCCGTCGCGCACGTAGGGCACATCCTCTTCCCCACGCTGCACGACTTCTGGAGCAAGTCCTTCCTGGGCAAGATCGCCGCGGTCCTGGCCGCGCCCGCCGTCATGGCGCTGACTCTCACCCTGCCTGTCGTCGTGACCGCGCACGAGAGCCCGGAGTCGTCAGAGAAGAGGCGGCACTCCGCCGCGGGGTCGAGCGTGAGCCCGCTGATCGACTTTGAGGAAGAGGGCGTGGAGCGCACGCTGATCGCGGAAGACGAAGTCGAGGAAGAGATGCACGAGCTCAAATTTAACAAGTGGCTAATGGCCGTCCAGTGCTGCCTTGGGCCGCTGTTCTGTGCTGCCGTCCTGTTAGGTATGTGGTCTTCTCGGCTCTGACCTCCCCGAGGGCGTTGCTCCGAAACCTCCGTGCAGTCATTGACATGCGCTCATGAACTGAATGAATGAACCTTTGCAGATGGCATGAAGCGCGAGGGCTGGCAATTGCTAGCCACTGGCGTCACTGGGCTCACAGCGGCGATCCTCGTCGCCGTGTTTGCGGACAAAGGGCTCTCTCCGGCCGCACAGCTCGCGCGGTGCGCCATGGGCTTCGTCGTCGCGGTGGTTTGGATCATGGCGATCGCCGACGAAGTCGTTAAGGTTCTTCAGGTACGTACGGTGATCTCGCTCCCCCGAGACTTCCTATTGCCTTGTTTGTTCCTCCACGACCCCTCGTCCTTCCGTGCCCCCTTCATTAGAGCATACTCTCCGTCCCTTCCCCGCTGTTCGCTGACGAGTGTGACAAGACCTTGTATTGTGCCACCTCTCCGTTCATGGCTTCTGTGGATGCGGTTGCGGTTACGGTTGCGGTTGCAGACGCGGTTGCGGTTGAGGATGAATAGACGCTAACTCTAACGCCTCTGCAGACCTTCGGGTTCATCTTCGGGCTCTCGGACGCCATCATCGGCATCACGATCTTCGCCATAGGCAACTCCCTCGCCGACCTCGTCGCGAACATGTCCGTCGCGGTCTTCGCGCCTATCATGGGCTTCTCCGCGTGCTTCGGCGGGCCGATGCTCAACATCCTCCTCGGCGTCGGCATCTCGGGCTCGTACATCGTGCGCCAGACGGGAGTGCCCTACCCGCTCCACTTCTCGCCGTCGCTCGTCATCACGGGCACGGGCCTGCTCGCGTTCCTGCTGGCGACGCTGGTGTTCGTGCCCATGAACGGGTACCTCTTACCCAGAACGTGGGGCGTGTCGCTGATCTGCGCGTATTTGGTCCTGATGGCCGCGAACATCGTAGTAGAGGTCATGGGGAGTCAATGACACTGGCGCTTGGGTCCGGGGAAGGTTGAGGCTGGTAGTGTCGCTGGTGTTGTCGCTGTGCTGGTATACGTATTCACTTATCGTTACATGTCCTCTCACCCGCGCTTCGCTGTCCGTGTTTAGTACTAATCGCTATTGCAGTCTATGTATCGTTGCACAGTTATTGCCCGCATCTCACCTATCGTACCACGTACTTCGGACTTACGTTCTCTGCACACGCGCATCAATCTTCACGTGTACGTGTACACGTCCGAGGTCTGTTCAACAGCAGCCATAAGAAGAGTCCAACGAAGAGTTGAAGAACTGGTAGGTGGGAAGGAAGACACTCGCGAGAAGCCACCGACAGGGCGTGGATGGGAACCCCGCGGACAATGCGGGGGATTCGGACCTTCCTTCGCCTAAGGGGTCTGGGACGCCCCGCTGGGGGCGCTGCGTTTATCACATAGAGCGCACTAGCAGCGCAGGCAGCGCTTGCGGTACAGGTCAAGTTCGCTTTCCAGATCGTCTCGGGTGCACAATCGGGTGTCGTGATGATTGGGCAGATCTGGCAATTTGTCATGGCCAGAGGAAGAAGTGCTCTCTTCCAATGAGAGTGCACGGTGGGTCCGCGTCTAATCCGGCCTTTCCAGGCCTCTGAACGACACCAGCCAATGCCGGTCAAGGGCCAACCGTCCGTCCCACGCCCTACGAATACCAGAAGCCGTAGAACCCCATGCTTCGCCCTGTATATTGCGTTCAGGCCAGCCTCGTGGGCACGGAGCTCCTGATTCTTGCATGATTTCTCTATTGCTCAACGTCAGCCACGTACGAAAGAAAGCCTTCTGGTGCCCGAGAGACCAGGCTGAGAGACTTCCCTCCTTGCGGACACGTCCTAGAATAGATAGGCTCCTCGCAGTCGGATACGGAAGGTCGCGGCTGGACCTGTGGTCTCTGCTGGAGATAGCGCTGCCGTGAAAAGCGTAAATAAGCTTGAACGCGAAACAGACTGAGTCCCGTTTCCGAGAAGTGCTCCGCGCACGTAGCACATAGCACGCCGCGCACGACAGCTCTCTACTTCCTGCGACCCCTTGCAGTCAAACCAGCCTGCAACTTCGTGATGGCTCTGCAGACTCAGACTCACCCGCCGATGACCTCGCGCGTCCGCATCCTCACCTCTCCAGACGGAACGCGAATTTGGGCCGAGTCCTCAGGAGACGCTTCGAAGCCCCCGATCGTCTTCGTTCACGGACTTTCTTGCACAGCGCTCGGGTGGGATAAACAGTTCGCCGACGTGGATCTGAAGAAGAACTTCCACCTCGTACGATACGAGATGCGGGGGCACGGGAGAAGCGGGAAGCCCCTCGACGAGAAGGACTACGCGTCGATCCGCATCGCAGAGGACTTCAAGACAGTGTGCGACGCGTTTGGAGTAGTGAAGCCGTTCATGGTCGGCTGGTAAGCGGCCGGCATCGAGCAAATTGCCAAGCATAGCATGAACGCTCACCTCTTCCCATCGTGTAGGAGTTTGGGGGGCTGTATCGCTGTGGATGTGATCACCGCCTATGGCTCCGAATATATCTCGGGGATCGTTTACGTGGGCGGTTCCATCCTCGCCCTCAACTACCATCCTCCATGCAAACACCCGCTGATGGAGGAGCTCTGGCCTGTCATCAGCTCACTCGAAGCCGATGATATGAGCGGCGGCGCCGAGGCGTTCGTCGACTCGTGCGTCAAGGAACCTCTTCCCTACGACGTCAAGCTGCTCTGGATGGGTGGCTTCATCATGCAACCTCGCGCGGCCCGTTATTGGAGCATCAGGCGCGTACAGGACCACACCGTCTGGGAGACCACGGCGCGTCAGGTGCCGGTGCTCATCGTCCAGGGCAAAGAGGACTTGCACTGTCTGTACGAGAACATGATCAGTATCGCGAGGCGAATATACGACGACGTCTCGGTGAAGCTCATGGACGGCATCGGCCACTCACCGCATTTCGAGAACGCGGCGGAGACGAACAAGGCCATTGCAGCCTGGGTGCAGGGGGTCGTCGAAGGAAAGGTGAGTACCCTGCGGGTCGCACTGGGGCAATTCTTGTGATCGGTATCGCTTTATCGTCCCATCTGATACACCTGCTAATTTGACAGACGTGGCAGCGTTCTAAGCTGTAGTCCATGGTTTCAGAGAAGGGATTTCTTCATTGACTCGAGGGTATGGGGGCGCGGGTGTCGCGACGGGCTATTTATCACGTTAATTGTACGCACATTCGAGGGCTTGAAAGTTGTCTTCTTGGTCCGCGGTCATTCCCGCGATTAGCTGGTCACCGATCGCGAACGCGAATCGAAGAAGGACTGAGCCTGAGCCTAAGTCAGTGACTTCGGGTACAACAATATCACGAATCACGTAGTACGAAACCAACCACGATTTTCGATGTGACATTCATCCATTCCTGCGGATGCAGTCAGTCCCGTTGCACAGCGCAACGCGCGGATGGCGCGCTGAGGGCCGTCGATCTTTTGATACTTACGCTCTACCGGAATACGACCAGCATACACAGTACATAGTACACATCATGGTAACACGTACAAGACGAACGTCTCGTAGTTCGTATGATGGAAGCTGAGATGCTATTGGTCCGCAAGCAAATGAGCGCCGACCCTGTCCGTGTGCTGAAAAATAAACCGGTCTTCGGGATAGGTTCCTTACAAACCGTTTCAGTATCCGAAAGACCGGTGTATCCCTTGAGTTCTATTCCTGTGAAGGTCTAACGCTCAGGCAAGGTCACGGCATAAATGGAGCATGCAGACATACGCAGGATAGTCGTAAGCACTCACTCTTCAGACTATAAGCCAACACCAGCAGTATGCCGCTGTCAGGAGAACAAAGCCTCACCTCCCCGGACGGCAACAAGATCTGGGCGGAATCCGCAGGGGAGCCCTCCAAGCCTGCGCTCGTCTTCATCCATGGTATGGGGTGTACCGCGCTCGGATTCGATAATCAATTCGCGGACCCAGACCTTCTCCATGATTTCCACCTCATTCGCTACGAGCTGCGTGGTCACGGTCGAAGCGGGGCGCCTGTCGAGTCAGAGGGATATGAATCCATCCGTTATGCAGAGGACTTCAAAACCGTATGCGAAGCATTCGGCGTGGAGAAGCCATTCCTGATTGGTTGGTGAGTGATCAGCAGCCAATGATTTGCATCGCCTACTGACCAGGCTATATTTCACGTATCTTAGGAGCCTCGGAGGTTTGCAGAAACTCATCCGCCTTTTGCGGTAAACACGCTAACCCAGGTTTACGCACGGCCAGGCGCCATCGCAGTGGATGTAATAAATGCCTATGGGCCTACATACCTGTCCGGCATCATCTACTGCGGCGGCGGCGCGATCCACCTCGAATACGGTATGAGCACTACCAGCGCATTCCTTGTGGGTGCCTTTGGTACCCTCATGACCGAATCAGCACAGGAGATGACCGCTGCCGCGTCGTTCTTCGCCGATTCCTGCGTAGCGCCTACGTCGCTCCCAATCTCCTACCCACTGAAATTGCAGATGATGGGCGGATTCCTCGCAGCACCACGGCACGCGAAGATTCAGAACTTCAGCCGCAAGCAAGACGCGTCAGCAGAGTGGGAACGGCGTGTACGAAATGTGCCGGTGTTTGTCGTGCAAGGCCGCGAGGATCAGCATCGGAACTGGGAGGCCATGCGTGCGCTCCTCGAGAGGCTTTATGCGGACCTCGAGATTTACATGTTGGATGGGCTCGGGCATTCGCCGCATCTCGAGAGTCCGGCGGAAACGAACAAGGCGATTGGGACATGGGTCGGCAAAGTATTGGCACGGGAATAGGTCGTTCAATGTACTCCATGTTAACCGACATCCAGTAGCGGTTCAATCTGCTCGTCCTCTAAATGTTCAACACGAGCCGTCAGCATTCGATAAGGTCAACGCAGGAGAAATTTGGGACGTGCAACCAGTCGCATAAACCGAGCAGGACCTCGCCTATCGTAGGTCGGATAAGACATCTAAACCTGCGTCGTATTAGTGCTGTGCGGCAGACATACCCTACTGTTTCCCGGCGAAAGCGACAGTGGACAAGGTGACGGCCGAGAGGGCGAAGAGCTGCACGTTGACGATGTGTGTTCGGGGTGATGATTTCTGCGTTGACATATCTGTGTGCGAGGACTTTGAGTAGTGTTTGTTTGCTGGGGTCTTAGGGTCAAAATCGCGGACCTTATATACCCGCAGGAGAGGGGGTAGGGAGTGCGGGACTTCGAGGTTAAAGAATTTGCCAAAGTCCAACAGCCGTAGTGACTGGCCCATGCGGCATGGAGAGGTCCGCGCCTTCACGAGGCGGAGAGCGTCGCGTTGCAGACGAGCCCGAAAAGAGACAGGCCGACTTTCCGTCCCGCGTTACGAACTGCTCCGCCACGACTACCGCTGGGTCAGACTGAGACAGCTGCATTCCAGGCCCGTTTGCGCTGGTGCTGCAGTACTACGCCAGTCCCTGGCGCGACGAATGACTCCCACCTGTGTTTTCCGACTCGACACCGCAGCTCATGCGTCTATGCAGCAACAACGACGGCATTAGACCGGAAGACGTGTGAGGGTCACAGTGTATACTCCGCTTACGCCTCCTTCGGGCAGTCTTGGGATCGTGTTGTCAGTGCCTTGCCTGCGTTGGCTTGTCAAATTAGGGGTGTTCAATTCTTGTTGGTCTTCGTCGGGCGCCTAATGAGCGCCTGCCCACATGGCATCAAGATCAGCTCAAGTGCTCCTCTCGAAACCGTTACATCTTTCGTCCTTCTTTCACTCGCATATGGTGGGAATGACAATAATGCTGCCCCACGTCAAAGCGACTCAATGCAGGATACCAACTTTGCATGCCTCTTGGGATTCTGCGGTATGCGAGTGATACGGATTCGGCCTGTGAATATTCGGACATGCGCGTTATGCAGGAGACTCTGCTATTGATGACTGCACCAGGGGTATAGCGCATTGTTCGATCGTGATGCGCCGTTATGCCGGTAGCAAGATGGTGGTACAATGTTTCCTCCTCCTAGACCTGAAGACGACTCATACTGTGACGGCAGCACACGATACGAACAAGACCAAACTGACGATGGAGACAACGGGACATGCTGCCGCCAGAAGGCCGGACATGAGCATCACGATCAAGATGGCTACACACGCTTCTGGAAGGTCAGTCGAACGGGAGCGGTGCATATTGCGGACTCTTGTAAGCAGACAATCTCAAAAGTCAGCTCAGCCGGTGTTCACTGAGTTGTGAATGAGTGCAGATGTACTCACCGCAAACATATAACCGTCCTCCGCCCAGCCGTGACATATCCCAATCGGACCGCATACAAAGGAAAACATTGTCCGCCACCCGATCACTCTTCCCAGAACCTCGAGTCGAGCGCGCACTCCTTCGCCATCTCGAGCTATACAAGCAACGGCGTCAGCATCTCCGCAAAACACAAACACATCACCCAACACCCGGCGTACCTGCTCATCCGTCCTGCACACGAGTACCCGCTTGCCCTCCTTCCCCTTCCCCACGTCCACAACCACGCTCTCGTCCCCGTCCACCTTCCCGTTCGCCTCAGGGTCGAGCTCGAACCCAAGGCATGCCGCCTTGTCCAGCACCGCCTCCCTCAGCTCGACGCTGCGCTCCCCGATCCCCCCTGCGAACACCAGCGCGTCCACCTTACCTCCCAACTTCAAGTAGTACCCCCCGAGAAACCCCAAGATCCGGTCGACGAACAGGTCGAACGCCGTCCTCCACTTCCCCTCCTCCTCCTCCTCCTGTCCCTCCTCCTGCCCCTCGCCCTCGTCCCCCTTCACCCCTCTGCGCCCCCTCTCCTCCACCCTCTTCATATTCCGCACGATCTCCCCAAAGTCCGTAGTGCCCGTCAGCGCCGCCCACCCGCTCCGCTTGTTCAGGATCTCCTCCGCCTCCGTGACGTGCACGTCGACGGCCAGCGAGCGGTCGTGCGAGATGCGCCCCGCGCGGTTCGTGTAGTGGAAGATCAGGCTCGGGTCGATCACCCCGCAGCGCGTCGCCCCGGGCAGGCCCGACACCGGCGTGAGGCCCATCGTCGTGTCGAGCGACTGGCCCCCCGCGACCGCGCACATCGACGCGCCCGAGCCGAGGTGCAGCACGATGAGGTTCAGGGAGGCGGGCGGGCGCTGGAGGTGGGCGCTCACTGCGCGGAGGATGAACGCGTCTGCGTGCGTGCTGTGTCAGCAAGGGGCGAGGGGCAGAGAGGGAACGGGGTGGGGGGGACGCACAGCTGAGGCCGTGGAAGCCGTACTTCTTGAGGCCGCGGCGCCGCGCGACGTCCTGGCAGATCGCGTACATGGCGATGTGCTCGGGGATGGTGCGGTGGAAGGAGGTGTCGAAGTACGCGATCGAGCTCGCGTTCGGGAGCGCGTCGATGCACGCCTTGATCACGGACAGCGCGCCCCCGTTGTGCCTAACACACGCCTCTCGTCAGCGCACTTCACGAGGCGATACGAGGCGAGGCGGGAAAACGAAGGGCGCTCACAGTGGCGCGAGGTCAGAGAGCCGCTCGATGTGGTGGTAGCTCTCGTCCGTGATCACCACCGGCTTGAAGTAGTCGCCCCCGTGCACGACGCGGTGGCACACGTGCACGATCTGCGCGCGGTCGATGCTCGCCTCGCGCTTGAGGTAGTCGAGGAAGTGCGCGAACGCGGACGCGTGGTCGCGCACGCGCTCGACCGGCTCCTTCTTCGTCTCGCGGCCCTCGGCGTGCGCGGCGAGCGCGAACGAGAAGCGCGCGGGGGGCGCGGAGATGTTGTCGATCGTCGAGGTGAGCAGGAGCTCGACCGCATGTGAGTCGTCATTGGGAGACGGGGAGGGGGAGGGGCTGCGCTTGAAGAGGGAGATCTTGAGCGAGGAGGAGCCGGCGTTCACGGCGAGGATGAGCCCGGACTTGGGCGCGCGGTGCTCTTCGGAGCCCATGGGGAGGTGGAATTCGGTGGCGGGGTTGGAGGCAGCGGTGCGCGCTTGCGGGTGCGTACGCAGGGAGTTGGTCCTAGAGTGGTGCGGCATGGTTCGTTAGTTGTGCTGTTCGGGTTCCATTCCATCCCAAGAGCCTTCAACTAATATTCAACTGGTCGCGCTTTCGTGTGTACGAAGCGTTCAGACGAGCATCCGTGCGCGGGCAGTGCATATGTCAAGTCATCTTAGCATTTTGCGGAGAGATGTCGCCGACTTATCTGGGGGGTCTGGCCCGTGTCATACAAGAGCCTGGACGATCGATTGGACTCACAAATGCCTGGACTACGTTCTCGTCGAGTCTTCGACCGCCTGAGCTACTGAAGCGATGGCTGCGGTTCTGTACAGGAAGTGCGGGGGCGACCTTCGTCTGGGGAGTTGACGAACTAGGTTTGACGTTGCACTGAGGGCGCTTCATCGTGAGGATGGGTGGGGTGTCTGCATGACCGAGTATGACGTCGATGTCTACGCAAAGGCTGCGCTGCAACGTCCATTTCCGTAAGGCACTTTACTTTGCGCACGATGATTACTATGTTGCGATGACTGCGAATATGCCTCGCGGTCGGAGATGAGGCAGATAGTAGCTCGGCGAGTCGATGTTGTTTTGCGCGCGACGTCTCTGGTTGGGAGCCAGACTCAGCGGCCTATGCGGCCGCATGTATGCCTTGGACTCTCTTGTACGCACAGGTCGTTGGGGCGAGGAAGATCGGGTTGGTTGTCAGTGCGGGATCTTCGGACAGGGGAAGCAGGGCGGCAGGAACTCGGCTTCAAGTCTATCAGGGCATCCGGAAGAGAAGCTGACAAGAAGTGGGGGGAAGGCGCTGTCGAGACCCGCGAGAGACCGCGAAAGAGAGGACGTCCGCGCTGCTTGTCGCGCTGTGGCGCTCCGGTAGGCCCCTGAGGTGTGTTCTAGGCTGGTAATTGCTGTCGACCATGAGAGCATACGAGTATCACGGCGACGTTTCAGGGGCCTGGATAGAGAGCGATGATGGTCCACGGAGGCGTAGAACGTTTGATGGACGACGAAAGAAGGAAAGCGGGCTTTAGGAACGTCTGGCCTTTGGTCGGCCATGTCCCAATCGCGTCCAGTGCAGTCCATGGGAGGCACAGTCCAGAGTCACACCGCCGGGCCGCTCATTGGCCTCAGCGCGTGACTGGCGTGACTGGACGCGTCTTTGGAGAAGCCGGGCCCGATTTGGCAGCAGAAGACACCAGCTGTGACGCACAGATGCCCTCAGACGCACGGATGCCCTCAGACGCTATCGTATACTCACCTCCTCGCTCCCCGTCTCCATAAATATGCCTCCCCCTATCGCTCTTTGCTCCCCACTACTCCTCTCTCACTTCCCAACTCCTCCCCTCTCCAATCATGCCTGGCCAAAAGCTCTTCCAACCTAACCCCCCTCCCGATCAGTCTCTCCTCCCGGAGTCCGTCCTTGACCTCAGCGTTAAGCTCGACATCAAGCATGCTCTTTCCGATGAAGAACTTGTCGCCGTTAAGCAGTTCCGCAGAGCTGCCGACTACATCGCTGCCGGTACGTCCTGTTCCTAGAATCGTCTCTTGTCGCCGATTGACCTGACTATATGCGCATATATCCAGCCATGATCTTCTTGAAGGACAACGCCCTCGTAGAGCGCGATATCACCCCCGAAGATATCAAGCCCCGCCTCCTCGGCCACTGGGGAACCTGCCCCGGCCTCACCCTCGTCTACGCCCACCTCAACCGCCTCATCGCCAAGACCGGCATCGACGCCCTCTACGTCGTAGGCCCCGGCCACGGCGCTCCCGCCATTCTCTCTTCCCTCTGGCTCGAGAGCTCCCTCGGCAGCTTCTATCCCAAGTACTCGCGCGATAGGCAGGGCCTCTCTGCCCTCATCGCTTCCTTCAGTGCTCCTGGCGGTTTCCCAAGGTGAGTCCCCCCTTGTTGCTCCCAGGAACACCCGAGCTGATCTTCTCCCGCGTAAAGTCACGTCAATGCCGAGACACCAGGGTCGATTCACGAAGGTGGCGAGCTCGGTTACGCCCTCGGCGTGTCGTTCGGTGCCGTCATGGACAAGCCCGACCTTGTCTGTGTCGTTGTCGTCGGCGACGGTGAAGCCGAGACCGGCCCGACTGCTACGTGCGTGCACCTCCATGGACCCCTACTGTCTGCTCTGACGATACTTCGTCTTCTCCTCTAGCGCATGGCACGGCTACAAGTACATCGACCCCGCAGAGTCTGGGGCGGTGCTCCCTATCGTACACGTAAACGGCTTCAAGATCTCCGAGCGAACCATCTACGGTACCATGGACGACAAGGAGATCGCTGCGCTCTTCGCCGGGTACGGATACCAGGCGCGCATTGTCGAGGATCTTGACAACATCGACCTGGACCTTGCGGCGAGCATGGAGTGGGCCCTCGGCGAGATTCACAAGATCCAGAAAGCAGCCCGGAGCGGTAACCCCATCGTGAAGCCGCGCTGGCCTGTGCTCATCCTGCGCACACCTAAGGTACGGCGCCTTCAGTGTAACGATATTGGCGTGGGCTGACTCAAATGGTTGTATGCAGGGATGGTCAGGCCCGAAAGAACTCCACGGCGAGTATATCGAGGGCTCTTTTAGGTCCCATCAGGTCCCCCTTCCGAACGCGAAAAAAGATGCGGGCGAACGAGAGATACTTCAGACGTGGTTGCGCTCTTACAACCCGAAGGAGCTGTTCGGCTCCGACGGCGTCCCCAACCCTAATATCCTGTCCATCATCCCGAAGGAGGAGAGCAAGCGCTTGGGCATGCGCGAGGAAGCGTACAAGGCATACACCGCGCTCAGTGTCCCAGAGTGGCGCGATTTCGCTGTCGAGAAGGGCTCCGCGCAGAGCCCCATGCAGGTGACCGGCGAACTGCTCGACGCCGTCGCCCAGCAGAACCCGCACTCCTTCCGCGTTTTCTCCCCGGACGAGCTGATCTCGAACAAGCTCGACGGCGTCCTCCGCCACTCTGGACGCAACATGCAGTGGGACGTCGCGTCTCGCGCCTCGGGCGGCCGTGTCATCGAGATCCTCTCGGAGCACACCTGTCAGGGCATGCTCCAGGGCTACACACTCACCGGCCGGACGGGCCTCTTCCCGAGCTATGAGGCGTTCTTGGGCATCATCCACACGATGATGGTGCAGTACGCGAAGTTTGTCAAGACCGCCGCTGAGGTGCCGTGGAGGCAGCCGATGGGCTCGCTCAACTATGTCGAGACGAGTACGTGGACGCGGCAGTGAGTTCCTTTCTTCTCCGCTGGCTGGCTTCGTGAGAGAGGATTAGAGTTGACGAGTGTGGTGTATCAGGGAGCATAACGGTTTTTCGCATCAAAACCCATCGTTCATCGGCGCGGTGCTGAACTTGAAGCCGCACTCGGCACGCGTGTACCTCCCCCCGGACGCGAACTGCTTCTTGTCGACGATGGCGCACTGTCTACGCGCGAAGAACTATGTCAATCTGATGGTTGGCAGCAAACAGCCCACGCCTGTGTGGTTGAGCCCAGAAGAGGCTGATCGGGTGCGCTTTCTCCCGCTTCGTGCTTGAATTTCCATGTCTGATTTTCCTGCTGTGAATTTCAGCACTGCATCGCCGGCGCGTCAGTCTGGAAATTCGCGTCCACGGACGAGGGCATGGCCCCGGACGTCGTTCTCGTCGGCATCGGCGTGGAGTTGACGTTTGAGGTCATCGCCGCGGCGGCGCTGCTCCGGAAGGAGATCCCCGCCCTGCGGGTGCGCGTGGTGAACGTGACAGACCTGATGATCCTCGGGCCGTTTGGGTCGCACCCGCACGCGCTCAGCGACCAGGGCTTCGAGTCGCTCTTCACGCGCAACAAGCCCGTCATCTTCAACTACCACGGGTACCCCGTCGAGCTCAAGGTGCGTCTCCTCCTGCTTAGCGCATTGGGAAAGTCTTTTGTTGACTGAAGGGCGCGCACAGGGCCTGCTGTTCGGGCGCGAGGGCCTGGAGCGGATGACGATCAACGGGTACCAGGAGGAGGGGACGACGACGTCGCCGTTCATGATGATGCTGCTCAACCGGACGAGCCGGTACGACGTCGCGGCGCAGGCGGTGCGCGCGGCGGCGCTGCTGAACCCGCGCGTGGAGATCGACGCGCACAAGACGGTCAGCCACATTTTGCACCTGGCGCAGAAGCACAAGGAGTATATCCTGCAGCACGGGGCGGACCCGGAGGACACGTTTGATGTGCCGAAGTTCAGCGAGTAGAAGTAGACCGCGTGTTTCGGGCGGGTGGGATACTCAGGTCGTCCTCAGGGTCCCTCACGAAGGAGGGGCGGTACTAGTACGGTGGAAGTGCAAGGACAATGTCGAGTTGAAGTGTGACGGTCTTGTTCACGTGTACTTGTATCTCGTTGGCATTCGTAGCTTGTTGTAGCTGTACCCTTAGATCTTAATTTCACTCATGTCGAAAGACATTCTTGCTGTCGCGCAGAAAATCGTTGCCGGCCACTGTTAGCCTGGCGTCCTTGGTGCGTAGCCGGTCGCGCCGTGGGTGATTGCACGTGCCGCGAACTCGGCCTTTTCGCCTACTGCAGATGCCTGGAACTCGGTTTCTTTCTGCTGACTTTCCATTCTTCCTTTGGTGCTCTATGCTCTTCATGTGCAGCCTGCAGGCCGCGACGTTCTCGACTCGATCAGAATCAACAGACTTTCTAGGGCGCAATGGTGACGGTGTTAACGGAGTATACGCTCTGCTTTCGGCAGTGTTCCCATGGTGGGAGTGTTTCACCACACGGGCTATGTGCAAGTTAGCGTTGTCCTGCTTTAGCAAGGCCGTCGCCTCTCAGACCGTGTGGTTGTGCGTCGGATTATCGCAGGGAATTGTGGTGTTTTCGGTGCGTGAAATGTTCAACTTTGGCGTTTCGGTCTGTTTCGCGGTGCTTAGGATGCCAGTTGGGTGGCTTCCCAAATGTCTGCATAAGACGCAGGCAGGGGCGTGTCGGCTCCATCTGTGAGCTTCATCCTTTCCATCCCATTCTCTCAGTGCATGCATGTGATGGGAATGCGCCACGGAGGCTGCATAGACTCATGCAGAGTCCCTTGGCTTGGCCTGCACACTTTTGCGATGCTGTGCATACGCAATTCGGGAACGGCGTGCTCACTTCACCATGCGTGCGGCGGCGGCGGCGGGCGAGGGTTGGTCCGCGTCGCTGTGGTCGCAGTGAATATCACAGTCGTCGCAGGACAGCCCGCGACTGTGTACTCCGCATGGCTGATGCTCTCAGACTGCTCTGATTCTGACCCGTACAATCGCGTCAGTCCCGATGCTCTCTTACTTTCACCCTTCGTCCGTCTATATTTGCAGAGCTCGCTGATGGGATGATGTCATGAGCAAGATGGGGACTGCGGTCGTTCGTGACCGCCCTTCGCCCTTCGGCGAGAGCTTTGCTCATCGATGGGTCGTGGGGCAATTTCTTTGTCGCTCTCATGTTGCCTTCAGGCGCAGTGAACCCCGACGTGAGGGGACGGCCATGCGCTAAGATGGCGCAGATGGCCGCCCGCACTCTACCCATGTGCCGGTGGTGGCCCATGTCTAACCTCTGGCTCGTTGTGGCAGTTCGGCCAGGCGGGAGGCGGCAAGATTTGTCTCTCTTCCGTCAGCTTGGGCTTGTGCGTCTGCGCCCTCCGTCGATGGCTTGTTGTTTGCCGCAAGCGTATCGCCTGACGCGATGCTGGCCGAAGGAGATGGCCTTCCTGGTTGGCAGTTGTCATCATCCGGAAGGGAGGTGGCGAACAACGCTCAATCTCCGCCATGCTGTTGACGAAGACGTCAGATGATGCAACTATGGATGTCGGTCAGCACCTGAACGATGTGGTTGGCGGTGATTTGTGGGGGCCAGCGCTGCAAATGCGTAGCGGAGGATGGTGGGCTGGCGGGCTGGCGGTGGATGGGATGAAACTTACGCTCGAAAGCTCGCCCTTATGTACGCGGGGGGGCTGAGGGATTTGAAGTTCCGGCACACTTTGCATTTGTCCTCGTCTACCGCATTGTGCGGACGGCAGGCCAGGCTGTTCAGTCCCGCCCAACTTGCGGATGTCAGATGTGGTCTCGCTGACACGATATTCCGAAGAGCACTGGTTCAGCTTCGAATCCGCACTGATATCTGGCCGTGCCCCGCGAAGCCTTGCCGCGCCTCGCTAATCTGGGGTTTCCGCTGCTCTTCCGCAGAGAGCTATTCTTCCTGTCCGTGGAGCTTATCTGGAATCCTGTATACGTGCTTAGATGCGGATGGACATGTTGACGGTGGCCCCATTGTCATTGGGACCTCATACGCTCCGGTACGTGGCTACGAGACTCGTCCGACTCTCTATGTTGCCTGTTTTGGCTTGTGCCTTGGTATCTGGTCTAGAAAACACCTCCGCATCTGGGTCGTACCGATATAGTTGAGGAGTATCAATAAGTGACCCACACGAGGAGACGCATACATGCTAGTGTGGTTACAGAAATAATACTGCGAATACTATACTAGTTGAGTCCGCAGCTTCCAGAACCACCGTGTATTGACCGGATACATTATAAGGATGCTACGGTAAGCTACCTGCCCACAATATTAATTTACAGTGAGATATGTGGTCGTAAGAATCCAAAGCCCAAGGCGAGGCCTGACAGGCATTAACGGCCCCATCCATAGGTGACCGCGAGCGTCGGTAGCGTGGATAACGCCTCCGCACTGCTCTTTTCGAGGCTCTCGTTCTTCCTGCGAGCTCTCTCCAGGAAGAGGCACGATATCACAACGGTGTCCCGGATCTCCAGCGCACGACCTGCCAACACGAGCGTTGCAGGTTCGGCGCCCGTCCCCGCGCCCGCATAGCGCGTCCCCGCTTCATACCGCTGTTGAGGACGGTCGAAACGGGCAATGGGCTCGGCATAATTGTCGTCTTTGGTGTAGAGCTAAACGCGAAATGACCGAGCAAGGGAGGTCGAAGGGCAGAGTCATGTGCGCTCCGGTAAGCCAGGACACGATGCATCGGAGCCGAACGACTCACCTCGAGCGTGCTGGTGGTGCCTCCGTAGCCGGGTGCGTAACCTCGCCATTTGTACTTGCGTCCTAGGGCGTCTTTGACGGACACGTTCCTGCAGACTCCATGAGTGCCCGTCTACCGCGACCCGATCGGAAGCTGGAGAAGGGGGGACTCACGCGTTCGCCGAGAGGTCCGCAAGGCTCGTGTGCAGCCAGTTGCGCAACGGAACGGGTGGTTTCTTCCCGATCGTCACTCTGTTGGGAAGAAAATCCCTCTCCTCTAGGGAAGCGAGAACGGAGCCGTTCACGTTCATGACGTACGTCGTCGTCCCAGACCAGAGCCGCCGTGTTGCGACAGTGTACAGGGCCCTCCCGCTTGCATCGTAGATGGTTGCATTGGATGGGTTATCGGGAGACAAGGTGAAGGTCGTTGCAGGAGCTCGGGACATCGTGAGGTCGTGTACGAGTGAGGTGACCGCCAAAAGGAAAGGAGACGATGTCTGACCACTCCGTCCGGTCCGTCTTTATGTAGACACGCCCTCGCGCTCATTCGAAATGATATGCAACACCACAAGGCAGTTCCGGACGCCCGGGCTTGCGAGAATGCGGTAGGTGGCACACTAGGTGTTGACGCCGACGCCCTGTTGCGTCTGCAGGCAGCGCGCGTGCCCGAACGCGGTCTTCTCTGCAGAGATGATTTGGAATCGGGTGTAGATGATAGAAGCGCACCGCCTCCAATTTGAATTTGTCGCTGGCATTCCATTGAGGTCTGAGGCGCTACCTACGACTTAGTGCTCGTCTGCATGGCGGCATGCATCATGAATCGTCGAGAACATTATTCGTATCACTCATACACTGCAGAATGCCAAGAGGCATACATAGTTGGTATCTTGCATTGTGTCACTTCGACGTGGGCAGCCTTTCTATCATTTTCATCATAAAGGACAGACGAAAGATGTAACGGTCTCGAGAGAAGTTGTAGACAGCCCAGGCTGGGGAAAATATAAAGGCAGATGAATGAATACTCCGCACTAAACATTGGTGCGCGTGAATAGTAGGTGCACTGCACTGAGCATTACAAGCAAGTAAATGACAGACTGATGTAGGCAAGGCACCGACAGCACGATTCCAAGGTAGCGATATGGCTACCCAACAGAAGTGAACGCGGAGTACACACCGCGAAGGTTACCTGCAGCCTCGCGTCGCGCTGCTCATCGATCTGACTACTTGGGCGGGGGGAGACCACATTGCTCAGGCGACACTTCGACTACCGTGGCGTCGACAATGCCTTGGTCGAACCCCTGCTGGCCAGCGAACTGCGTGAACCCGTCCTTACCTAGCTGGAAGATCGCCGCGTTGTCTACGGCGGCGACCATGCAGAGTGGGGCTTGGTCATCGTATTGCACCTTCCAGCACGAGCCTCACCTTGGCGAACCACCGGCTGCGATGAACGAGTCAGCCCCGTCACAGGGGACAGGTCAGAGAAGATGATACGCACTGGCACCGGGCACTTCGCCGAAGAAAGGTGCGAGCTGGGTAGCTGGCCGAACGTATAGCCATCGAAGTCTGCGTGCACGGGTCGAGTGTCATTAAGTGCCGTGTTCCTGGCATAGGAACAGAGATCTTACCAGGGTACTTCTGGCTCAAGACGCTCGCGCAAGAGAGCGAACCGAGGGTGGTAAAGCATCGAGCGCGGCAGGGTGCACGTTTTTTGTTCACCAAAGATGATTCAGAGAAGGTCCGTGCTCTGGTATAACGGCAGTGCTGCGCTAGACTCAAGTTACTCGCTACGAGGTTCTGATCAGAGGTTCTGATCAAAGGTTTGATCAAAGGCAGCAAATGCCGGGGAGGCAGCAGCTCCTGCACGAACGAGATGCGGGTCAGTTCATTATTTCAAAGCTACACCGAAATGTCGTGAGACAGCACACAATCACAAACCTCACGCTCGGAAAGGTTGTATGGAGGCATCATGAGGGCTTGCAGGTGATGAATCTCATACCGCATGTCTTCGAGCTTCAAGCTAGCCTCGTCCCGTACCACGTCTGGCAACAAACTGTTCGCAGTGTCGATGAACGACTGAATTGCTTTCCGGTCGGCTTCGGACGGAAAACTGAGAGCGCCAGAATCGTATTGCTCGCGAGTGTACGCTCCGGTTGGGATGAACAAGAAGTCGTTAGGACCGGGCGCGGGTTGGCCGTTATCATACACTGCGCGAGAGAGGGCGTCGGCATATGTTAGGAAAGCTTGAGGGTGAGGTACTCACTGTGCGGGATCTCCAATGCCTTTCTGATTTCTGCTGGTGCCGCTCTACGCACGATGCTGAAATCTTGCTGGTACGACATTACGAATGACACTTCTCGGTCCGAGGCGAGGACTTGTGGGTAAACATCGCAGTCGATCCCACCCAAAGTAGCATCCTCGGCGATAGCGTTAGACAGCTCTTCCGCATGGTTTCTGCCGTGGCCTACTTCGAGATATCTCCGCAGTGCGTCTGTGAGTTCGTAACCGGTACAAAGGCCTCCTAGAGGAGCGCTTTTTCATGTTATATAGGAGACCGAAGAGGACAGACAGTTCGGGTATGGGAAGCTGGATGGTGGACGAAGGAGAACCGTGTTTTGAACTCATAACGGTCCCGGGCCATTGTCCCAGCGGCACGTGCACGTGGCGTGCCGCCAAAGATCGGTCGAATGGTCACTTAGAACGACCGTCGAGCGACTAGGGTTGATCATGCAACTCAGTCACCTCAGGGGTAGGACACAAGGAAGGTATGACAAGTAGTACTCAACCGTGGAAGTAAGGGATATGATTCGAAGACAGCCCTTGTTGGGCCAAACTATCAGGAGGCAGGAGGGGTGATACCTCATATACTCTCCCATCAGGCACTCATTCATCGATGCCACCTCATACCCAGCCGAGATGCACGCGGTTTCGTTCCAAGGCAAAAGGACGAAAGATTCACGTATTGATATAATACACCAGGTATTATAAAGTGGTATATAAGAACGACATCGCGTTCGCGCCCCAAGACAGCCAGCCGCGCTCACAATGCCTACCGCGTCAGAACGCGGCAATCACTGCTTGGACGACTGGAGCCCGCAGTATGTGGGCGAGACCTCGACCGCCTGCGCGCTGACGCTGCCCTTTTCGAGGCCTTTCTTCCCCGCGAGCTTCTTGAAGCCGGCCTTGCTGAGCTGGAAGATCGACGCGTCGTCGACGCCGAGCACGTACACCGGCGTCTTATTGTTGTACTGGATCTCCCAGCACGAGCCGCACTTCGACGAGCCGTAGGCTGCGTGGACAAGGACGTGAGCGTCGTTCGCCAGATCAGTACGCGGAGAGATGGGACGTACTGGCTCCAGGGACCTCGGCGAAGAAGGGAGCGACAGGGAGCTGACCGAGCGTGTAGTTCTTGTATTCTGCACGTGGACGGGTCGTCATTATGGCCACTTCTATGGGACGCAGACGAAGAGCGGACTTACCAGGGTACTTCTGGTCAAAGACGCTCGAGCACGAGAGCGAGCCGAGAGTGGTGTTGTTGTTCAGGTCGAGCGTGTAGCCCACCTGGACCTTCTCACTCTGGCCGGTCGAGTTGCCAGAGTTGCTGGACTGAGACCCTTGGTCGTGCTTGCCGGTCGAATTGCCAGACTTGCTGGAATGCAAGCCTTCGTCGTGCTTGCCAGTCTGGTCGAGCTGGCAGCCCTGATCAGCGGGGGCGGCGATAGCGACAGTGGCCAAGGCAGCGGCGATAAGGGCAAAGAACTGCATGTTAATGATGTGTGTGTATTGGGGGTGGTGATGTTATGTGCGTTGAAGTTTTTGTGTGTGGAAGGAGTGTTTGTTTGATGGGGTTGAACGGTCGACATCGCGGGCCTTATATACCCGCAGGGGAGGGGGTAGAGGGTGCGGGACTTCGAGTGTCGAACATTTGGCAAAGTCCAACATCCGTAGTGACTGGTCCATGCATGGAGAGGTCCGCGCCTTGACGAGGCGCAGACCGTCGCGTTGCAGTCGCGGGGGAAGGTCTCAGGCCGACTTTGCGTCCCGCGTTACGAACGGCTCCGCCACGACTACATACCGCTGGGTCAGACTGAGACAGCATTCTAGGCCCATTTGCACTGGCGCTGCAGTAATACCCCTGCCCACGACGCGACGATTGACAGCCACCTTTCTTTTCCAATCATCGCAGCTTATACATCCATGCAGCAGCAATGACGAAATCAGACCACACGACGTGTGAGGGGCACAGACTTACCGTAGGGCTGATTCCCCACTTCTCCTGCTGTTAGTCACCAAGCTGCGGGCCCGAAGTCTATAGGGCAGTTGTTAGTCCCTTGCGACGGGTTCGAAAGGAGACTACTGGAAGCTACTCCGCAACTGATAGCAAAGACTCACGTCAAATTCGATATTACGCGGAAAACATAACGGCGATCTAGGAGGATGCGAGCCTTGTCAGTCCTCGAGCCGGAGTGCTCTAGCACTGTTTGTAGTCGAGATTGCAATCGAAGCAGGAGGATTCCCCGGCAAGCACGCGAGCCTGGGCCGCACACCAACTTTGCGGCTCATGCAAATCCAACTCGTGAAGCGCGATGAGGAGACATTGCGAAAGGAACCAACTTCACGTATCTCATAATAAAAGTACAAGATGATACACCGTACACATCAGATGTAGCGGAATATATTCGCTTTCTATGGGTAATTCTGCGCTTAGTAGTCGCAGAAAAGGCACGGAATCGGCGTACCACATTTCGGCGGTAGCCTGAATCAACTTGACCGTTCTCGAGCTCGGCATTCGCCAAGGAGCCCTGACGCTCCCGCCAGCGATTCATGAGGTCGGCATCCCTTTCCGCCACCGACATTTTCTGCTGGGCCTCTGCGGGATCAGTGGCACCCGCCGGCTCGGAGAGACGTGAGGATGCTTCCTCTGAGTCTTTGGAACTTTTCGCTTCTCGGGACGTAGCCTGCATGTAACACGCGGCTGAAGGACGATTCTGTGCGCGCCAAGGATAACATGCTCACCTCTTCCTCTGATTGGGAGCTCCCGTTCGTCCCCGGAAAGCCTCTGTAGAACGCCAGGACAGGCTGCTTGCGGGGCGACATGGCAAGTCGCGTAGCTGTGATTCGGAAGATACTCTTGGTGGCCATCATCACCAACGAGTTGAGAGGTGAGATGGAGTTGACTAGCTAGGACTGCAGTGAGAAAAAGCTCAAGGGAACCCAATACGGTCACGATAGCTGAGTCTGAGTGCAAGCGTGTTCAAATAGTTGAAGAAATATAAGATGTACAGAGAAGTACTCCAGAGATGACGACAGTCTGTCTACACCCGACATCCATCGCATGTCGGACCAGCGGCCCGGTGGTTGCCGACCATGCTTCAGCGCTCTTCAGCAGGCAGCAGAGTGCGCCGATCATCGTCCGAGTGTTGCTGCTCAGTGCTAATCTATCCAGTTCTCCTGTGGGCAACGCTTTCCCCTTTGCTCTGTGTCGCTTGGAAGTTGTCTGTCTGCAGGACCACTTGTTGCTGTGCTTTTGCGCATTCGGCTTCAGTATGTCCCAATCTCCACCCGCAGACCCCGAGCAGCCACACATTGTTTCCCTTGTGTTGCACGCGAAGAAGGCGCTGCTGCAAGGCCAGCAACTATGCACTCGCGCAAGCACGATTTCCTCAGCTTCTGCACAGACAGCAGTGGATGTTCTTGCGCTGGACGCACAGGTCAGATGGATGTCGGAAGCAGTACTCGACCAGCTCAAGGTGAGTCCACGTTGGTGTCAAACGCGAACGCTACCGCTAAGACGTGCGCCAGCTTGCTGCTCAAGTCGCGAAGAGCATTGAGCAGAAGCGCACGGAGCTGGAGAGGCAAGTCAAGGTATGCCCATCGTCTGAATGTAAGGCGCATATTCCGACTTACTTAGGGCACGTAGGAGTGGGACAACATCCGCAATCAACGCACCGACGCGCTCGACGCCGTCCTCGAGTCTCTCGGCACCCAGTCCGTCCCGCCCGACTTCCACACCGTCTCCTCCGACTCTTCGCCCTTCGGGAGCCAGAACAACTCGGACGATGAGCGCGACGAGGAACGTCACCCGGAAGACGATACTACGCCCTTCGGTCCTCCCCCGCCCCCGAGTTCGAGTCCAACAGACACCATCCGCAACCGATCCCCGGTGGTCAGGAGGCATGAGAAGGAGAAGAAGAGCCGGAGAGAGGACCGGCGCAAGTGGAAGACGTTGCGGGACTTCGTGAACGAGCGGGCGATAGAGGACTTGCTGGACACGATCGAGAAGGACAGGCTGGAGCTTGACGTGCGTTGCCGTCGTACTGCTACACTTCTGTCCTTTGCTCATCGCAATAAATTTACATCTACCAGGACATCCTTGCGACGACGTCTGACTACCCAGAATCGCTGTCCAAGACGATTGGAGCCATCAAGGACATGGTCCCCGTCGAGGTGCCGCTGCCGTCCTTTGACGCGATCTTCGCTTCGCAGGAGGGAACCTCGGCCAAGATGGCGGAGCAGCTGGAGTCTTTGGCGCACCATTACGACAACATGTCGAATGCGCTGCATGACTTTGAGGCTGGGGAAGAATTCAGCGAGGAAGACGTGCAAGGTACCGTAGTCCTGTTTCATCACGACAGCTTTCACTGACCTTGCGCATTATACAAGGTATGAACGAAGATGCCGACGCATTGCCGGTCATCATTACGGAGCTGGAGGAGGGCGTGAAGACAATCGACGAATGGCAGTCAGTGAAGCTTCTTGCTCCTCAGCCCATCAGCCCATCCGTCACAAAGGAAACTCACACCATCCCAGCCAACAGCTCCTAACCGCGAAGGAATCTGCGCAAGAACACCTGAAGGCTCACCGGAATACGCTCCGAGACCTCGATGAACTAGGTGACATCATGACCGAGATGCTCGAACGCCAGCAGACCGTCGAGGTGCGTCTCGCTCGCTGCAATATCCCCGAACGCATACCCTGAACGTCTATTTATTGCCTTCGTTGCCGTAGACCGAGAGCATCGAACACATCTCCTATCTGCACGCGCAGCTCCAGCCGCTTGAGGAGCTGCACCACAAGTACACCTCGTACCAATACGCGTACGGCAAGCTCGTTCTCGAGCTCGCGCGGCGCCAGCGGTACCGCGAGGCCGCGCAGCGCATCATCGCGACCATGACCGCGCAGCTAGACGCCATGGCCGAAGGTCCGTGCCCCATATTCTACCAATTGACGAGAACGCCATTCGAATATACACGTTTGATGCAGAGGAGCGAATATTGCGCCAGGAATTCCAGGCCGAACACGGGCAGTACATCCCGGAGGACTTTTGTTTGTACGTCGAGAATCTGCCGAACCGCTGGATGATCTCGACCTGGAACGGCGAGCCGCTCGAGATGCTCCCATTAATCGACGTCGATATCATCGAGGAGGTAAGTGTCCCCTTGGTTTGTGGCTGATGACAGAAAGCACTGACGGGGGTCGCTCTAGGCAAAGCAGCGTACGATGGGAGTAGATATCGGCGTCGGTGCTAGCCAGAGTCTATGATATGAGCATACTTATATACCTGAAGCTATCTGATACTGGCATGAGGCCCTCGTTTTATACCACTTGACGCTACATCGAAGTTGGTGGTAGATGGAGGACAATATGTAAGACGGTATAGGCAGCGGCAGGAGAAAAAAGACATGAGTCGGCCCAGGTTCGAACTGAGGACCTTCTGTGCACGCATTCTGAGTCGTGATGTTAGACAGATGCGATAACCAACTACGCCACCGACCCATATATGGACCTGCCTCTGCCAGAGTGACGGCCAGACACTGCAACTCTCGGGGACTTGGCCCACTGTCCGCGGTCGCGTCCGACGTTCATCGCACACAACCATGTCTCTCCTAGCACCCATCATTTGCGATAATGGAACAGGTTTCTCTAAAGTTGGGTATGTGCTGCGTCGCTGACCCCTATTTGTTATTAGTACTGACCATCTACCAGCTTCGCCGGCAACTCCGATCCCTCATTGTGAGTGCATCGAACCTCACACGTCCTCGAGCATAGTTCTAGGTCTCATCTGCTTCTCTTGTAATGCAGCGTCTTCCCGACCGCGATAGCCACTCGCGGCCCGGCTTCGCAAGCCTCTCGTGGACCTTCCGTTCCCTCCAAACCCGGTCATCTCGCGTCCAAGCGCGGGGTCGAGGACCTAGACTTCTTCATTGGCGATGAGGCCCTCGCCAACGCACAAACGCCCGGCTATGGCATCAACTATCCTATCCGTCATGGCCAGATTGAGAACTGGGACTACATGGAGAGATACTGGGAGCAGACGATCTTCAAGTACCTTCGTGCAGAGCCCGAGGACCACTACTTCCTTCTGGTGCGTTACTCAGCCTGCGCGCGCAGTGGCCGTCTAACTTCAGATCGTCCCGATGCCTCGTGTCCCTTCTGACACTACCCCTACGTCGTCGTAACGCGCACGCAGACCGAGCCCCCGCTGAACCCGCCAGAGAACCGCGAGCAGACAGCCGAGATATTCTTCGAGTCCTTCAACATCAAGGGGCTCTACATTGCCGTCCAGGCCGTCCTCGCCCTGGCCGCCTCCTGGTCCTCCAACCGCGTCACCGACCGCACCCTCACCGGCACTGTCATCGACTCGGGCGATGGCGTCACCCACGTCATTCCCTGCGCCGAGGGCTATGTGATCGGGAGCGCGATCAAGCACATCCCCATCGCCGGCCGCGATATCACCCAGTTCGTGCTCAACCTCATGCGCGAGCGCGGCGAAATGGCGAACGTCCCGCCCGAGGACCAGCTCAAGGTCGCGGGCAAGGTCAAGGAGCAGTACAGCTATGTGTGCCAGGACATCGTGAAGGAGTTCAGGAAGTACGATCAGGAGCCGTACAAGTACTTTGCGCGGTACGAGGGCGAGCATACCGTGACGGGACGGGTACGTCGAAACCGGACGGCACGGAGCGCTCCCTCAGACCTGACGAATTGCTGCACCAGAAATATGAGATTGACGTTGGATACGAGCGGTTCCTTGCCCCCGAGATCTTCTTCAACCCCGAGATCAACTCTTCCGAGTTCCTTACGCCCCTCCCTGAGATAGTCGATGGTGTCATCCAGCAGTCTCCCATTGATGTCCGTCGAGGACTTTACAAAGTCAGCCTTCGTGCAATGGTCTCCTTGATCTTCTCTTTGACGTTATACAACGCTCCCATAGAACATCGTCTTGTCGGGAGGTTCCACGATGTTCCAGCACTTCGGGCAGCGTCTCAAGCGTGACCTGAAGCAAATCGTTGATCGTCGTCTAGAAGTGAACGCACAAGCCTCTGGCAGCCAGCTCCGGGTATGTGTATCTCTTGAACTCAGGCACCAATTGACTGACTCATCGCGAAATAGTCGTCGGGTGTCGAGGTTGAGGTCATTTCCCACAAGCGTCAACGGTATATCGATCGTCCGATTATATGATAGCGGTATGTTTACTGATCATTTCTTGTAGGTACGCTGTATGGTTCGGTGGATCTCTCATGGCGTCGCTGCCGGAGTTCTACTCGTTTTGCCACACGAAGGCGCAGTACGACGAGATTGGCCCCAGTATTTGCAGGCGGTACCAAATCTTTGGCAGCGCAACGTAGAGGCAAATGGGATGTACGTCGCGATGGTTTGGAACGAAATGTAAATGTACTGTACGCTGCTCGCGCCTGGGCACGGGCTACGGAATCACACCTGCACGGACTATCTGCACGTTTAGACAAGATGATCGTGTCTGACAGGGCCGTGGTCCACAAGGGCATGATGAATATGACTGGTAGGCGCATCTAGCTGGAGCAACTGCACTGGAAACCAAGTAGCTTCCGCTCCCCCATACCGCAATACCTCCTTTCCTCCTTGGTCTCGGCATCCAGGCCACTTTCATCCTCGACGCCTTCTGCGCCCCACGGCTCGTACGGGTTGCAAGCCATCTGATGACACGATGAACGTCCACCCGAATCTGGTTGTAGCCAAGGACACTCACATGGAGGACCTTCCCAAGCACCCGTTTCCCACTCTCCGTGTCAGTCTCGACCTTCTTGATGACTTCCTCCAGCAACCACTGCCTGAGCACGAAACGCGGGTTGGCGCTCTTCGCCTCCCTCTCCCTCGCCGCGTCGACGTCACCCTCCCCGTCCCAGTGGTCGCGCTCGCTCTCGATGCGCGCCGCGTACTTCCGGAGCCACTCGGACCAGTCGCTGTGCCCGCGTATGCGGTCCAGCCTCTCCGGCTCCGACGAAAGCTCGAGCAGGCTGTCGATGAACGCCTTGAGGCTCTCTTCTGACGCCACGACCGACGGCGTGAAGAAGCACAATCGGCGGAAGGTGCGGTGGAAGTCGAGGCTGTGGTCTTCCATAAGAGAGAGCAGCGGGCGGGCGAACTTCGACTCGTCGTCCTTGTCGATGCGCCGCAGGCCCAGTCGCTGTATAGAAATAGTAAGCCCTTAGTCGAGACGTGGCCGCATCGCGTGCAAGAAAGAGGAAAACAAACGGGGCCGTACCCTGTGCATGAGGCGGCCGTACTCGACTGCGCAAGCCTCTTCCATCACGCGCTCCATCTCGTCCTTCACGAGCTCGGTGCCCCTCTTGCTCCATTCCTTCGCTTGGTCCTTGGAGGCGTCGTCTGCCCAGCCGGGCGACACGGCCTTTCCGCCTAGCTCGTCTTCGGCTCCGATGAGCGGCGCGAGGGCGTTGAGTAAAGCCCGTAGTGCATATATACTATGCGAACAGGTCAGGCCCACGAATTCGGGAGACGTCTCAACACTTACATCATAGCGGGCTGGTACTGTTCAAGGCGAATGGTCAGTACCAAAGTTGAATCGTAGAGCAAGTTCGCGAAATACCTTGTAAGCATATCGACCTTCTTGGTCGCTGTGGTTGCAAATATGCCACGGGTCGAACACGTCCATGAAGGCGTACGGACCTGCCCAGCGAACGCGCATCAGCCGCCGCTACGTCGACGACCCTGTCAGACTCACCATAGTCGATGGTCAGCCCCAGGATAGAGACGCTGCAGGACAAGCATGAGCACGCTACTGGCCGCACACGACGAGGACACGCACTTGTCGGTGTTGATCACGCCGTGCATGAACCCATACGCCTGCCATCCCGCGACCATCTTCGCGTTCCTCCGCGCGACTTCCAGCACGAGCTTCGTGCCCCACGCATCTCCCGGACCCTCTGCGCCCTCGTCCCCGCGCCACTTCACGTCGGGAAGGGCGAGTACGTGGCGTGCGACCCATTCGCCGAGGACGCGGAGCGCGTCGAGGTCGGCCGCTTGCTGCCCGCCCCCGAGGAAGTACATCTGCGCGGGGGGGTTCAGGGCCTCGAACGAGCCGATGCGGATGAAGGAGGGCGCGACGCGCGTGAGGACGCAGGCGGACTCGATGCGCTCGCGCTCGACGGGGAGCTTCGGGAGGTGGATGAGGGAGAGGGAGCGCGTCGTCGAGATGCCCAGCGCGTGCATGGCTGTCGTACGGGGGTATAGTCAGCAGGGGCTCGCGATGATCTTTGAGAGCAGACGTACCTTCTGAGCACAGAAACTCGCGGATGGACGAGCGTAGGACGGCCAAGCCGTCCGCCATGCGGGAGAACGGCGTGCGTCCCGCGCCCTTCAGCTGAAGTTCGTAGGTCGTTCGGGGGTCGTCAGGATGGGGCGTAGCGACTGCGCAGTGAATTATATGGTATGAATATGTGGTGACCGGGTAGATAGGGTGCAGAGCACTCACGCAGAGAGATAGCGCGGCCATCGCCAAGCTGCCCCGCCCAGTTCCCAAACTGGTGCCCGCTATACCTCAGCGACCAGGGTGCCCACTGCTCTCCGACCTCGCCCTCCCCATTCACGAGTATCGCGTTTCCGCTCAGTACATCGACGAGCTCCTGGCGCGCCGCGACCGCCTCCGCACTCGCACGCTCCCCCGCGCTACCGCCCGCGCCCTGCCCAGCCGGGACGGTGAGCGAGGGCGCCTTCAAGAGCTCAAACGCGTCCCCGACGTCCAAGTGCGGCACACAATCCCTCAAGCCCGTCTCCGCCAGCCCAATCAGCACCCTCTCCTCGTCCCTCTTCTCCGCAACATACTTCCTCAGCCTCCCCTGCCCCTCCTTCGCCGCCCCCGGCACCTCGCGCAGCGCCTCCCGCTCGACGAGCCACCGCTCGACGGCCGCGACCTGCGCCTTGCCCTGCGCCTCCGCGTCCTCGCCCTCCTGCGGCTCCTCCGCCTCCTCGGGGTACTCCACACGGAACGGGAAGGGCAGCGGGCACGGGGCGACGTAGGAGAAGTGCGCGGAGGGCGTGAGCAGCCGTGCGCGGCGCTGCAGGCTGGGCTTTTCCGCGCGGATGTTGTGCCATTCGGCGGGGGTGGGCGTGTACGGGTCTGGGGTGAGCGCGTGGATGAGCGAGTGCGGTGGGGGCGGGAGCGGGAGGCCTGAGATCGGGACGCGCTTGACGGCACTCGCAGATGCTTGTGCTGGAGTGGAAGTGTGCGACATGGTTCTGAGGGTCGCGAACGTCGCTCGCAACGGCATGCAGTAGTGTTTTGAGGAGACCAGACAAGAGGTCAGTAAGCCGCAGACAGGATTTCTCACCGCGCGGGGCGGTCACGGATGCGCTCCGTCATCGCAGACATGATCGACTCGTAAGCGTATCCCGTGCACACCACCGGCGTAAGTAAGTAGCAATTGCTGGCGTCTGCACAACTCAACAATCCATTCCACAAAGTAGCCCGGCAATTCAACAACAACATTAGGGATAAAGAAAGATAGGTACATGCACATCTACGGCGTGATGCAGGAACGTGCTACTAGTAATACAATGCGCGTTACCGGTATATGCAGGAAACCACCGTCTCGATTCCAGGTATCAAGCACGGTGTGCAATGCCCACGTATCGATCACAGCTTAGTGTCCTTGGGCATCGACCGCATCGCCTGACGGACGCCGAGGTCGGAAAGAACATCCTCCGCCCCACCAAGCAGCGCGTCGAAGGCAACAGTGCGTTGGTACTGAATCACACAATACATTCAGCACGTGATTATCGATGACTGGGGGTGGGCTACTTACGTGCTCGATGAAGCGACCCATGCCGCTCTGGGTGATACCACGACCGCCGAAGATCTGGACAGCGTCCTGAGCGGTGATCTGTGCCGAGTGCGTACTGTACGACTTGAGGAATGCGATCGGCCCAGCGAGCTTCTGCGCCTGCTCCTTGTACGACTATATGCGCGACATCTGTCAGCATCCACGATACCTTCACCAGCAGCAAACGTCGGGACCACTGACCATGTTGCACATCTGGTACGTGATGTTCTCCAACCAGTTCTGCACCGACTCCGACCTCTGGATCATGCCCGCGAGCTTATTCCTGATGACCGCGAGCGAGTGCAGCGGCTTGCCGAACGCCTTGCGCTGGTTCACCCACTTCATGCACTCCTCGACGATTGCCCGCTGGCTGCGCGCGGACGCGCAACACATGACCCACCGCTCGTGGTTGAAGTTGGAGAGCATAACGAAGATGCCGCCGCCCTCCTGGCCGAGCGTGTTCTCGACGGGCACCTTGACCTTGTCGAAGACGATGTACGCGGTGCCGGCGGTGGGCGAGTACGAGGTCTTGATGGGCTTCGTCGTGACGCCCTCCTGGCGCTCGACGAGGATCACGGTGAAGCCGTCGTCGGTCCTGCAACCGACCGTGAAGCTTCACGGAACGTCAGCTTAAGAGCACGCCTCAGATGGTCGGAATCACGTACTAGTCGGCGAACACTCCGTTTGTGATCCACTTCTTGGTACCCGTGACGATCCAGTGCTTGCCGTCCTCGGTCTTCGTCGCAGTTGTCTGAAGACCAAACACGTCGGAGCCCGCGAACGCCTCGGAAACCGCCAAGCAGATAAACTTCTTCCCGCTCAGCACCTCGGGCACGATACGAGCCTTCAGCTCAGGCGAACCGAAGTTCAGCACGGGTGGCAGGCCAATCACGCATCCTCCCAAGAGACCGTCGCCGTATCCGCGAGCGCCGCAACGAGCGAGCTCTTGAGTGATGACGAGCTCATGGAAGTAGTCGAACTGTCATTTGTCTTATTAGCCAAGGCCGCGATACCCTAAGCAAAGATTAACTTACCTCTTCGGGCTTGACAATACCGCCGAAGAGCGTACGACCCTGCAAGTGCTTGCCAGGACCCAAACGCATAGCATGCAACTCATGCTCACTATAATATGAGTGAGCTGTGAGCAGCCTGGGAGACCACGGACTGAATTACATACGCCATCTTATCGAGCACGCTCTGCGAGGGGCGTTTGCCATCCAGCTCGCGCTCCTGAGCGTCGGGATATATATATTCATCCACAAACTGGCGGACTGCTTTCTGCAGCTTCCTGTGGCTCTGTAGTGTTGTGCATCAGATGGTAGGCTCCCACCGTGAAGACGGACGACGAACCTCCTTGTAGTAGGGATTGTGGTAGCCATCCGAGAGCCACGACGGCTCGCCGTACGGCACCTTGCTGACCTTGCCGGGTATGCGACTGCTCTGTACCACCGGCTCCTCGCCCTCAATCACGCCAATTTGCAGCCGCTGGTACTGGGGCTTCTCGAGGACGTCATAGCGGTGCAGACCGAAGAAGGCCTCGGTCGCATCCCCGCCGGCTATATGCGGCAGAAAAGAGAGGAAGCATGACAGATATAAGCCTGTGTTGCGCATCAAAGCCTGAGAGGTATATACGTACGGATGCCCTCGTCGAAGAACACAGTCGGCCCTCCCGGGTGGAGCTTCTGGAAGCGGGTCACGTCGAACACACGTCCGTCAATGATGATCCACTGTTGTCGTCTTGAGCATGGCGAACGAGGAGAACGTCGGAATGAGACTCACCAGGCTGTCCTCCGTGTTGTGCTGTCAACACATCACCAGTGAGTCCCGCACTCTCGCATAGAGGTCAGGATAGGACTACATACCTTCTCGACCTCCTCACGCGTGAACTTCTTCAACTCCTTAGATGCCATAGCTGCTCAGGATTCGTCACGTACTGAGTGCGGGGAACAGAGAGTGGTCGTCAAGAAAAAAGCGGGGTACGCAAATATATGGGGGAACTGCACCCGCAACAATCACGAGCGGTCGGGGGACAGATGGGTTCCGGCAGAAAGAATGCTTGATCTGGGGGCGGGGGCCCGGCAGCAGCTCCCCGAGCCACAGGCCGCTGAACGCCAGTGCCTCACCGCCATGTGAAATCTACTGGCGCCTATCATTTCCCCAGATTGAGTAGACGCCCATTGTAAGCGCAGCGCCGATCTTCCCCCGTACCCCGGCCCTCCTCGAGGCAGCCAACGGCGGTCGAGCGATTTCGTGCTGGTCGCGATCGACGGGATCTCGCACACACGGAACACGCATACGCCGGGGCACGGCTGGATGTATGAGGCCAGTGAGATACTTTTGATAAATAACACCGAGTCGTAAGCACTAGGGCGCCCAGCGCAGATATGCTGGAACAAGCTGCTTGTACTGTACGTATACCCACTCCGGAGGGAGCTAGCTGTGACTGAGACCACCAAAAGCCTTCGATGAGCTGAAAAGAAAGGGACGATGCTGTGCCAAAAAAGATGACGCTGAGGGGCTTAAACCCGTTCGCTGGGAGCGCGCTTGTGTTACGCAGCCTCGCGAGCGGGCGAGTACGTCTGTAGAACGTACTGTAAGGAAAAATGCGAGTTACTGTGGAAATAGAAGCAGTAGCTGATCGTCAAACAAATTGAGGGTCCGAGAACATTGTGAAATTTGGAAGAGAGATTTCGATGGACGGGACAATATGGATAGTAATAACACAAGGATGCAGCGAGTGCGAAGACCCTATTCTCGACGGACCGCGCGAAAGGATGTAAAAGAGCGAGAGGCGCAGTCCATGACGAGCATGCAAGACGAAAGCAAGAGCGAGTAACGAAGGCGATCGGGAGCGGTGATGTGAACATAACTTATGTTACAAATGGACGAATGCAGTGGTGGTGACCGACGAAGCTGGCTGTGCGAAAGGCATAGTGGACAAAGCGAGTCATAACCGTACGTATACGTATCATGCATACGTGGTCGAAGACAAACGAGGGTGTGCGGCGCGACGAGACGAGTGCTTGTGACTCTCCAGCACGTCCGTATACACAAAAAGCGTACGACGAGTCGTGGAGTGCATGTGGGTTCGTGAGGGAACGAGGGATGGGACTGAGACGAGACACGAAAGAGATGAGACGCATGGCCGCACGACAAGGCACCGGGCATAAGCGTAAGGCGCGTGTCCATCATGGCTGAGGCGTTACGGCTGGGGGCTGTAGGCGATCGAACCGAAAGCGGGAGCGGAAAGAGAGCAGCTTGATGACAAACATAACGATGACATGCCAAGTGGACGGACAGGACGTGTAGGCAGGGGACGATGATAGATGATAATAATCAAACACTTGTGGGGGTGATGATGAGATGCAGACGAGCTGGAAATGTGATGGAAATGAAAAATGGGAGATGGGTCCAGAAATCGAGCTAGATCACGACGGCGGCGTAGCGTGCGGGGGGAAGCGGTAGACATATGGGTTGGGAAGGCGATTACGACCACGGGCGGGCGGGGTTACTGATGGCACAGGACGGACGACAGACGGCGAGGGCATACAACATGGGCATACACACTGCATATACGAGGCCACTGCGGCGAGCAAGAACGCGAGCCAATTACTCGACGCTCATCGCTTCACCGAGGGTCTCATTTAGGTGCAGTTGCGCCCACTCGACCGCGTACAACGACGCCTTGAGGAACTTCTTCGTCGCGTACTTCTTGCAAACGTGCTGGTCGCAGAAGCCATCTTCCGTCAGCTTCTCGATGAGGAGCTTGTGGCCAGGCAGCAGGTGCTCTTCGGTGAAGCTGGAGTAATACACGAACGCCTCGTTCTGTGAAAGGAAGGTGTCAGAGATCAGGTCACGTGTTGGGATCGAAGTCGAACGAAAACGGTAGACAAAAGCGTGTGGGGAACGTGGACACCGCATTGTGCGCAGTAGTTAAATCGTGGCATAAGAGCAAAGAGATACTCACCCAGTCTCCCCCCAACATCCTCCTCGCTGTGTACATGCCAATCGCCGCGACAAGACTAGGCTTCACCCGCAGGAAACGGTGATCCAAGAGCGTCACTTCGGTGAGGAACTTGCTTAATGTGCGCGTCTGGAGGTCGTAGTCGTCCGCTTTGCTGATTTTGCGCATCCAGCTGTAGGGCGAGCAGTATTGGCTGACCTTGAAGTCAAGCGTTTGGAGCATGATACGCTCGCCCTTTAGGATCTCCTCCTTGCTGTAACCGCCCTCGGTCATGAAGACGAACTCGTCTACTGACGGCGCAAGAATCTCCTCGTATTTCGCCGCGATGAACATAGCAGTGACGCCAACGAGCTGGAGCTTCAGCATGGAGACGATACGTTTTGTCAAGAAACGGTCGACGATGTTGACGGCGATCCAGAGAGTCTCGGGGAGCAAGTGATAGCGCAGATGCACCTGAAGCAGCCAGTCCACCAAGGTTTGTCGCATTTGCCAGTTGAGTTCCGTCTGACCATTCATGTAGTCCGGACCAGGCATCACGTCCTCCTGATGCAGAGGTTAGCACTCACGTATGATGGCGTTGACGAAGGCGACACGAACCTCAAGCTCTTGCATGTATTCAAAGATGTCCTCCGCATACTCAGAGACCATTGTCGTGTCAAACTCATCCACCTCATCGTGGAAATGCTCTTTGATCTCCTCCAGCTCCTGCCTGTAGCGGTGAGCCCGCACCGTCGAAACCTCGGGCCAGATCCTCTGTCGCTTCGCAGCGGGCTGCTCATCTTCGATTTGCACAGCCTCGTCCTCTTCTTGGTGCAGGTCCTCCTCTTCGCGATCGCTCAACTCGGTAAGATCAGCTTCGTCGGCAGCGTACTGGTCGACGACACTTGCGACGGCGTGCACCTCGATTTCCATCTCGTCATCATGGCTGACGACAACATGGGGGATAGCGGCTTGCACTGGAGGGTCCTGAGGAACGGGGATGCGACGTGATGAGGGAAGGGGTACTTGGGGCCGGTACACTCGTGCGGAGGGGACGCGTGCTTGAACCTGGGAGGCAGCCGCTAGCTTGCCGGGGCCGAGGGGCACTCGCTGAGGACCCGTCGCAGCAGCGAGAGAGGAAGAACGACTCCGTTTGAGACCAGTCTCGACGGTCTCTTTCTCCTTTCCGGTATGCTTGCCATTACCATCCTAACCGATCCAAGAAACACGGTGAGCAGTCATATTCAATTCGTGTAGATCGTCCAGCCGTAGACAGAACAAGCTGGTTCTTCGCAGTGCGATGAGCATTCTACCACCATAGACGCGCAGGCGTGACGCAAGAAGATTGATCGTGTCAAAACATCAAATCCACAGAGGTCTGATCAAGAAGATCGACGTGAAGCTATCGACGCTCGATCGGCCATTGGTTGTGTGCGGATAAACAAACGGATGTGTCCCAATGACGAGGAGTGACGAAAGTGGCAAACATCACGATCACGCGCTGAAGCGTCTCAAACGCGCCGACGCGACTGACGCCCGGCGCGTAGCCACATGTAGGTGGTCGATTGCGTAGGTGGACAGCAGAGGCCGACGATGACCGTCGCAACCACCATACGTCACTTCGAATCCATAGCAAGCAGACAAGAGACCCAGCCGTGGCTCAGGAGTCCAAGGGGGGAGCAGGAAACGAAGGAGCTGAAGAAACGAACCTTGCCGGTGCGGTTAACGGCGGTGGTCGTCACCTCTGTGAGGACCGGGCGTTGGACGCCATTCTTGACGGTGTGGCCTACGGGTACTTTGGACGCTCCTGCGAGCGCAATGCCGGACGCCTGTCGGACGTGTCTGCTCATAGCATTTTCATCAGCGTTTCTGGGACGTGTGGAACCTGTACGGTTTCGCATCGGAAGCTGGTGTTGACGTGGCTGGGGTCAGAACGGACGAGAACACAGAAGAGCGATCAGGGGGAGCACATACACGAATGTTGGTGGCCATCTCGTGGTGAACAAGTTGTATCTACGTTGGAGGAGTAGTTGCAAAGTGTTGGGAAGAGTCGGGTGACAGCGAGGGGTGGGTCGGGGCGATAGAACGTCGAAACGAAGGGAGAAAGGGTCGCAAGAAATGGCCCCGACGCGCTGTGTGTGGTGGAGAGAGGAGGAGGCTGTCGGAGGACAGGAAGTGTCAGCCTGGTTCAAGGCAACGACAAGACCGGGTTCGTTTCGCGATTTCAACCTCGCCCGCTCTCGCGTCTCCACGTGACCACCAAAGTAGGCCAAATAACGCGTTCCAGCGCCCGCCCAAGCACTCCAGGCGCCTGTCATTCCTCCTTCGCGACCTTCGACGCGTGCGCCATCATTCTTTGATGTCCAATCACGTCGCTATCGTAAATAGAACGCCTTTGTATTTGCCCAATACGTCTATAGTTACGTCTTCACAATAAACAACCCCGCCTCAGTCCTTCCACCAGAAACGACGTCCGCCGAGGGAGATGACCCGCGAACCATTGCTCATTTACGTTACACAACGTAGCTCCGAACACGGCGAGCGACGAAGCGGACTTAAGGCGACGCGTTGGTCAATTCCTCGGACAACCTTGGCGGGGGTATTCATTTGGAATGGAACGAGGCTCCCACACAACGCTCGGCTCGCGGCTGCCGGGGTCACCGCGGTTCGCGGGATGATGGGGCGGTAAGACCGCTGGCGCAGCTCATACCAAGTCTTGAGCAGTTCTTGACGCCGCCAATCTCCAAAGCGAGACGGAAGCAATGTTTGGCTCGGCGCGGGAGGAAACCCCCGGAAGGCAGTGGATGGTGGCGGAGTTATCAGGTTGTCTTGTTCCTGATCGTTCCGTTCCTGAACTCCGCATTGTGAGTACATACTTATGCTGCGTTCTGGTGGTGCAGGGGACAGGGGGGCACTCACTCGGTAGAGACAAGCAGCTCGCACACGACCATAGTGGGGGGGCACTCCACATGAGTATTCGTCGTCACTAGACGCCATCAAGACTCTCTCGCGTCTCCGCCCACCGACGCCTTTTGCCTGCATCTTTCCAGTCCCCTTCCTGAAGCGCAGATGACGCACTCGCAAGCCGGGCCGAAGCACCGAGTCCTGCTCGGCCCACCGTGGTCGGCGTGTCCAAAGGGACCACGAGACCCGCATTGTCACTCGATGCTTCCCCCAGCGCGGTTCCGGGTTGCCACCCCTGCTTCAAGAGCAGCCGGTGACCGATGTTCGTCGCAGACAAAGGCGCAGCGGGAGACGGAGGAGTGGCCGGAGCTGAGACGGAGGGAGAAGGGAGTGGCGAACGATCAGCGCTCGGTGTCGTCGCCGGGGAACGGTCAGGATGCAGAGCCCGACGACGGGCGCTCCTGTCGACATACTGACCGCGCGAACCTGACGGTGTGGGTGCCAAATTCTTGGAAGACGACAGCAAAGTGCGCTTGAGCATGGTCAAGGCCTTCTTTGGGTCACGATCCCGCGCGGACGTCGACTCCGTGTTATTAGCGGCAAACTCCTCGAAATCCCGTTTCTTGCTAGCCCCGGCGGAGCTATCCACGGCGCGATGCAAAAAGAGAGGGATTTCCTCATCGCCCTGGGGTGAACATGCGGTGCATGGCGTTCGGTCCTCATGAATGTGGATGATAAACGTCGTGCCGCCGATTGTCAGACGATCGAAATGGCGCAGCGCCCGCGGCATGCTGGCCACCCTCGGAGCGGACAACCGGAAGCCCTTCCCATCGGAACCCTGAGCTGCGGGACCGCCAGGCGGAGGTACGGCTGAAGACTGAATGAAGGTGCCATGTTTCGAGCCCATATCGACGACAGACCAATGCGTACGATCCTGGTCCCAATAAATTGTCGCATGCACCTTGGAGACTTCCATTTCCTTCAGACGGATCCTGGGAGTGTCTGAGCCAGCAGGCGCAATGTCTCGACCGATTTGGATCTCCGTGAAACCGTCAAGGAGAGCGAGCCTTTGATTTTTACGGAGAATAGCACTGTGCTGAACGACGAGACGCAGAGACGTCGAAGATGCACGGGGGTCCCCAGCAGGCTCGTACGCATAGACGTCAGCAAAAGGTGGGGTTACTGGGGTGGGATCTGTGTCCCCCGGCCACTCGATAGAAGGGGAGTAGGTAGCCCCTGTGATGTCTAGGGACGATTCATTGCGCAGGTCCACGGGACTAAGGATGTCGGAGTTGGACCGCGAGTCTGGGAGTGTATCAATCTCCCCTTCCTCTAGCATGCAGAAGCTGCAGTTAGAGAACCGAGCATACAGTAGAAGGAAGAAGGTCTGAGTCGTCAGAACGAGGGGAGCAGAGGAGTGTTGCGGGGTGAGCTACTGGAGAGTAGAGGCGCCCATGAGGATCTACTTCATCCAGATTAGGGAAAGTCTCTCACGCCTCGGATTGGATGACGAGTGGTTCAAGTCGCGTGGCGGTGGCCAAGTGCCCCGTCAAGTCGCCCACGACCGCCACACGAGTTCTGAGTACGTAACGGACCACAGCACAACTTGCTGCAGACCCTCAGTATCGAGTGGACAGTACAATCTGCGCAGTATCTATCCGACTCAACACACCAGCCGCTTAATCCGTCAAACCATCCGGAGGTCAGACGACTCACGGTCAGATCAGTCGGACAAGCGCGTTCACATGGAGTATTTGTCCGAGGTCAGTGGCATGGCTCGTAGTTGCCCAATGCATGCCCAATGATGATGTATTCAAGGATCATGCTAAACTTCTTCTCACGAAAGAATGGCTCGTGAAGACCGATAGCGAGTCGTCAACACCATACCTATTGGTCTGTCGTACATCTTCCGGACAATGCTTGATACTCATGATGCGCTGCATCCCAGTAGAAATTCTACTCCTCTACGGCGGATTGCAGCTGCTGCATGTTTGTGACGGACACGAAGAACGTGTGGGGAGAGGGTAGTGTCCCACACTAATACTGCTTTGTCGAGAGGACCCACTGAGCTTTGAAAATATCCCAGTTCTGTCAAGCAATCAATTCGCTCGGAGATGGCGGGAATACAACCCGCAATACTCTCTTAGCTTCCCGGGTGAAGGCGAAGAACAGGCGTGGAGGACCAAGTGCCTGGAATTCCTTTCGGCTGCCCATTCGCTCGGAGGACTTGCCGAGCTATCCTTCGAGACAACGAAGTCGAACTACTCTGTATGCACCCGCACCGACTGTCTTCAACGGTTGCTGAAGCGCCGCTTCGTAGGATCTTGCCTTCACTCTAGGGAATGACTCGTTTCGGTGGCGATGGGAGGCGTTTGCCGTCGGGCCAAAGCTGTCGGCAGACATCTTATCCAAGCACCTCATCCTCCCGCTGATCAGCATGGCACACCTCGCCTTCTCCTCCGCTGATCCTTTGACGATTATCTCCGAGACTGACCTTGAGAAGGTACAGAGAGCCTTCCCCTCATCCGAAGGTTCCCGCTGTATTGATGTTCCCGGGCGCCACAGACCGTTGACAAGGTCGGCAGGTCTGCCCGCCGCACGCTCGACACGCATGTTCGGAATGCGCTATCCCGGCCCCTTCTCGCGACAACGCTGCAGCGTATGTCAGCCGTGTTCAACTTCGTACCGGATCTCCGTGCGCAACGTCTCTCTGAACCCTGCGATATGTCATACTGAGAGCATTCGCAGCCCGGATCGCTGCAAACTCCGAAACCCCGGATCTCACACCACCCGTTCCGCCAGCAACATCACAAGGTCCTTCCGCTTCCAAGCCTCTTGTGCGCCGGGCGCCTTCCTCGTCGCCTCCACTTCCGACCAACCGAGCAGTATGTCATTGTGAAGCTCATCTAGCCTAGAAGCTGATTGTGGCCACAAGCAGGGTCCAAGTAACCAGGCTAAGCCGCATAGTCAAGCCGGAGGAGCACGTCAGGTGGTCCCAACGCCACCGCCGCCGGATGATGACTCCGTCACTGAAGAAGAGCCAGAAGAAGAAGACTACGGCGCCGTCAGCGGGAAGGACGAAGCAGCCGTACACGATCGTCGCAATTCCAGCGTACGGAACAGCAGCCCCGTGCTTTCGGTACCTTCGAAACGTGCCACCCCCGAACAGTCACCTCCTTCGAAGACTGGGGCCAGCGTGAATCATTCGCCTCAGCCACAATCGTCGTCGCCTCTCCCCGCACCGAAAACCAAGCGGGTGAAAGCGGCCGTGTCTTCGAGCGATGAAGAAGATAGCGAGGAGGAGCGTAGAAAGCGTCTGGCACGGCTCAAAGGAAGTGTGGCAGCGCGCGGTCCAAAGCAGCCGCTGAAGCGTGGGGGAAGACGGTTCTGAGCACCCTCAATGGATCCATATTCTCTGTCGGTCGTGCTAGGTTTATCTCCTACCCACACGAAGCACACATGTAATCTCAGTTATCTGCATTGATATCTGCCGGCGGCTGACATGTGCCTGCCGCAGTCTACCCCATTTGCATCGTGTTTGCGTCGTGTTCGGCGCTGCATGGCACCTCTAGTCTATGTTGAGAAGGCAGGAAGTTGCTCAACGCATCGCTCCTTCCGAAGGGCGAGCTTCTGAGGGCTGCTTCTTCCCCTGGCTCCCGTCAAGTGACCGTAGGAGTTTGATCGTGCTCACCAACAAGTTCAATGCGACGGAAGACACTGCTCTGGCGTGAACGCACTGACTTACTGTTTTGGGTCAACATCGTCATTATCGCAGCGTCTGCATTCTGGGGCAGAGGAAGTGCTCAACGAAGCAGTCTATTTCGCATCGAGAAATATGAACCTTTGCGTATAAAGCAAATATTGTAGTTACTGTGGTTGTACAGAGTGAAGAGCACATATCAAGCGAGGAGGCACACAGAACATGGCGTATAGAGCAAGGAGGACGGCAATATATATCATGATCATCGACGTCTGACACGCGCCGCGAGAGCAGCTTCCTTGCAGGCATCACAAGGTTCCTGGATCAGATTCAGGACACGCCGCCTTTCACGGTAAGCCTGCCATATGAAACCGTGCGGTCAGCCTCAACCAATGCAGACATGTGCTTCTCGCTACATGCGCATCACGCACCTTCGGGCAGGGGCAATTGCGTGCGTTCGGGTGAGCATGTTGGGAACTAAGCCCACAATTCGGGGAGCCGCAGTCCCACTTCTCGCCAGAATAGTACAGGATTACGAAGTGCTGCAGGACAAGTGGAGCGTTCACGCCGTCAGCTGCGATCCGTCGGCAAGCGTACAGAGGCGGATTTACCGGGCACCCTCGATGTTGATTGCCACAGCTACCGAGGCATGAGACCGGGGAAGCGTGGATAAAACGGTGAAAGCCCTGACCATTCTTCCCAACACATTCTGGACGGAGATATAGGAGTGGGTGGAAGAGAGGTACGCAGAGGAGTTCAGCGATCAGTCAATACTGACTTGTTGGTCTCGGGTGTCGGCGGGGAGGGGGAGATGAGGTATAGATACGATAGCAGCTTAGATGCAGCACTCTTATAGGGAGTCGAAGACGCCCCCGAACAACGAAAGACCGACCCAAGTGGAAACACCTCACGCCAGCATTGAACGTCTCATCACGAGAGGACTAAGCACTTGAGTTATGGTGGCTGCTGAGCTTCCTTCCCTCGTCTGTTGTTCCGGAGAAGCGTCGTGGAGTCGGGCAAGATACAGTTTCCAGATGGCGAAGGTATATGCCACCAACGCTGCGGAAGATGACAGAATGATAAGACGTCGCGGAGACCGGCACAGAGCCTCTAAGTCCCGCCAAGACTGTCGAATACCCAGGTCTTGTGACTCGAGTGGACATGAGTCTAAGTTGATTGAGTGCATCGCCTGACACAAGCCGGCGAGCTGCGAATACTAACATCGAATGCTGGCGAGTCCACTCTAGAAGATACAGGAACGTACCCGGCAAATCGCCGCTCGGGATCCGGCGCCTTCAGGTAGGTTTCACTCATTAAATCCAATAGAATGAGCGCGGAAGGGAGAGTACACGCGACATCTCGGTGGAGATGCCGAGTAGGGAGGTCCGGAAATGTTCCTTACCATGATCGATGGTCGGATGCGGCAACGTCACAGCACAAATATGACGTGTTCAGAGAAGATCATGACCGCGGAAGTGGATGCCGACAGAGGCCTTTGTCGGTCACTGCAACGGATGTCGGAACGGTCGCCTTACTGCGTAGAAGTAACATGTGTCAGGTTCGTCGGTCTTCTGGAATACAGACCTGCGATGGGGGAGATTGACTGAGGCGCTAACGTGGAAATCTCTATGGACCCCGCTGCCACTACATATGCCGTTTGTGCAGCTTAGAAAGGCGTGAAGCAAGGGGAAGCGGCCAGACTATAGCGGATGATCCACGTGGGGTTCCGGAAGGCCACAGACACGTTGCAACAGAACCAACATCAGTCTGACATATAATACGGTTATCAGCATATACAATGGCCGGTTATCAGATGGGCTGGACATCACTTGGCTTAGAATGAGTCAAAACCAGATCAGGCTCTCGAGTCTGTATGAGTGATAGCAGTCAAATCAACCGCTGTACAAATAGAGATAGACTTGTCCTAGCTGATAGACCGTTGGCCAGACACGCAGCTTTCAGGAACCCTATGTGTCAGACGAATCCTTGAGACTTGATCACGATGGAGGAACAAAGCGGCGAGCGAAGGCGAAAATGTTCAAGTTCAACCGAGCGCGACCTCAATTGCAAACACGGCCCGCCACTCGGTCCGCCTGGGGCGGGGCGTCTAAATATTTAGTTCAGCTCAGCGCGCGTACAACGTCAATTCCTGGCTACATCCTCGCTGGTGATAAATATCTCGCTCAAGCCCTCAGACTGCAATTCATCTGCTCTTGATGCCGGAACTCGCCTGATCTGGGACTTCCACCATTGCGCGGGAACCTGGACATGGCTCAGACAGCGGTCGCGCCCTCTTTGACTCCTCAAGGACCTAAGGTGGAATGGCTATGAATATCGCTTGCTTACGTTGGATTACTCACTCGGAGCGCAGACGAAGACGAAGGCGAAGAAGCGATACCTCAAGGCCAAGAAAGAGAGACGTAAGAAGCGCAAGGCCCTCCCTGGCACCGCGCATCGGACTGAATCTTCGAGACGCGACGAGGAGGACGAGTCCGGGTCCGACGAGGCAGAGCCCAGCGGGAGCGAGAGCGAAGGTGCGTCAGCAGCGGAGCAGGTGGATGCTCCTCCGAAGATTGCTCTTCCTGCGAAGCGCGGGGACGGAGAACGACCGAAGAAAAGACGTAAGATCGACACCGAGGAGCCCGACGCACGACACGCCTCGAGTCCAGAAGACGACGAGGTCGCCGAGCCCCCTGCGCAGCCCTCGAGCGCGCCCCGTCCAAGGTCCGCTACTCCTCCAGTGGCCCTCCCGGCGTTCCCCCAGCCTCGGCGACCGGAGGCCCCGTCGAAGTCGGTGCTCGCGCTGCAAGGGCTCGACAAGGCCTTGATCGAGGCAGAGGTCGTCGACCCCGCGACCACCGTGCCGCTCGATGCTGCCAAAGACGCACAGGACGAGCGGACGGGGCTGAGCGGGAGGATGCGGAGGAGGTTGCAGGATCTCGGTATCACTGAACTCTTTGCTGGTCTGTCCTGGTCGTCCGTATGCTACCGATGTATTCCACGTGCTGAAGCCTTCACAATAGTACAAACTGCTGTTGTGCCCTTACTCCTCTCTTCGCCAAGATCGAGAGCGCTGTACCGACCCTACGATCCACCGGAAGACCTGTGCGTGTCTGCGCCTACCGGAAGTGGGAAAACTTTAGCTTATGTCTTGCCCATCGTCGAGGTACGTGGTTTTCGAGGCCGTACCGTCCACCAGGGGCTTAGAAGGGATGCGTGCCAGATCCTATCATCCCGTGTTGTTACTCGATTACGTGCACTAGTGGTCCTGCCGACGCGCGATTTGGTATTGCAAGTGCGAGAAACGTTTGAAGCGATCGCAAAGGGTCGCGGTTTGAAAGTAAGTCTTGCACTGATTACACAGTCGCCATGCAAAGCACTTCATCTGGCGACAGATAGGTACAGCAACTGGACAGCATTCGTTCGCACACGAGCAAGCACAGTTAGTAGCGGAGCGAAATGAAGAGTCCGTCTCCGGTCTCAGCAGTCGTCGTACCTAGCTCACAATTTGACCCGCCAGGCTGCAAGGTGGCTCGAGCAAGGTGGACATACTCATATGTACACCGGGACGTTTGATCGACCACCTCAACGGCACGCCCAACTTCTCCCTACAGCACCTACGCTTCCTTGTGAGTCGTCTGGGGTCCTCCAACACGCTGATATAGTTGCAGACACTGATCGCTCGCGTAGGTCATCGATGAGGCCGATCGACTGCTCGCACAATCGTTCCAAGACTGGCTAGCACAAGTGTTAGCGGCAACACGACCACCACGGGCTTCCGATGACAGCGGGGCCAGCCTGTCAAGCGAGCTTACGACTGCTTCGATTAATCTCGCAGCCAGAGGACGACCGCATCCTGATTCTCTATCGCCCACCTTCCTCCACCTGCTGCGAGGCGTTCACTACGTTCGTACAGACTATGACGAGAAAAAGGAGCCATCCTGTCAGAAGCTGCTGTTTTCCGCGACGCTCACGCGGGACCCTGCGAAGATCGCCGCTCTGGGGCTCCGCCAGCCGAAGTACGTTGTCGTGCAGAGCCCGAAGACGTCGGCAGCGAGCAAGGAGGAAGGCGTCCTCGACTTCGTGATGGAGAAGTTCACCATGCCAGCTACGCTCACGGTGAGAGTCTATTTGCGCTGTTTTGAGGCGATATTGACGTCGCGATAGGAACACATGGTCGTGTGCGAGTCCTCGGTCAAGCCGCTCATGCTGTTCCACCTTGTCCACGCGCGCGGGGTCACCAACGCGCTGGTCTTCACCAAATCCGCGGAGTCGACGGCCCGTCTCGTCCGGTTATTCGAATTCTTCGAGAGCGCGCACAGCGACTCGCAAGGGAGGAGGATCGTCGCACGGGCGTACTCCAGCGATCTCGCGCCTGGGGAACGCAAATCCATCTTGGAGCAGTTCAAGAGCCAGGACGTTCAATTGTACGTGTTCCCATCCGACTATATCCGTGCCGCAGCCAGGTGACGGATGCAATTCCTCTTTCCCCTTCGAAGACTCGTCTGCTCAGACCTTATCTCGCGCGGCATCGACATCAGCCACGTCTCCCACGTCGTAAGCTACGACGTCCCCGTCGATTTCAGGAAATACGTCCACCGCGTCGGCCGAACCGCGCGGGCTGGCCGGGCTGGGGACGCGTGGACATTGGTCGAGGAGCAGGAGGTGAGAACGGTGCCCCGGCGGAAGGGTGCAACTGTGTGTCTGCACATACCCGGGCTGACCGTTCGTTCACAGGCGAGGTATTTCAAGACGATGCTTAAGGAGGCGGATCACCTGGACAAGGTGAAGCGCGTGCGTGTCGCGGATGCGGACGTCGAGCCGTTGAAGCCCGCATATGAGGTGAGCGTCGAAGTGTTCTCTCCTTGACTTTGATGACCGCTGAGCAACCTTGGCTGGTATTCGTATCCACAGGTAGCCTTGGCTCGCTTGAAGGAGTCCTACGCCCGCTCTAGTTGATGGTCGGTTGGTATGATGTCAGTCTGGCGCTCCGGCACAGGCGGGAGATGCGTCCGGCCTATCGCGGGCCCTCGATTTGCCGCTTGCGGCCCTGCTCGATCAAGGTCCAGCGCTAGCAGATTCAGCAGCTATACTTGTGCTCCGTGACTCCGTCGGGTGCGAACAGATGCGAACCCCGGGGTTGATAACGACAACGAACGTGGCTGCTTTTCGCGGCCTTGGACCTCAAATGAGACCAGAGGAGTTGGCTATCTACAGGGTGGACCTCTACGCACCATCGTGAATGCGGAGTGATCACGCATACACAGTATGTAATGCTGCGTTTGTTCTATCGAATGAGACCGACAGCGCATGCATGCCGAGTGCCCAGCTCATACTCATCGCGTAAGGCATGCGCATGATCATGCCGATGCGGGTGGGTTACTGCGGTCTGCTCCTCCGGTAGTGACTGGCCGTAGCTTAAGTCTCCGCTCGCAAAAGTCGTTTCTGTGCAGCCAGTCCAGGATCTTGTTGCAGTTCGTACCGGCGTAAGTTCGGCGTTGATTCGGGGTGTATTCTATGGCGAAGTCGATAACAAACGACTTGTACCAATGTCTCGAGAACATGTTTGTCGTTCAGGAATCGAAACAAGACAGAGAGCTCGACTGTGACTGGCAACAGTGCTGAGGATATCTGGCTGGGCGATCGGGGATGAGTCATTGATAGGTCCCAGGCTGGTGTGTGGAACCGGAACCCAAAGAGTGGGCCACTCGTCCCACTCCAAGAAAGGCGCCAGGTCCCGAAGGGGTTCGTAAACATCATATGGCGGCCGGTCAGATACGCAGACATTCCCAGCGACTCGCCATTCTGTCCATAAGAGTCTGCCGGGGGTCTGCGCACTGTGGCCCTCCTCCGTGTCGCTACTGTCCCTCGTGATGGCGCAAGACGACGCGATTGAGAAAACCGAGTCCAGCGACTCCGACCAAGGCTCGACCCTCAAGCCAGCCAAGAGATCTCGATGGTATCGTGCTAGTTCCTGTTTCGAGCTAGTATTTGACGTTGACAACCCGATTTTCATTGCCCGCAGGAGCGTGAGGTCCCTGTTCGTGCCTTCGGATGTCCCTCCTCCCAAGGCCTCGCTCGACGACGCAGACCTCATCCCTGAGGCCAACGCCTCGTATTATGATATCCTTACCTTCGGATGGATCACCCCCCTCATGTCCTTGGGCTATGCCCGACCCCTTGAAGCGCCCGACCTCTACAAGCTCCAGGACCACCGCGCGTCTGCTGCCATTGCCGAAAAGATCACGAAGTCTTTCGAGAGACGGCAGAAGGAGGCGGCAGAGTACAACCAGCGTCTCGCGAATGGTAAAGTCAGTCCTGGTCTGAAGGGCGTGTGGTGGTCGTTGCGCGGTGTTCGTGAGGAGCGAGAGAAGCAGTGGAGGGAAAAGGATGGGAGGAGGAAGGCAAGTCTGGTGTGGGCCATGAACGACAGCATCAAGTGGTGGTTTTGGACCGGCGGTCTGCTGAAGCTCATCGCGGATGTTTCTCAAGTGACTAGCCCCCTGCTGGTCAAGGTACGCTGACCCAGCACGATCACTCCGGGAAAGAGCTGACAGGACGATAGGCAATCATCAACTTCGCGACCGAATCTTACACGGCCTTCAAATTGGGTCACGGAGACGAGGCCCCTCCCATCGGCAAGGGTATCGGTCTCGCTATTGGCTTGTTCGCTATTCAGCTTCTGTCCTCGCTCTGCACGCACCATTTCTTCTACCGCGCCGCCTCCACTGGCGTTCTTCTTCGCGGCGGTCTCATCACTGCTATCTACGACCGCTCTCTGAAGCTTTCGGCCCGTGCTCGCACCACGCTCACCAACGGCAAACTCGTCAACCACATCTCCACCGACGTCTCGCGCATAGATTTCTGCTGTTCCTTCCTCCAGCTCGCGTTCACCGCCCCCGTACAGATGATCGTCTGTCTCATCATACTGATCGTCAACTTGGGTCCCTCCGCGCTCGCCGGCTTCGCATTCTTCATGTTGATGACGCCCGTCCAGACCGTCGTCATGAAGCACTTCATCAAGCTCCGGCACAAGTCTATGGCGTGGACGGACAAGCGCGCCAAGCTGCTGCAGGAGCTGCTGGGGTCCATGAAGGTCATCAAGTACTTTGCCTGGGAAGTCCCCTACCTCAAGAAGATCGCAGAGCTGCGTGGGAGGGAGATGGCGTAAGTGGTCTCCGCCTCGATGCCCGGGTGAGGTCACGGTTCTCATGCTCTTTTAACTCTTACAGATACATCCGCTCGCTGCTGGTCATCCGGTCCGCGAACAACGGCATGGCCGTCTCGCTGCCTGCACTGGCCAGCGTGATCGCTTTTGTCATCTACTCCGCCACCGGCCATTCGCTCAACCCTGCGAACATCTTCTCGTCTCTCACGCTCTTCCAGCTGCTCCGCATGCCGCTCATGTTCTTGCGTGAGTTTCCGCGTGTCACCGTTGGCTCGAGCCCGCCTCGCTGATAATAGTCGTCGTCCAGCTCTCGCGCTCAGCGCGTCCGCAGACGCATACAACGCCACGCAGCGCCTGTACGACGTGTTCGAGGCCGAACTGCTCGAGGAGTCGACCGTGCAGGACGAGAAACTCGACCACGCGGTGCAGGTCGTCGACGGCGAGTTCGTGTGGGACGGTCCTCCGCCCGATGCGCCCGGCAAGGATAAGAAGGGCAAGAAGCAGGACAAGAAGGCCGCCCCGCCGCCTCCGACGGCGGACCCGAAGTCCGAGGAGACGTTCAGGCTCAAGAGCGTCAATCTCGCTATTCCAAAGGGCCAGCTGACGGCCATCGTCGGTAAGTAATCGCATTGGATCTGAGACAATTTGTCTGCGGGCACAAGCTCACCATGCACACAGGACCTGTCGGATCCGGCAAGTCGTCTCTGCTGCAGGGCATGATTGGCGAAATGCGCCATACTGCTGGCACCGTCCGGTTCAACGGCACGGTCGCGTACTGCCCGCAAAGCGCATGGATCCAGAACGCTACAGTAAGGGACAACATCACGTTCGGACGGCCCTTCGACGAACAGCGATACTGGCAAGCGATCCACGACGCGTGCCTGGAGGCCGACCTCAATCTGCTCCCGAACGGTGACATGACCGAAGTGGGCGAACGGGTGCGTCTTTGTTGCCGCGTATGTACGGTATGGATGTTGTGGGCGCTGACGCGACGTGACTTCCCAGGGCATCTCGCTTTCCGGCGGCCAGAAGCAGCGGATCAACATCTGCCGCGCGATCTACGTGGGGGCCGACATCCAGATCTTCGACGACCCGCTGTCCGCGCTCGACGCGCACGTCGGGAAGCACGTCTTCCAGAACGTCTTCCAGGGGGCCGCGCAGGACAAGACGCGCATCCTCGTAACGCACGCGCTGCACTTCCTCCCGCAGGTCGACTACATCTACACGATGGTCGACGGCAAGGTCGCGGAGCACGGCACGTACGCGGACCTCATCGCCGCGAACGGGGACTTTGCGCGGTTCGTGAACGAGTTTGGGAGCAAGGAGAGCGAGCTGGAGAAGGAGGAGGAAGCGGTCGCGGAGGGCGGGGACGGGGACGGGGACGGGGACGTCGAGGGTGAGGAGGACGAGAAGGCTGTGGAGAAGATAAAGAAGAGGCAGCAGGGCGCGGCGATGATGCAGGAGGAGGAGCGCAATACCGGCGCGGTCAGCAACCAGGTGTATATGGAGTATATTCGCGCCGGCAAGGGCTACATCATCCTACCCCTCCTGATACTCTCCGTCGCGCTGCTCCAGGGCGCGCAGGTCATGTCCTCGTACTGGCTCGTCTACTGGCAGGAAATGTACGTGTTTGTGTGCTCTCTACCCGCGATTTGGTGGTTGACGTTGGTTCACAGGAAATGGCCTTTCGGCTCAGGGTTCTACATGGGCATCTACGCTGCTCTCGGTGTCTCACAAGCTCTGACGTTCTTCATGATGGGTGCAACGTTTGCGTCGCTGACCTACTTCGCGTCGCAATCGCTCCACCGCGCCGCGATCACCCGGGTCATGTACGCGCCCATGTCGTTCTTTGAGACCACGCCGCTGGGTCGAGTCATGAACAGGTTCTCTAAGGATATCGACACCATCGACAACATGCTTGGAGACGCGATGCGCATGCTCGTGGCGACGTTGGGCAACATACTGGGTGCCGTCATCCTGATCGCCATCGTCCTCCCCTGGTTCCTCATCGCGGTCGGCGTGGTCGGTATCGCATACGTCTGGGCTGCCATTTTCTACCGTGCAAGTGCTCGTGAGCTTAAGGTATGCTCTTGATGAAAGCTGTATTTCTGGTCTTTACTAACGTCCCCCCCAGCGTCTTGATGCCCTTCTGCGGTCATCTCTATACAGCCACTTCTCGGAGTCCCTTTCTGGTCTGGCAACCATTCGTGCATATGGCGAGACTGACCGGTTCCTGGAGGAGAACAGGAAGCGTGTCGATATCGAGAACCGCGCATACTGGCTTACAGTCACGAACCAGCGCTGGCTCGGTATCCGGCTCGACCTCATGGGCATCCTCCTCACGCTCGCTGTCGCCCTTCTGACCGTCGGCACCCGCTTCCACGTCTCTCCCTCGCAGACCGGTGTCGTCCTGTCGTATATCATCTCCGTCCAGCAGGCGTTCGGCTGGTTGGTCCGCCAGACCGCCGAGGTCGAGAACGACTTCAACAGCGTCGAGCGTATCGTCCACTACGCGACGCAACTCGAGCAGGAGGCACCGCATGAGATACCCGACCACAAGCCGCCGCTGTCGTGGCCTGCGGATGGACAGATCGCGTTGACTGACGTGGTACTTAAATACCGCCCGGAGCTCCCTCCTGTCCTCAAGGGCTTGACGATGTCGGTGAAGCCTGGCGAGAAGATCGGCATCGTTGGCAGGTATGCATATGCCTTGCTACTCACGAATGTGTAGTGATGCTCACTTCGTCTTGCAGGACCGGTGCGGGCAAGAGCAGTATCATGACGGCGTTGTATCGCCTCGTAGAGCTCTCCGAAGGTTCCATCATCATTGACGGCGTTGATATCTCGAAGATCGGGCTGAACGACCTGCGCAACGGTCTTGCGATCATCCCGCAGGATCCTCTCTTATTCTCTGGCACTTTGCGGAGCAACCTCGACCCTTTCGGCGCCCATGATGATGCCCGGCTGTGGGATGCTCTGAGACGAGCATACTTGGTGGAGGACGTCAAGAATCACTCCATCCACCATTCCGGAAACGCCGACGAGTCGAAAGAGGGAGACGGGTCGCACACCCCCGTGAACCGTTTTTCTCTTGATAGCCCTATCGAGGACGAGGGTAGCAACTTATCCATTGGACAGCGCTCGCTAGTGTCCCTTGCGCGCGCCCTCGTCAAGGACAGCAAGATTCTTATTCTTGACGAGGCCACTGCTTCTGTCGACTATGAGACGGACAGGAAGATTCAGGATACGATTGCGAGCGAGTTCGCGGACCGCACTATCCTATGCATCGCTCGTACGTGCAGACTGTTCGTGTCCTGCGTCTGCTTGGCTGACATTGTCTCACAGATCGATTGCGGACCATCATTGGCTACGACCGGATCTGCGTCCTCGACGCAGGCCAGATCGCCGAGTACGACACTCCTGCAAACCTGTACAACATGCCTGGCGGGATCTTCCGTAGCATGTGTGACCGCTCGTCTATCTCTTTCAGCGACATCAAGGCTGCAGAAAAAGCGAAGGAGGCTGAGTAAGCTGCCTCCTTAACTCTCTGCTCCGAAGCATCTTGTTCACTAGCAATGAATATCACGATACACGTAGCTTAGACACTCACGCATTCCAAGACGGTTGTTAGTTACAGCTCATGGCGAGTCACGCATATATCACATACCTTTGTAGACGTTCCATATCTCCTTGTAATTCCTGATTCGCGGTGAAGCCTCTTTGTTGGGTTTGTTGGTATTGACGGATGATACTAGGCGATGTTTGGTAGTAGACGCAGTACTAGTGTCACGACAATTTTCCTGGTCTCGTGAAGTGACCAGGTTTGTTGTAAAGTATATACAGGTCCGTGCCAGCACAGTCCCCTATCCACCGGATACTCTAGAATCTAGGGGCTGATGGCGCTGATACACCACTATGGGCCTGGCGCCCCCGGAAAACCCCCGGTTCGACAAGGCAAAAAGTGCGTTCAACGGTCGCACCGTGGAAATGGGATCTCACCGTTGAATATCACCCGTCAGTTATCCGCGGCGGCAACGTGTTTTTACATCCGTAGAGATTTACCACCTGAGACGCCAAGCTGAACGGGGTTAAGTATTCCACGGTTGCTCTCGGTATCCGCAAACAATCCTGCATGTGCCGGCCCTAAACATGGGCGCCAAATGCCAGTCGCCCTGATTCTGACCATTCTCTTGTCTGCATCGACATTCTCCTATTGCTTGTGACATCTGACTTTCATGGAACTATCTTAGGGTGCGTTGGGTGCATGACTGCTGTCGTGTCTACATTTCTTGGCCCCCTTTATCACCGTTCCTGGGGTGTGCATACAGTACCAGAGTTGTCGGGCAGAGCCCAGTGATGGACGGTCGGCATAAGGTAAGTCGCAATCTTCAGAGTTGTGAGTTTCTCAGGTAAGTCCAGCTATGTTGTTTGGCCATTCTGGCAAAGATATCGATCAGGTAAGTCACTCTTCTCAAATATCTGCATTCTTCCCGGTGAGTATTTGCTGCTCTTCCCTGAATATCTGACTCCGTCTACCCAAACTCCCATATGTGTCCTTAGCGTTGGCATGGATGT